ATGTTTTACACAAGCAGCTAGTAAGGAATATTGGGCGAAATGAGTTTTGTTGATTGGGCTTCGGAATGGGAATAATGAGGCTGTTGGGCCAAGATTGAGGGAGCTCCCCAGTGACATAGCTCATGTTATATAATTCAAGTAAAGGATTACCTGGTACTCGACACAGCAATCTGAGTAAGTTGTAAGTAATACCATCCTCACCAGGCGACGTGGAGTTGCCCTTAGTGCTGCATCAAGTTCATAATTAGTGAAAGGAATGTTGCAGTCATCTGCCTTGCTGAGCATAAAGCAAACAAGTCTCTCCCTTGCATCATATTTGTCCATTAATTTTGCCTGTGTGGTACTAGGAAGATTGTCATAGCTAGATGTAGCAGCCCAAGCACTGACTAACTCATTCGCCCTATGTAAGGGATGAGGGTGCGCCATCTGTCCAATTCTGTTACCCTTAATTCTATTTACGTCCCTCCATGCGCGGACCTATCTAATGTTGAGGTACAGTCCCTGGACCCATTATGTACCTCTGTCATGTTGAGGTACAGTCCCTGGACCCATTATGTACCTCTGTCATGTTGAGGTACAGTACCTGGACCCATTATGTACCTCTGTAATGTTGAGGTACAGTCCCTGGACTCATTATGTACCTCTGTATTGTTGAGGTACAGTACCTGGACCCATTATGTACCTCTGTAATGTTGAGATACAGTCCCTGGACCCATTATGTACCTCTGTATTGTTGAGGTACAGTCCCTGGACCCATTATGTACCTCTGTAATGTTGACGTACAGTCCCTGGACCCATTATGTACCTCTGTAATGTTGACGTACAGTCCCTGGACCCATTATGTACCTCTGTAATGTTGAGGTACAGTCCCTGGACTCATTATGTACCTCTATTGTTGAGGTACAGTACCTGGACCCATTATGTACCTCTGTAATGTTGAGGTACAGTCCCTGGACCCATTATGTACCTCTGTATTGTTGAGGTACAGTCCCTGGACCCATTATGTACCTCTGTAATGTTGACGTACAGTCCCTGGACCCATTATGTACCTCTGTATTGTTGAGGTACAGTCCCTGGACCCATTATGTACCTCTGTATTGTTGAGGTACAGTCCTTGGACTCTACCTCAACACTACTGAGGTACATAATGGGTCCAAGGACTATACTTCAACACTACTGAGGCACATAATGGGTCCAAGGACTATACTTCAACACTACTGAGGTACATAATGGGTCCAAGGACTATACTTCAACACTACTGAGGTACATAATGGGTCCAAGGACTATACTTCAACACTACTGAGGTACATAATGGGTCCAAGGACTATACTTCAACACTACTGAGGTACATAATGGGTCCAAGGACTATACTTCAACACTACTGAGGTACATAATGGGTCCAAGGACTATACTTCAACACTACTGAGGCACATAATGGGTCCAAGGACTATACTTCAACACTACTGAGGCACATAATGGGTCCAAGGACTATACTTCAACACTACTGAGGCACATAATGGGTCCAAGGACTATACTTCAACACTACTGAGGCACATAATGGGTCCAAGGACTATACTTCAACACTACTGAGGTACATAATGGGTCATAAAGTTTTCAAGGGTAAACAACTCAGAGTGGCAGTGAAGTATCCACATGTTTATATCTGGTTACAATCATTTACTTGGAGTTTACTTGGAGGGGGTTTCGGGGGTCAACGCCCCCGCGACCCGGTCTGAGACCAGGCCTCATGGTGGATCAGGGTCTGATCAACCAGGCTATTATGAAAACGTGAATTAAGTCAGAAAAATATTACTAATTAACATATATATGGCTGTGAATTATTAACATTACCATATATTTTAGCAAGTTTAAATGGTTATGCGATATTTACAATGAGGAAATTATTTTTTTCCAGAATGGCAGGTAATATTCTGCTGTGTTTAAAATACTTCGATATTTCTTGAACATTTTTGAGTTGTCTGTTGGTTCATACAAGAGTAAGTTAAACGATGGGACTTATTTCCGTTGGTATCCCTAAATTTCCATTGGGCAGATTATCTGCGTAGGTAGCAGCAGTGATGGTAACTGTAATAATGGTAGCAGCAGTGATGGTAACTGTAATAATGGTAGCAGCAGTGATGGTAACTGTAATAATGGTAGCAGCAGTGATGGTAACTGTAATAATGGTAGCAGCAGTGATGGTAACTGTAATAATGGTAGCAGCAGCGATGGTAACTGTAATAATGGTAGCAGCAGTGATGGTAACTGTAATAATGGTAGCAGCAGTGATGGTAACTGTAATAATGGTAGCAGCAGTGATGGTAACTGCAGTGATGGTAGCAGCAGTGATGGTAGCAACAGTGATGGTAACTGCAGTGATGGTAGCAGCAGTGATGGTAACAGTAATGATGGTAGCATCAATGATGGCAACTGCAGTGATGGTAGCAGCAGTGATGGTAACAGTAATGATGGTAGCAACAGTGATGGTAACTGCAGTGATGGTAGCAGCAGTGATGGTAACAGTAATGATGGTAGCATCAATGATGGCAACTGCAGTGATGGTAGCAGCAGTGATGGTAACAGTAATGATGGTAGCATCAATGATGGTAACTGCAGTGATGGGAGCAGCAGTGGCAGTAGCAGCAGTCATGGTAGCGTGCATATCGTGACCTCTTTTAGTGACTCAAGCCAGTAGACGCATCACGTTTATGATAGCGTGTATAGCTGCCTGTGTGTGTGTGTACTCACCTATTTGTGGTTGCAGGGGTCGATTCACAGCTCCTGGCCCCGCCTCTTCGCTAGTCGCTACTTGGTCCACTCTCCCTGCTCCATGAGCTTTATCGTATCTCTTCTTAAAAAACAGACGACCGGCTGTCTTAATCTCACCTGTGTGTGTGTCCTCAGATTATCAACCGAACCTTCAAATGACCCCAAATGGAACGCTGGTCATTTAAGCAGTTACCTGGGTGATAGTTTCCTTACACTGTTACTCTTGTTCACTAACTTAACAGTAGTGGATACCTGAGTATTAATAGATTCATGAGTAGCATCCTGGGCAAACCCTGAGGAAACCAGAGGAAATAAGCCACACAGCTTGGTTTTATTGAGTTATTCTGAGTTATTAACCTAGAATAGCCCGAGGGTTATTAAAACCTCCGGGGTTAATAATCACTAAAAAGTGCATACAACGCTGCTTTTGCCCCCAGACTTGACACCTAAATAATTTCAGTAATACATAAATGGTCCACCATCACGAGGCACCACTGTCGAACACTCATGGCAGACGCCAGGCACATTACCCTTGAAATGTATGATACAATTCATTAATTGGTAAAGGAGTATAGCCCCTAAGTAGGATCAAGGAGGCTGCCTACAAAATTCTGAGGACAACTCACAGGACGTAATGGTGTTAGAAACTGGAAACCCCTGACAAACCAGAGCTCAATCTCGCTGGCGCAGTGTTATCCACTGCATCCTGCTGGCCTAGTCAGCTTCACCCAGCTACATGTATTTCACGTTATTACGACTTCGCCAGTCATTCTAAGAACATTTGTGCGAAGAAACTTCACAATTGTGCTTCATAGACTGGAGACAGGGAGGGAGAGACTGACGCTTCTCACGAAATTGTAATAACACATTTGCAAACCAGGAACAGGTGAGGCTTGAACCCATGGTGAGTGAGTGGTGAAATTCCAGGTCATTGCCTAAGCTACTGGCGTCAAATGATAATTGCTGGTTTTATTGTAATGATTAAGAGCCACGTAAGTTCCCCCGTCTTCTAATATCATGTTCATTTATCCACTATAATCTACCTTGTTCATAATTGCTACCACATTTCCTTTGTTTCGTAAAGTCTACAAACATTCTTTAATTCATGGTATAATTTAACAAATCTTTAAAGGCAATTGTGTTGCAGACAACTGTCCTCAAAGATTTAAGTTATACCATGAATTAAAGAAAGCTCCTAGACTTCACCTTACGAAACAGCAATGCGATAGTAATTATGGATAAGATAGATTATAGTGGAAAAATGAACATGATATTAGAAGACGGGGGGGAACTTACGTGGCTCTTAATCAGCTATCAAAACTTTAGAGCTCAGTCCCTGGACCCATTATGTACCTCTGTAATCTCCTGACTACCTCCCACAGGATGTGTATGGGGTACATAATAAAAATATTAAGCTAACTCTTAAGCAACCGTTAGTTGAGGGGCTGGTATATTGTGCACCCCATGTTCATCCTGTGAGCGGCAGGAATCAACCTTCTTCTTCTTATGACCAGAGCTTTGGTAAGATGGGTAAGGAAGAAGGAAGAGTAAGGATAGAAATATTGGAAAAGGGTGGGAGGAGGGAGAGAGGCAGGATATAAAAGGTAAGTGGCCCAACCACTTTGGTGTAATTTAAAAAGTGTATGTGAAATGATAAGATATTCTTTAAGGGGTATAATACTAACCCATCAGAGTCACATAGATATAACAGATATATAAGTACATGACTCTGAATTGGTAGTAATTATACAAGTTGCAATTGCTTTTTTTTTTTAATCAACCTCTGCAGCTAAGTTTTCCACCCCATTTGATAACACAAGATCACATTTTAGTGCCTCAGGCGAGGCTACAAATATCAGTGGGAGTTAGCACCATTAAATGTTGCAGAGCTAACCCATGTGAATGTGAAAAATCCAGGAATTTAGACACAACTCTCTCTCACATGTTTAAGAAATTTAAAAAAAAAAATATCACAAACTTCGCCCACTGTAAATAATTATCTAAATGTAAGATAAGATAAGATAAGATTTCGTTCGGATTTTTAACCCCGGAGGGTTAGCCACCCAGGATAACCCAAGAAAGTCAGTGCGTCATCGAGGACTGTCCATACCCCCCTCCCCAGTTCTTGGTTCCATTGTAACTGTTTATAACTACCAACCACATCATTAGTATGGGAGAAAGACTTAATAAAACTATTAAACAACAGTTAAATGCTACCATAAACTACTTACCTGGAGTTTACCTGGAGAGGGTTTCGGGGGGTCAACGCCCCCGCGGCTCGGTCTGAGACCAGGCCTCATACAACATATAACACCAGTCTGAGTAACATTAGTGCTAGATGGAAGTATATTTGTTCATTTTCACAAGTCAGCCGCGGCAGACAGCGAAGCTGTGGTTAAGCGTACAGTGACAAGCCTCACGTTATTTTGGTCCACTATGTGGCATCAGGTCCCCTCAGGGGGAGGTGTTTTGATGCTAGTGAGAGGCTCTTGATCCAAGAAACTGGACTTATCCTCCCCCTTCCTTGAATCGAGCCTGAATGCCTCCCATTCCCCAGGTGCTATATGACCCCCTGCGGATTTAGTTCTGCTCCCCTTATTAAAATAAAATAAGGAATGTGGCACCAGGTCTATTCGGACACGGATGAACACGATGATCCTCATGTTGCATTATTCTTAACAGGTGCAGATTGACAAAACGTCCTGCACTGCTCACTGTGGCCATGGGTCTGTCATGGGTCTGTCATAGTTCTGTCATGGATCTGTCATGGGTCTGTCATGGGTCTGTCATGGGTCTGTCATGGGTCTGTCATGGGTCTGTCGAAATTTGTTTAAGTTGAAAAAACTTACTATTTTTTTTTACGGACCAATTTTACAGGCTAACCTAACATATTCAAACTGTTAGCCCCTTACCTAAAACAGGCGGTGGGAGGAACTTTAAGGTGGTAACCAGTGGATGAGATCCCTTGAAACCTGATTTGCAGTACCTGACCAGCCGGGCTGTGGTTCGTACGTCGGGTTGCGTGTGGCCAGCAGTAACAGCCTAGTTGATCAGGCCCTGATCCACCATGAGGCCTGGTCACAGACCGGGCCACGGGGGCGTTGACCCCCGAAACCCTCTCCAGGTAGTTATAAGAATAAAAGAAAGAAGAAATACTGTAGCAGGCTATGTAGGATGATATTCTCGTAAAGATACTTGGTAATATATTACTGTCTTCAGGATTCTAGATATAACGCTGAGTATACTACCTATTTTCTTTACAGGAGTGACTGAGAGATTTGAGGTCATTAGACAGTATTGGAGGTGATGGACAGACTGACTGTGGGCTATGGGTATTTGAATTTCAGAGGCTCCATCTTTAAATTGGCTGGAATGTTATTAAGTTCGGTGTTTTCTGCTGGGGGAAGTACCTGGAAGCTGCCGTAGCTGGGTTGGTAACGCACTCAGCTGTCACCCATCGAGGTCCGTGGTTCGATCTCCGATACAGGTGGAAACATTAGACGTGTTTCCTTAAGACACCTGTTGTCCCTGTTCACCTATCAGTAAGTAAGTACCTGGGTGTTAGTCGACTGGTGTGGGTCGCATCCTGGGATAAAATTAACCTCATTTGCCACACATACTCTACATAACCAGGGACTTTCTTTACAGTATGTCATTGATGTCAGCTATGGTCTGTATAAGTTACACATGTACTTGTAAAAATAAAGATTATTATTATCATAAATTACCATCAGCGACACACCCTCTCAAAGATCCGGGAGTCTCACTGTATCCAAGGTCTTGGCCAACATATTGTTACGTATTACAGGATCGTCCGTCATGTGAACCACTCAGTGAAACCTGCCCCTCCTCACCCTCACTACTATTCACCTATTCCAGACCACTATATAAAACCATTTTTTTTTTCATACTAGGTATTACAAAAGAAGTCACATGTGTGGTGATGCGCTTCACTTGAAAAAAAATGTCGGGAGCGGCACACAAGTGACTTCAACCAAAGTTTATCTTTTGTATAATTACCTCGTCTTTTGTATATAGTTGTGAAGTCTTCCCATTATGTCTTTGAACTTGTACTGATAAAGCCACTGGATGGAGAAACGTCTATAATAAATATACCCAGATGATGCACATGTGTCTAATTCTTCATCTTGTGGGTGTCACCATACCATTTTAGTTTAGTTAGTTAAACATTTTTATTATGCACCCCATACCCATGGTGTGGGTGGTAGTCACCCCATACCCATGGTGTGGGTGGTAGTCACCCCATACTCAAGGTGTGGGTGGTAGTCACCCCATACCCATGGTGTGGGTGGTAGTCACCCCATACTCATGGTGTGGGTGGTAGTCACCCCATACCCATGGTGTGGGTGGTAGTCATCCCATACCCATGGTGTGGGTGGTAGTCACCCCATACTCATGGTGTGGGTGGTAGTCACCCCATACCCATGGTGTGGGTGGTAGTCACCCCATACCCATGGTGTGGGTGGTAGTCACCCCATACCCATGGTGTGGGTGGTAGTCACCCCATACCCATGGTGTGGGTGGTAGTCACCCCATACCCATGGTGTGGGTGGTAGTCACCCCATACTCATGGTGTGGGTGGTAGTCACCCCATACCCATGGTGTGGGTGGTAGTCACCCCATACTCATGGTGTGGGTGGTAGTCACCCCATACCCATGGTGTGGGTGGTAGTCATCCCATACCCATGGTGTGGGTGGTAGTCACCCCATACCCATGGTGTGGGTGGTAGTCACCCCATACCCATGGTGAGGGTGGTAGTCACCCCATACCCATGGTGTGGGTGGTAGTCACCCCATACTCATGGTGTGAGTGGTAGTCAAAAGATTACAGAGGTACATAATGAGTCCAGGGACTGGACTCCAAGGTTTTGATTGCTGAACAAGTTACAAAGGCAATGAACTAGATCTGGTCACAATCATGACCAAGTTACAAAGGTAATGAACTAGATCTGGTCACAATCATGACCAAGTTACCAAGGTAATGAACTAGATCTGGTCACAATCATGACCAAGTTACAAAGGTAATGAACTAGATCTGGTCACAATCATGACCAAGTTACAAAGGTAATGAACTAGATCTGGTCACAATCATGACCAAGTTACAAAGGTAATGAACTAGATCTGGTCACAATCATGACCAAGTTACAAAGGTAATGAACTAGATCTGGTCACAATCATGACCAAGTTACCAAGGTAATGAACTAGATCTGGTCACAATCATGACCAAGTTACCAAGGATACCATGTACAACCTGAGTATTGTTTTACTGGTTTTGTTATGGCTATCATTGTTGATTCTAAACACAGTTTACTTTCTCAATAACTAACTTGGCCTCGGAGATGTTCATGTGTTTTAAGGTGTATTGTAGATCTCTGTGTTATTCCTATAGCAAGCATAAATAAATAAGTAAATGTTTTTCTGATACACAGATAACCCACACCTGAGACCCAAACTTAATTCATTGCATATCCAAAAATGTAATATTGGGTATGCACTAGCCACTTCGGTGGCAAAATCTAATCACATCCACTGTATATCCAAACTTGTATTATTTCCCTAAATTCTCGAAAAATAACAATTCGTACAAGAATTATTATTATTATTAAATATTCGCCGGTATTCTCCCGGCCCGGGCCTTTTCCAAGTGGTGGCCCGGCCTTGGCTCCCTCTTTAGGGAGTGTCTGAGACCTAAGTCTCCCATGGGAGGAGGCACAAGTACCTCCTCATCTTCGGGACCAACTGTCCCCAGGCCTAGCCACAAGCTAGGCCTCTCTGGTCTGCCATCCCCACCCCAAGGGGGCTAATGGGAATGACAGTCTTGTGAGCTGTAAGCTCGGGCTCAGGCACCTACCCTACCCTAGAAGAGTTAGGCATGGTGTCGATCTCGTACAAGAAGTAACAATCTGTGCCGAGCTATAGATACCATGCTTGTTTTCGAGAATAACATTTTTAATGGGTGACTTCTCTAAAGAACCGGATTTCCAAATGAGCCGAAATAAGTCATACTGTTTGATTTTATTGGGCTATCCTTTGCAGAATTTATATAATGTGCTACTTTGTATGCCATAACATTCGTGGTCCCTCAAAACCATTGCCAAATTTCGTATATTTGTGATACATAAATAAACTTTTAATCCAGCTACCCAGGGCTACTAACCCAACACCCTAGGCTCACAAAGCCAGCTTCCCTGGCTCACTAAGTCAACATCCCTGGCTCACTAAGTCAACATCCCTGGGTCACTAAGTCAACATCCCTGGGTCACTAAGTCAACATCCCTGGGTCACTAAGTCAGCATCCCTGGCTCACTAAGTTAACATCCCTGGGTCACTAAGTCAGCATCCCTGGCTCACTAAGTCAGCATCCCTGGGTCACTAAGTCAACATCCCTGGCTCACTAAGTCAGCATCCCTGGGTCACTAAGTCAGCACCTTGAGGTCACTAAGCCAGCTTCCCTGGGTCACTAAGTCAGCATCCCTGGGTCACTAAGTCAGCATCTTGAGGTCACTAAGTCAACATCCCTGGGTCACCAAGTCAGCATCCCTGGGTCACTAAGTCAACATCCCTGGGTTTGGGGCCCAGTCCCTGGACCCATTACGTACCTCTGTAATCTGTAAATACCTTTGTAACTTGTCATGATTGTGACCAGACCTACCTGGAGTTCATTACCTTTGTAAATTGTGAGTTCATTACCTCTGTAACTTGCTCAGCTATCAAAACTTTGGAGTCCAGTCCCTGGACCAATTATGTACCTCTAATCTTTTGACTACCGCCCACAGGATGGGTATGGGGTGCATAATAAACATATATTAAACTACTGAACTAACCTGGGTCACTAAGTCAGCATCCCTGGGTCACTAAGTCAACATCCCTGGGTCACTATGCCAGCATCCCTGGGTCACTAAGCCAGCATCCCTGGGTCACTAAGGCAATATTCCTGGGTCACTAAGTCAACATCCCTGGGTCACTATGCCAGCATCCCTGGGTCACTAAGCCAGCATCCCTGGGTCACTAAGGCAGTATCCCTGGGTCACTAAGCCAGTATCATTGGGCTCACTAAGTCGACACCTCGAGGTCACTAAGCCAGCATCCCTGGGTCACTGTGCCAGCATCCCTGGGTCACTAAGCCAATATCCATGGGTCATTAAGCCAGTATCCCTGGGCTCACTAAGTCAGCACCTTGAGGTCACTAAGCCAGCATCCCTGGGTCACTAAGTCAGCACCTTGAGGTCACTAAACCAGCATCCGGGGGTAAGGTGGCAAGGATGGCACTAGAGGGGCCACAGCGGCAGGCGGCACTAACCCAGCACCCAGGGGTAGGGGATGAGGTAGCAGTGATGGCACTAGGGGGGGCAGAGCGGCAGGCGGCATAACCCCAACCCAGGGGTAGGGGATGAGGTAGCAGTGATGGCACTGGGGGCAGAGCGGCAGGCGGCACTAACCCAGCACCCAGGGGTAGGGGATGAGGTAGCAGTGATGGCACTAGGGGCAGAGCGGCAGGCGGCACTAGCCCAGCACCCAGGGGTAGGGGATGAGGTAGCAGTGATGGTACTGGGGGCAGAGCGGCAGGCGGCACTAACCCAGCACCCAGGGGTGGGGGATGAGGTAGCAGTGATGGCACTAGGGGGGCAGAGGGGGCAGGCGGCACTAACCCAGCACCCAGGTGTAAGGGATGAGGTAGCACTGATGGCACTAGGGGGGCAGAGCGGCAGGCGGCACTAAGCCAGCACCCAGGGGTACGGGATGAGGTAGCAGTGATGGCACTAGGGGGGCAGAGCGGCAGGCGGCACTAACCCAGCACCCAGGTGTAGGGGATGAGGTAGTTAGTTTAATATGTTTATTATGCACCCCATACCCATCCTGTGGGCGGTAGTCAAAAGATTACAGAGGTACATAATGGGTCCAGGGACTGGGCCTCAAAGTTTTGATAGCTGAGCAAGTTACAGAGGTAATGAATTCACAATTTACAAAGGTAATGAACTCACATTTACAAAGGTAATGAACTCCAGGTAGGTCTAGTCACAATCATTACAAGTTACAAAGGTATTTACAGATTACAGAGGTACACAATGGGTCCAGGGACCGGGCTCCGAAGTTTTGATGGCTGAACTAGGTACAAGGTAATGAACTCACAAGTTACAAAGGTAATGAATCACAAGTTACAAAGGTAATGAATACTGTAAGAATGGTTACTTACGTTTATACATGGCTGCAATCATGAACAAATTTTAGAGTAATGAGCAATTCACACTTCCACACCGGTCACAACTGTAGTGAGTTATTGGTGCAAATGTTGATTGCTGAATCTCTCTCTCTCACAACACTACACACACATACAAATTCATACACACACACACATAAACACACACACACACACACACACACACACAACACACACACACACACACAACACACACACACACACACACAACTCATACACACACACGCACAGAGGTAGCAGTGATGGCGCTAGGGGGGGGGGGCAGAGCGGCAGGCGGCACTAACCCAGCACCCAGGTGTAGGGTATGAGGTAGCACTGATGGCACTAGGGGGGGGGCATTTTAGATTAGATTTTGCCACCGAAGTGGCTAGTTTATTGTGCACCCCATATCCATCCTGTGGACGGTAGCGCGAGAGCATATGGATACACAAAAGGCCTAGGAACTAGGCCCCAAAGGGTTAACAGGAATACATATGGATTTATATCTACATATCTATAGTTCACTTATCTGTTACAAGCAAATTTAGGAAATTTGCTTAGTATATCTGGTATCTTATTTTCATTAATAAGATTATCTTGACATGTCACATAGGTTATTATACCTCTGTAGGGGGGGGGGCAGAGCGGCAGGCGGCACTAACCCAGCACCCAGGGCTAGGGATAAGGTAGCAGTGATGGCACTAGGGGGGGGCAGAGCGGCAGGCGGCACTAATCCAGCACCAGGGCTAGGGGATAAGGTAGCAGTGATGGCACTAGGGGGGGACAGAGCGGCAGGCGGCACTAACCCAGCACCCAGGGCTAGGGATAAGGTAGCAGTGATGGCACTAGGGGGGGCAGAGCGGCAGGCGGCACTAACCTGCACCCAGGGCTAGGGGATAAGGTAGCAGTGATGGCACTAGGGGGGGGGCAGAGCGGCAGGCGGCACTAACCCAGCACCCAGGGCTAGGGGATAAGGTAGCAGTGATGGCACTAGGGGGGGGGCAGAGCGGCAGGCGGCACTAACCCAGCACCCAGGTGTAGGGGATGAGGTAGCAGTGATGGCACTAGGGGGGGCAGAGCGGCAGGCGGCACTAACCCAGCACCCAGGCTAGGGATAAGGTAGCAGTGATGGCACTAGGGGGGGGCAGAGCGGCAGGCGGCACTAACCCAGCACCCAGGGCTAGGGGATAAGGTAGCAGTGATGGCACTAGGGGGGACAGAGCGGCAGGCGGCACTAACCCAGCACCCAGGGCTAGGATAAGGTAGCAGTGATGGCACTAGGGGGGCAGAGCGGCAGGCGGCACTAACCCAGCACCCAGGGCTAGGGGATTAGGTAGCAGTGATGGCACTAGGGGGGGCAGAGCGGCAGGCGGCACTATCCCAGCACCCAGGGCTAGGGGATGAGGTAGCAGTGATGGCACAGGGGGGGGGGCAGAGCGGCAGGCGGCACTAACCCAGCACCCAGGGCTAGGGGATGAGGTAGCAGTGATGGCACTAGGGGGGGCAGAGCGGCAGGCGGCACTAACCCAGCACCCAGGGCTAGGGGATGAGGTAGCAGTGATGGCACTAGGGGGGGGCATAGCGGCAGGCGGCACTAACCCAGCACCTAGGGCTAGGGATGAGGTAGCAGTGATGGAAACTAGGGGGGCAGAGCGGCAGGCGCACTAACCCAGCACCCGGGGCTAGGGGATAAGGTAGCAGTGATGGCACTAGGGGGGGACAGAGCGGCAGGCGGCACTAACCAGCACCCAGGGCTAGGGGATAAGGTAGCAGTGATGGCACTAGGGGGGGCAGAGCGGCAGGCGGCACTAACCCAGCACCCAGGGCTAGGGGATGAGGTAGCAGTGATGGCACTAGGGGGGGCAGAGCGGCAGGCGGCACTAACCCAGCACCCAGGGCTAGGGGATGAGGGTAGCAGTGTGGCACTAGGGGGGCAAGAGCGGCAGGCGGCACTAACCCAGCACCCAGGGCTGGGGGATGAGTAGCAGGATGGCACTAGGGGGGGCAGAGCGGCAGGCGGCACTAACCAGCACCCAGGGCTAGGGGATGAGGTAGCAGTGATGGCACTAGGGGGGGGGCAGAGGGGCCCAGGCGGCACAACCCAGCACCCAGGGCTAGGGGATGAGGTAGCAGTGATGGCACTAGGGGGGGCAGAGCGGCAGGCGGCACTAACCCAGCACCCAGGGCTAGGGGATAAGGTAGCAGTGATGGCACTAGGGGGGGCAGAGCGGCAGGCGGCACTAACCCAGCACCCAGGGCTAGGGGATGAGGTAGCAGTGATGGCACTAGGGGGGGGCAGAGCGGCAGGCGGCACTAAGAGTAGCGGCGCCACCTGGCTCAGTCTGGCCACTACATTCAACGATGGCTGATGTGAACGGTGTAGAGCCGGAACTCTCAAGGAAGAGGCTGAGACATGAGCCATACAACAAAGTAACAGTGGTGCTGGGAGCACAATGGGGTGACGAAGGTAAAGGGAAGGTGGTGGACATGTTAGCTGGCTCCTCTGATGTGGTGTGCAGGTGTCAGGTGAGATTATATTAACCTCCGGTACCAATGTGATGCAATCTTTGAACATAGTCAGGCCTAGCCGGTCTTAACATCACCTCCCACTAACATTATTATTTACTATTTTCAGGTGTATTTAGTTGTTGTATCTTAAAAAAAAAAGGTCCCATTATATTTTCTCAATGGAATTTTTCCCCATTATTATTGTTAAGGTCATGATCTCACCAGGCCTAGTCATTCTCACCATCATCATCCACTAACATCATATATTATTACTATTTCCACGTATATTTAATAATTTCATCTTAAAAAAAAGGTCCCAGAGTATTTTGATGGAATTTACCCCCTATTAATCATTAACTTCATTCTCCTCCAGGTCTAACCATTCTCACCATCATTATCACCATCACTTCCCACTAACATCATGTATTATTTATAATTTTCACGTGTATTTAATAGTTTTATCTTAAAAAAAAAAAAAGATCCCAGTATAGAAGTATTCTCGATGGAATTTTTCATTAATCATTGTCAAGGCCAAACCTCTCTCCTGTAATGAGGTCAAATTACTGTCATGTTTCTTTTCATTTTGTAATAAAGTTGGTAGAATTACGGACAATATGTAAAGTAAAAGGACACATGTGCAACTAATGTGCCACAATAAAATGTCACATTAGTTGCACTTGTGTCCTTTTCTTTTCATTTTGTTAAGATGGGACTAATGTAAATTTTTAGGCCTCATGACAAGGTAGTAATGACCATAGACATGCCAGCCTCGAAATTAATCATGGTAATTTAAAAAAAAAATTATTGATTTATTTCATTTTATTTTTTAAATGCCTTTTAAATGGAAATACTGTATATTAAACCTTAATAGGATATTTTTCTTTTATATTTCAGTATTAATTTTTTCACTCGTTAAATTTGTTTTTATTTGTCATGTCAGAGAGATAAGATGTCATATTTTTATGTTGCATTATATGAATAAAGGTTAAAGGGCATTTGGCAAGGTTACTGAGTGTGCCAATTTGTCACTAATGTCAGTGAATTACCCAGGTAACATGCTCAATGACTTATAAAAAATATAAACATAAGAATTCTATAACATAATATAGATTTAAGTTAGGTTATGTTGGCATAGGTTAGGTTAGGTTATATTATGTTAGGTTAGGTTATACTATGTTAGTGCTTCTAATAATTTTACTAACTTTACATATGGTAGAATTCCTCACCTGTTGGAAAATATCGAAAATATCAGTGACTTAGGACCATTAGTGAGATTGTTGGTATTTGAATAAAGTCATTATAAATAAATTTTCAAGGTTACTATTTTTGCAGTGTTGGAGTTGCATTGTAATTATGTGGGGAATTATATCACTGACTTCTACATGGCTTATGATATACACTATCCACATGAAATCTTTACAGTGAAAGAAAAATCACTATTAATGAAGACCCATATAGACTTTCATCTTGAATGATTTTAACAGAAGAGGCCATGTGACTTAGTACAATAATCCTGGCTCTTTATTCCTGATAATACATAGTAAATGTCATTTGCAAAATTTGCTATAGTATTTACATAATCTTGGTACACTTATTTGAGTCTTTGAGCATAAAACATAGGCTTACACTTAACTCTCAATTTGACATCTCTTTATTTAATAGACTTTGGAAATTCAGCACAAAATCTGCTAGGTAAGCTGATTCAGAAATGGCAGACAAAGACCTTTATTGTAATGAAAGCAAAAGAGTCACATCTTCATCTGCTATAATTGCCATAACCAGCCCCTCGCTTCTTCCTTATTAGTCTCTTCAATCGAGGATTTAATGTGTTTCTTTACAGTGTCAGCATCATTCAAATGGTCTCTTAAAATAAAGGCTGCCTGTGTTTCTTTACTGTATTTCAAGTCAGCATTTTCCAAATTTATTATGGTACATACAATATAAGGAATTTGTATTCACAATTGTTCTAGTTTATATATGACACATTCAATAATAGGCATATGAAAATTGATATTATGAGGTCATCCCAAAAATTCCTCAAACGTATAGTACATGTACTGTATTTATTTCTATAGTTGCTATGCTGTGTCTCATTTATATATTATTATATATTTAAGTTATTCTTAATGCCCACAGGTAATGTTTTAGCACTTACAAAAATTAATAATAGCTAATATATTTGTCTATATGTATACAGTCTGATATAACTTTAGTAATATTACTGGTAAAACAAATCCAAAATGTATTTGTTCAGTACGTATTCAGAACAGTCGGGGGCGTATTTTTTCTCACTAGTAAACAAGCAGTCGCTGGTACGAGGGCCCACCAAAGGGCCAATCACTCTCTTCACTTTTGTGTATCCTTAGACACAGTCTTGCTGCACCCTAACATAGGGCCAGCTCCACTGAACAAGTCATCTTATGACAAAGACCCATGTCAGGATTCTTTCCCTAACAGATTAATACCACCTTACTGCAGAAAAAGTCAGTAATGACCTAGGTACAGTCTTAGATTATTATGAAATGGTAGAAAAATATGGCATAAAAGTTTCATATGTTAGGTGGTCCCATAGCTGGGTTGGTAGCACACTCAACTCACACATTGAGGTTTGTGGTTCAATTCCTGGTATGGGTGAAAACATTTGGATGTGTTTCTTTAAGACACCTGCTGTCCCTGTTCACCAAGTAAATAGGTATCTCAGTGTTAGCCATCTGGTGTGGGTCACATCCTGGGGACAAAATTAACATAATTTGCCCAAAATGCTCTGCATAACAAGGGGCTTTTATATAGCATGTCAATGATATCAGCTAGGTCTGTTTATGTTGTACATGTACTTGTAGAAATAAAAATTATTATTATTATTCTTATCATCATGTTCACCATTGCCTACTTATATTGCAGTTGTACAGTATAGTAAATAGTACAAGGCATTGTTCTGAACACTTTCTGCAGCCTCACTTGTTTGTTGCACTTTAACTTTAACCTTGAGCTGGTCGATGACATTACTGCCTTTGATACGTAAACATTTACTGTATGCTGTTGCCAGTGCCGTCTTAGTGTTGAGTAAAAAATCATAAGATATAACTAACATGTTGTCAACTGAACTGGGGTTGTGATAACAATGGTGAATAGAGAATGAACTTTTCTGCATTTGTTGGAAAATTGCAGCAATAATTAGTTTGACACATACCCCATCTCCCACCTAGGTAGTTGGTGAAGCACCTTCACCAACATTCATCCAATAACTATCTTACAGGATGTGCACAGACATAATTCAAATAACCCTCCATTCTACAACATCTCTGTCCCACCTTTAGAGTGCAGGTACTGTATTTTTCTCCTTTAGGACTAAAGCTTGGTAGCATTCATTTTGTTTTTTATCAATGTTACCTTGCTCACACTCCACCAGCATAGTCCATAAAAATCACTTGTCTGTTCACTCAGACGAGTCTAATGAATGCAGTTGCACCTAGTACTCACTCAAAACTTCCTCTACCCCCTCTCTCTAACCCTTCCTTGAATATTGGATAAAAAAGATAATGATGTTATTATGTGAAATGTCTAGGATTATCCTTTGATACTTGCCTGTTAGGTGAATATGTTAATCACATTTTATTAAATAGAAATATATCCAAAACAAGATGGTAAAGTTTATTCTAAACGTGGGTATACCTTTGACAAGTTTCGAGAGACGTATAGTACTACTCTTGGAGCCCAGCCATTGGCCAGGTACTAAGGAACATCATGTTGTAATAATGTTTGTAGAATTGATAACAATATGTTGGGTAAAAGGACATGTGCAGCATGTGTCATTTTATCTGACACCATGTAGGCTAGGATGAAATGTAAAATTTAGGAAGGCTGAAAGTAGCAGGGAGTGAAACAGCTGAACTTAAGCAGTATTGTATCTATAAAATTTTGAATGGGTTAGGAATCAAACCTAATTAAATACCATGAAAAGGAACACAATTTGTAGACCATTGTATGAAGCCAGCCATCAGTTACTGTACTTTTTCTTCTATACAACTACAAAAAGCATAGTGAGTTGCTTAATCATGTCAAGACCAGCCATGACAAATAAATTTAATACTACAGCTAAGAAGTATATAAGCGACAAACAATGATACGGCTGGTTTTGCAGTGTAGTCATTGTTTAGTAAGAAACTGTTTTTCTTGGTAGTCAGCACTCTTGCCTCACACAGTGAGTGTCTGTGGTTCAATCCCTGGCTGAGTGGAAACGGGCATGTAGGTACTTAGGTGTTGATCAGCTAGTGTGGGTGGTATCCTGGGAGACAAGATTGAAGGACCCCAATGGAAATAAGACAGACAGTCCTTGATGATGCACTGGCTTTCTTGGGCTATACATACTGGGTGGCTAACCCTCTGGGTTAAAACTCTGAATGAATCTTATCTTATTGGAATTATGTCTATCTAATATTTTAGTTTTCTTATGTATGCACCTAAGTAAGATACAGAGCTGCAGTACAGTACAGTATTTCAGTTGCAAGAAATTATCCTATTTGACTCCATTGGGTTACTTAGGCTACAACCTTTGCTGCCCTTTCCCACCTAACAGTAGAAATTGGTACTAGTAACTGTGCTACCCAACTGTTATAGGTTGCATCCAGAGAAATAATTGTTATGCAGATGTGTTAGAAAACTCCAGTCCTGCTGGAAGTCATATCCTGTGAAAAATGCCGCTGTTTAAGAAAATTCCAGACCTGCTTGAGTTATTAAAGTGTTTTATTATTGTAAGTAGTACCTGCATGATGTGAAGTGTATTCAGTGATGTAATAAACAAAATGTACTGAATAAAATCATTATAGGAAGCTTCAGTATCTACACTACAATACAGTGTTTAATGACCATAACCCCAGCAACTTCATTTAGAGGTTGACTTAATTGTGAATGTTTGTACAATGGTCAACACATTCTGTACTATTGAAAAGGTATGAAATACCATTTTCACTAGTACAGAATATGTACTACTAACCGGCTCTAGCAATTGAGCTGGTTAGTAGTACATATTAACATTATCAGTGTCATTATTTATTGTCATTATTGTAATTATTATTTGTAATCTGACATGAATAAATGGGTAGCTGAACCTTCAAGTGGTTTCCTGTAGTTTACATATAATACAGTATTGTTAAGCACAAAAGAAAGCCACTTCTCTTTTGGTTTTGGTTTATAACTTTAGAAGGCAGTGTCTGATTGGCTTTATATTTTCAACACTGGTGTACTGTAACTAGGGAAAGGTTCATGCAGCTATTCACATAATGCAGGTGACCTCTGGTCAGCTTTATACAAACCATTCCTAATTTTGTTTTCTGAGTTGCTTCTGACTCTTAAATGTCTCTGTATTGTATTTAAGAGGAGGTTGGGATTGTAATTGGAGTGTTTAGGGGGCAGTTTCTTATTTTTATTTATGTAATGGTTTGGCATTATTCCATAAAAATAACTGGATATTGCCTCTGCCAAACAGTTTCAATCTTTAATGGCTGATACATCTTATGAAGAGGAAGATACCTTTGGGATGTAAACTGTGTGTAATAAATGTTAGTAAATTTGCTAATTTGCTAACATTCATATACACTCCATATTTGTTAAAATCATCTTTCTAACTGCTAAAAAAAATAAAGATTTTATTCCTTTGCAAAGGTTGCAATGTGTAATTACAATTTTGATTTGTTAAGCACAAAGAAAGCCACTAACATGCCAGGGCACTTCAGGCTACAAGTCTAATTGAAAGGACCTGGTTTTGGAATCCTTAATGAACAGACACATGTGAACATGGATCTTTCCACCTCCTGCCTCTGTTCGTCTGGCAGTATATAAATACCAGGACATTAATTGGGTGTTGTGGATTGTATTCTAAGGAAGAAAACTTAAGGAACTTATAGAAATAAACTAAATGGGTTAATTTTATTGGGTTATCCTTGGTTATTAACCATTTACTCCCAATTTTAAGGGTTAAAGTATCCTTGATGTTAGTTCATTGTGGATTGTTACCTTAAACTGACCTTAAATCTGACCAACTCAAGACCAAAGTTTTAGTGTCTATGATAGAACACACTTCTCTTCTGACATGTGGCTGCCATTCTCCACAGGATCCTCACAATGTGAACACATGTTAATTTATTTTTTTTATTTCTTCTGACATTCCATTTATATAAATTAGAAACAGGGCAAGCACCAACCCCTGTAGCATCCCATGTGAGACATCCCATAGGCTCTTACTTTGTATCACTGCATTTTTCCTTTCAAACAGAAAATCTCTCAGCCACTGCAGTTTTGTTTTTTATTCTTCTGTGATTTGCCATTTTCAGATCGCTCATTCATTTGTAAAACAACAGTTGAAGGAATGATTATGAGGGTGTTGCCTGCATTTTTTGGTCATCCTGCCTTGGTGGGACACACCTGGTGTGTTAAAGATCAGTCGCTCATGAGGAGCTCTCAGAATCTCTTGTTTCTTTGCAGAAGTGATACACCTACACAATACTCATTAATAAATGGAAATTGCTCAGTAAGTAATTAGAATATTCTGTAGTCTAAGAAGAAGGTTGTTATTTATAGAGCTCACTGAACAAAGTGGAATCTGAACCAGTGGCAAGCCAGTTATCCATATATCTCTTATACACATGCAAACATTTAAGGCTTAAGTCTTACTGTACATGTATTCATTTATGCCAATTGTAGTCATGCATGACATTGCAGAACATTAAATGGTCACTGTGCATTGACTGAGGCAGTCTCTAATGTCCATGGTTTGGATACTACACTGCTAAATGTTTACTTACAGTGTATCCTGTGCATGTAAGCTGTGATAGTAAACACTTACCATATTTTCTGGCATATAAGACGCACAGTTTTCCCAACAGAAAGTCTTGGAAAATCAGCTTGTGCCTTAGATGCTCAAGGTCAGGGCCAAGGGTAGGCTTTGGGTTACACTTTAGCATAAAGTAAGAGGGTAATTATCCCCTTGAATATGATTACTGATTTACCATTATGATATTACTGTCATGCACCTTATATGCTTGAAAATACAGTAGATAGCAGTGTGCTAAAATTGTTATATCCATTTCACATTTAAAACCATAATTATTTTATTTTATAGTGCGAGTAAAATAAGTATGCCGGACTGACAAATTGGGCTTCTGTTAAACCTGTGCTAATAAAAGAAATAGTTCAGAAAATTGGTTGGTTATTAGTGTAATGGATTTGGTGGGTTTAAACGTGTGAATCTTTGTTATGCTTGCCATGCGATGGTATTGATTTCAAACCCCATCCCCCTCTCCCTCCTCTAATGCATCTTTTATTTGATCAGCTTAATCCATGACATTACATGGATTAAATCATCATTTGCAGAGCAATGATTTTCTCCTTTGTTGAAAATTTCACATAGTTGAGTTACTTGGCATTTTACAAAGACCCCAATACAAATAAGTCACTTTATCTGACTTTTCTGGGTTATCCTAAGTATAATTTACGCATATGATACTATGTATGATGATTTATGTATCTGTATTTATGTGTACTGTACTTAAAAAAACTTACTCAATTGCTTACTGTATTTTATATTTTTATTTGACTTTTTTCTAGGGAGGCAACAATGCTGGTCACACAGTAGTGACTGGAGATGCAGAGTATGACTTTCACATTCTGCCATCTGGTATTATCAACACCTCAGCTGTGTCTGTCATAGGTAACTATGAAGATTGTACAGTATTTGTTAATTGTAAATCATAATTGTTCATATGGCATCAATGTGCTAATATTGCATTTCTTTTTACCTTCTGTATACAGTAAGGTGCATGTGCACGTCTTAGTTATCATTTTTGTCTTAGGCACATGTCGATTAGACACTTGACCTGTATGCATATAGGCACATGTCAATTAGACACTTGACCTGTATGCATGTATGCACATGTTGATTAGACACTTGACCTGTATGTATGTGTCTGGGGGGGGGCTATGGGTGGTTGGTTCGGACATTTAGAGAGGCTGGAACAAAATAGAATGACTTGGAGAACGTATAAATCCGTAGTGGAAGGAAGTGGGGTAGGAGGTCCTCCTAGGAAAGATTTGAGGGAAGGGATATAGGTTTTGTGTGCGAGGGGCTTAGCTTTCCAGCAAACATGTGTGAGTGTGTTTGGAGCAAGTGTGCATGTGTGTGTGTGCGTGTATATGTGCATGTGTGTATGTGAGCATGTGTGTGCATGTGCGTGTGTGCACGTGTGTGTGCGCACAACCACAGAGGGAGATGAATGATAGCTCTCGGCCTTTCATAGTGCAATCAGCGCATCTTCAGGAGCTTGTAATGTTGCAGAAATGAGTGATTCTAGCTAGAGAATCACTCTACCTGAACCTCCTACTTATTTCTGCAACATTGCAAGCTCCTGAAGATGTGATTGGAACATAAAAAGCCTAGAGCTATAATTCAACTCCCCCTGTGGTTGTTTTGCATCTTGTATCGCTTGTCCACAATCATTGCATATGTACATACATATATACATACATATGTACATACATATGTACATATACATATATACATGCATATTTACATATTTACATTACTGTATTTGTATGTCTTCATAATTGATTTTTTTTTTTACAGTACAGTACCTTGTTTGAGAATAGTTTTAACCTGTTCTTTTCCCAGTTTTTAGGACCTTTCTTCATCTCTTTCTTTTTATAATGTTGATTGTTTTGATGAGCCCCCTGAATTTATTTTTATATGTTGCAATTATATTGGTGTGTTTATACCTCTGTGTACTTGTTGTCACTTCTGAGTTTTCTACTCTTGTAACTTTGAGAGTTCAGGTTACTACTATGAATCCATTCTATTGACCCACATATCTTTGAGGGGAGGGGAGGATGAGGAGAGGGAAAGCATGCACTGCGGCAGTTAGCCTGGTGGTAGAGATGAATAGCTTGTAAACACTGAAATATATTATGTTGAACAAATGAGGGTGGTTGTGCCCATGCCTAGGCTTCTGGAATGACTGTATTATGTGCATTTGACAACCAGTCAGATGATGGAGAAAAAAGTATGATAAATTAGACACATGTGCAACACTTGGGTATCTCAGTAAAGCTACCCAAGTGTTGCACATGTGTCTAATTTATCAACTTGTCGATTCTCTGAACCATTGATCTACAAAAAGGTATGCAAGGTTGACTTTCTTGAAGTCAGAAATAGAAATTTCACTAAATAATTGGAACGTTTGATTATGGTTCCTCTCGTTTGAAACTCTGGATTATTGTGAGTGAAATAAAAAAGATTAATGTGACTGCCATTTTGAAATTAATATACTTCTTTGTAGGTATAGAGATGGGAAAGATTACTGTGATTGTCAGAGTGAAATTAACAAGGTTGGGACACTGACCATATGATGTAGCCCATTCCTGCAGAAAGGTTGGGGACCACTGCTCTGTGGTAATAATCAACTCCAAAGTTCTTCAGTTACCCACGGATATAAATAATAAATGGAGACTGAGATGAAGGTGGTTGGTCTCTTATCTTTGTTGTCTCATTGTTGATGGACTTGGCCACCAAGAAGACAGTCTGTCCCCTTGTGTTGAGACTAGAAATGTGAACACAAGCTAATCCATTCTTGGCTTTATAGTCACTGTATAGCCCTTGTGGTTTAGCACTTCTTTTTTATTATAATAATAATAATATAGTCACAGTCTATACATTACAGTACAATATAACTTCATTTCTTTTTGCAGTATACAAAATGTAGTTTACATGTAGTAAAATATTGTTAAGCACAAAAGAAAGCCACTAGCATGCTGTGTATTTCAGGCAGACTAATCTAGTGAGACAAACAGGTATACTGCCTCAGACTTACCTACATACCTGTGAACCACTTGATTTTTATGTGCTAGTAGGAATAAAATTATATTCTACTGACTAGCAATATTGTATATACACTGAAAAGTATATATATCAGTGTGTGTGTGTGTGTGTGTGTGTGTGTGTGTGTGTATATATATAAAATATATATATTTATATATATATATATATATATATATATATAGATATATATAATATATATATATATATATATATATATATATATTTTTTTTTTCAACAAGTTGGTCGTCTCCCACCGAGGCAGGGTGACCCAAAAAAGAAAGAAAATCCCCAAAAAGAAAATACTTTCATCATCATTCAACACTTTCACCACACTCACACATTATCACTGCTTTTGCAGAGGTGCTCAAATACAACAGTTTAGAAGCATATACGTATAAAGATACACAACATATCCCTCCCAAACTGCCAATATCCCAAACCCCTCCTTTAAAGTGCAGGCATTGTACTTCCCATTTCCAGGACTCAAGTCCGACTATATGAAAATAACCGGTTTCCCTGAATCCCTTCACTAAATATTACCCTGCTCACACTTCAACAGATGTCAGGTCCCAAGTACCATTCGTCTCCATTCACTCCTATCTAACAGCTCACGCACGCTTGCTGGAAGTCCAAGCCCCTTGCCCACAAAACCTCCTTTACCCCCTCTTTCCAACCCTTTCGAGGACGACCCCTACCCCGCCCTTCCTTCCCCTATAGATTTATATGCTTTCCATGTCATTCATACTTTGATCCATTCTCTCTAAATCACCAAACCACCTCAACAACCCCTCTTCTGCCCTCTGGCTAATACTTTTATTAACTCCACACTTCTCTGTTCAATCGAATTTCTGCATAATATTTACACCACACATTGCCCTTAGACAGGACATCTCCACTGCCTCCAACCTCTCCTCGCTGCTGCATTTACCACCCAAGCTTCACACCCATATAAGAGTGTTGGTACTACTATACTTTCATACATTCCCTTCTTTGCCTCCATAGATAACGTTTTTTGACTCCACATATACCTCAACGCACCACTCACCTTTTTTCCCTCATCAATTCTATGATTAACCTCATCCTTCATAAATCCATCCGCCGACACGTCAACTCCCAAGTATCTGAAAACATTCACTTCTTCCATACTCCTCCTCCCCAATTTGATATCCAATTTTTCTTTATCTAAATCATTTGACACCCTCATCACCTTACTCTTTTCTATGTTCACTTTCAACTTTCTACCTTTACACACATTCCCAAACTCATCCACTAACCTTTGCAATTTTTCTTTAGAATCTCCCATAAGCACAGTATCATCAGCAAAAAGTAACTGTGTCAATTCCCATTTTGAATTTGATTCCCCAAAATTTAATCCCACCCCCTCTCCCGAACACCCTAGCATTTACTTCCTTTACAACCCCATCTATAAATATATTAAACAACCATGGTGACATTACACATCCCTGTCTAAGACCTACTTTTACCGGGAAGTAGTCTCCCTCTCTTCTACACACCCTAACCTGAGCCTCACTATCCTCATAAAAACTCTTTACAGCATTTAATAACTTACCACCTATTCCATATACTTGCAACATCTGCCACATTGCTCCTCTATCCACTCTATCATATGCCTTTTCTAAATCCATAAATGCAATAAAAACTTCCCTACCTTTATCTAAATACTGTTCACATATATGCTTCAATGTAAACACTTGATCTACACATCCCCTACCCACTCTGAAACCTCCTTGCTCATCCGCAATCCTACATTCGTCTTACCTCTAATTCTTTCATTATAACCCTACCGTACACTTTTCCTGGTATACTCAGTAAGCTTATTCCTCTATAATTTTTACACTTTCTTTGTCCCCTTTCCCTTTATATAAAGGGACTATACATGCCTCTCCGCCAATCCCTAGGTACCTTCCCCTCTTTCATATACTTTTATTAAACAAAAGTACCAACCACTCCAACACTATATCTCCCCCTGCTTTTAACATTTCTGTCATGATCCCATCAGTTCCAGCTGCTTTACCCCCTTTCATTTTACGTAATGCCTCACGTACCTCCCCCACACTTACATTCTGCTCTTCTTCACTCCTAAAAGATGGTATACCTCCCTGACCAGTGCATGAAATTACTGCCTCTGTTTCTTCCTTAACATTTAAAAGTTCCTCAAAATATTCTCGCCATCTACCCAATACCTCCATCTCCCCATCTACTAACTCCCCTACTCTGTTTTTTAACTGACAAATCCATATTTTCCCTAGGCTTTCTTAACTTGTTTAACTCACTCCAAAATTTTTTCTTATTTTTATTAAAATTTCTTGACAGTGCCTCTCCCACTCTATCATCTGCTCTCCTTTTGCACTCTCTCACCACTCTCTTTACCTTTCTTTTACTCTCCATATACTCTGCTCTTCTTATAACACTTCTGCTTTGTAAAAACCTCTCATAAGCTACCTTTTTCTCTTTTATCACACCCTTTACTTCATCATTCCACCAATCACTCCTCTTTCCTCCTGCCCCCACCCTCCTATAACCACAAACTTCTGCCCCACATTCTAATACTGCATTTTTAAAACTATTCCAACCCTCTTCAACCCCCCCACTACTCATCTTTGCACTAGCCCACCTTTCTGCCAATAGTCGCTTATATCTCACCCGAACTTCCTCCTCCCTTAGTTTATACACTTTCACCTCCCTCTTGTTGTTGCCACCTTCCTCTTTTCCCATCTACCTCTTACTCTAACTGTAGCTACAACTAAATAATGATCCGATATATCAGTTGCCCCTCTATAAACATGTACATCCTGGAGCCTACCCATCAACCTTTTATCCACCAATACATAATCTAATAAACTACTTTCATTACGTGCTACATCATACCTTGTATATTTATTTATCCTCTTTTTCATAAAATATGTATTACTTATTACCAAATTTCTTTCTACACATAGCTCAATTAAAGGCTCCCCATTTACATTTACCCCTGGCACCCCAAATTTACCTACTACTCCCTCCATAACATTTTTTCCCACTTTAGCATTGAAATCCCCAACCACCATTACTCTCACACTTGATTCAAAACTCCCCACGCATATGAGTTTATTAATCCTTATACAGTATTGGGGCTAAGGCATTCTTGACCAGAGGTGTACCGATGAAATGTAGCTTTAATGACACTTGCAGTAGATATGTTTTAATGTATGAAACAAGTCCGAAGTCTAGCATGAATTAAATTAGCAGGGTTATAACTGATTCCCAGGAAGATGACATATATTTACTATTGCAGGTAATGGTGTTGTAGTGCACCTTGGTCAAATGTTTGAGGAAATAGAGAAGAACGAAGCAAAAGGTTTGAAAGATTGGGAGAAACGACTTATCATATCTGATAGATCTCACATTGTATTTGATTTCCATCAAGTAAGTATAGTACATACATTCTTGACTTATGTCATTCTTACAGATTATTTTATTGCAAATTTCAACATTGCAGAGTAGGTGGAGGCATGTTCTGATATACTTCAGTCTTTAACTAAAATATATTAATTTTCACACTTTTAATTGAAACTACTGCTGTACCAGTTTTCTTCCTGTTATTTGTGTGTATATAGTTGGAGTGACCAGATATTTCTGAACTGCTAGAGGGTTTCATTATTTACTCTGCTTACTAAGTTACTTAACTGGGAGTGAGCCCAACACCACAGATAGCATTACTGCTTGGAGTCCAAGTTAATTTTTCTGGTGCTGTCTTCTGTAACCCCTATATTAATAGCTAATTGCCTTGTTCCATCTTGTATATTTTGCCTCATTACTTTAAGATGAGCCTGCATTACCTTGAGATGTGCCCCATTACCTTGAGGTGTGCCACATTACCTTGTGATGTGCCCCATTACCTTGAGATATGCCCCTATTACCTTGAGATGTGATGCCATTACCTTAAGTTATGCCCTGTTACCTTGAGATGCACCTCCCATTACCTTGATTGTTTTATAGTTTTATCATCAATTTTCTGTGCTAGTTTTACTCTGAAATTCATTCAGTTTAGCCATAACATCTAGTATACAGTTTATAATTAGACTTTCTCTTTGTTTCATCAGTGCTTTACTAACAAAGTCATTTTTATTGGTCTACACCTTCTTATATTAACCCTGACTACTAACAAAGTCATTTTTATTGGTCTGCACCTTTTTATATTAACCCTGACTGTCTCCCAGTGAGGTGGGATGACCCAAAAATGCAGCAGTACTTTCACCATTATTCACTCACTGTCTTATCTGCAGAAGCTGACTTTTTTATATGAACAGAAATAGAATGACTTCAAGAGTGTATAAATCTGTAGTGGAGAGGTGGGGTAGGGGTCAGCCTAGGAATGGTTGGAGGGAGGAGGTAAAGGAGGTTTTGTGTGCAAGGGACTTGGACTTCCAGCAAGCATGTGTGTGTGTGTTAGATAGGAACAAATGGAGACAAATGGTTGGAGTGTAAGCAAGGTAACATTTATGAATGGATTCAGGGAAACTGGCAGGCTGGACTTGATTCCTGGAGATGGGAAGTACAGTGCTGGCACTCTGAAGGAGGGGTATTAACGTTGCAGTTTTATAACTGTAGTGTAAGCATGCCTCTGGCATGACAGTGGTGGAGTGAATGATGATAGAAGTTTTTCTTTTTCGGGCCACCCTGCCTTGGTGGGAAACGGCCAATGTGTTAATAAATAAATATAAATAAAATAATTTACTTGTATAGTTTTTTCATCCAGAGGAAACTGCAGTCAGTCATAAGTTTTGAAGTAAATACTCTATAAAATCTCCATACCCACTATTCTCTTGGGTTTATGGCTTGGTTTCCTTTTAAGCAGCAATAAAAATGGAGGGGGTAAAGGAGGTTTTGTGGGCGAAGGGCTTGGATTTCCAGCAAGCGTGCATGAGTGTGTTAGGAGTGAATGGAGACAAATGGTTTTTGGGACCTGATGAGCTGTTGGAGTGTGAGCAGGGTAATATTTTGTGAAGGGATTCAGGGAAACCGGTTAACCAGACTTGAGTCCTGGAAATGGGAAGTACAATGCCTGCACTTTAAAGGAGGGGTTTAGGATATTGGCAGTTTGGAATGACTATCTAAACTGTCATATCTGCAAACCTCTGCAAAGACAGTGATTATGTGTGAGTGATGGTGAAAGTGTTGAATGATTCCAAAAGTTTTTTCTTTCTTTTTAGGTTTTTCTTTCTTTTGGGTCATCCTGCCTTGGTGGGAAATGGCCAACATGTTAAAAAAAAATATTTGTTGTTAAAGTGGGTTGGATAGCTATGTGAGTGGCAGTGGATGTGTGGGGAGTTTGATTTGCTTAGCATGGGCCAGTAGACCCACTGAAGGGTTCATTTTTTCTAATGTTGAAACTGACTTCTTGTTTGCATTTACTTGTGATTCAGTAATGTCTCTTATTTGGACAATTGTTTGTAGGGGTGTGAAATATACAGAAGGGCTGAGTATTAGAAATCAACACCTTTCATCATCTTCTTTCAACAAACTGGCTGCATCCCACCAAGGCAGGGTGGCCCAAAAGGAAACAAAAGTTTCTCCTTTTAAATTTTGCAATGTATATACAGAAGGGGTTACTAACCCCTTGTTTCTGGCATTTTAGTTGTCTCTTACGACACGTATGACTCACAGAGAAAGAACTCTGTTCCACGTTCCCATGGAGAACCTTTCATCTTTTCAGTTTGCAAAAAACAAAATTTGAGAGGAATTCCTGAGTAGCGTTCCATTTTTTTAATTTAAAATGACAAGGATTTTGTATACAAAGCATATTCACAATGTACGCATTTCAATATGTAGCATTGAACTCTATATACAGTACATCAGTTAGATATTATAGATAAGCATACAGGTTGTGACAAAGAAGGTAATTTCTCAGTACATTATGATACCATCTTTACAGTTAGCAAAAAGTAGATTAATTTAAGATACATTTATTGCTGTATAATTTTTTAAACTTGTACATAATTCTGCACTTTGTTTCTAAATGAAAATTTATTTTAATAATTAGTACATAAAATTAGCTGTATCATAAGAGAGACCAAGGAAGGAGACTCAAAATACCTTAATTACCCAATGCTCTTGAACCATGTTTGATTACAGTATTATTATTATTACTATTAATTGTTTGAAACCACTCTTTTATGTCCTTATTTTTTTGGCAGAGTGTAGATGGCTTGCAAGAGCAGGAACGTTCTATGGATAATTCTGGTACTAAAACCCTGGGCACTACCAAGAAAGGTATTGGCCCTTGCTACTCCAGTAAGGCTGGGAGACATGGGCTTAGAATGGCAGATCTTCTGGGAGACTTTAGTTTGTTTGAGCAAAGACTGAGGAACTTAGTTGATTCGCACAAGAGAATGTTCCCTGGTAGGTTTTACAGACATATATCTTTGTATTTAGCTCAAAACACTTACCTAACTTTAGTTAATTTTTAACCCTAATACATGTTATACTTTTTCCACCACTTTTGTCAGCTCAGGAGAGAGTTGGTTGTTTCAGTTAAAAAGTAAAAGTAATTATTTTTTAACATAAAGTATGGATACAAAGGAATTACAGTTAATATTAGAATGATATTTACTGTCTGGAGGGACATCTGAACTGTCATATCTGTGTGCCTTGGGCAAAACAGTGATAGTTTGAAAGATGGTTAAAGTGTTTCTTTTATGGGTCACTCTGCCTCAGTGGGAAACAGCCACTGTGTTAAAGAAAAAAATTAGAATGGCATTATAATACTCAGTATTGATGGCAGGTCTAAAACTAATAGATATAATATAACCAAACCAGCATGATCATTTCTCTGGTATGTTCAGTATATAAAAATTTCAGTCAAGTTTTGAAGGCATTAATGGGTCTCAAATTTTTTCTATATGAGGATGTTGCATCAAGGGGTTCCCAGATACACAGAGCAGCAATGATATAAGTATAAACATAATTTAAGAAACTCCTTAAAATGTATTTCCCAGAATCCATTCTTAAACCTTGAAGAAATCCTGTGTGCTAATCTTATTTCTGTTTCTCTTTCCATCTCCCAGTTATCAATCTGTCCTCTACATTCTTAACTGTGCATATAAAAATATGTGCTCAAATTTTGATGTATGCCTCGCTACCAGATATAAGCCACTCGGCTTTTTTTAATTTTGTTATTGTTGGGAAATTATATGGGTGTTCAGGTTATTATATGCTAACCTGAGTTAACCTAAACTAACAAAAATAAAATTTACATGAAATTTCCAGCATGCAGAAATGCACAAAGGGCAGTTTGTGTGAAACTTACTGCCTTAATTGGAGAACATTTTGCAAATACGTATAGAGCTTCCCTGCTTAGTCTTTTTTTAACTCAGTAGTTCAACCAATGGATTATTGTTATTCTTTTTCCAGAATTTTCACTTATTGAATAACTTTGTATCCTCTTTGTAATTGTTCCTTCCTATATCACCAAATATGTATCTTATTTTTGCTAAATTGTTAAATTAAATTAACATTGTGATGTGTTCTCTCTTCATGTTCTATTATGAGTATTGTTTCTCCTGTGTGAGCTGCAGTGAACCTTTGATCCCATTAGTTAACTTACTGTTAGCATGTGCTCTTTTGTATTTTCTTTTGAATAATCATTATATAGTTTTAGACTTGCTATGTTCTTATTTTGTAGTTAAGCTTTTGTCAATTGAAATATCAGTGCTCAGCTCCTAACAAAATTATTAGATGAATATGTATAATGGGGGCAACTTTGGCAGTCACTGTAGTAGTTGTGTCCTAAGAGGTGACTATAATGCCAGGAGCAAGGGACTAGTAACCCTTTCTCTTGTATATAGTACTAATGCAAACAATCGCAGGCAGGAAATCTTTAGCTCAAGTACTTTCACACTTCTCAGTGCATCATTAGGAGCTATGCAGTGTTGCAAGGCAGCAGTTGAAGGAGTGAGGGGCAGTTTTCTCAGAATAGCACAGTGTGGGGTTTGTCACCTGCCACAGCCTCCTGGCTGCGGCAGGTAAAAGGTGGCTTGTCTTGCACAGTACAGTGGATCCCCGGTTAACGATATTTTTTCACTCCAGAAGTATGTTCAGGTGCCAGTACTGACCGAATTTATTCCCATAAGAAATATTGTGAAGTAGATTAGTCCATTTCAGACCCCCAAACATACACGTACAAACGCACTTACATAAATACACTTACATAATTGGTCGCATTCGGAGATAATCGTTATGCGGGGGTCCACTGTACTAAGAAGAGCTTTTGTTTCTTCTTTTTTGAGTCAGTCTGTTTCAGTGAGAAACAGCCAATGTGTTAAAAAAAAAAAATTGGTGAGAGTCATTGGGATGTTCAGTTTTTATTGCCAATGAGTTAGCATGTTTATATTGTCAAATGAATTCTGTAACATGAGGCTTTTTTTTCTTCAGAACTGCAGGTAAATGTTGAAGAGGAAGTTAGTAAGTACAAAGATTATGCTGAGAGAATGCAGCCCTTGGTAGCCAACACACTTGCTTATATTCACAAGTGTCTTAAGGAGAATAAGAAAGTGCTGGTAGAAGGAGCTAATGCGGCCATGTTGGATATTGACTTTGGTGAGACTTGTTACCTGTTTATCTAAATCAGAATTATTTTTGACATGGAAAATGCTACTACCATAGTTACGTTCAAATAAGGTGTGTTGATGCTTGCAAAAGAGTCGTGACCCAAGAAATTGGAATTACCTTCCTTAGATCAAACATAATTGCTTTCCTTTCCTCAGGTGTTATATTATCTTGTGGATTTAGTATTTCCCTATGAATATAAAGCACCATTATTAAGAAATTTAGAAAGGTACATCTCACTGTAATCTCTGTGTTTAAGTTATTTTTACAGTAAGTAATTTAAGTGATGGGATATTTGCAGCTATGAACTGTAGTATCATCTCCCCTTTGGCAAGACAGTGATGGAGTGAATGATGGTAAAAGTGTTTCTTTGTTTTTAAGTTACCGTACCTTAGTGGGAGATGGCCAGTTTGTTAAAAAAAAAATGCAGTAATTTTACTATTGAACATGTACTAATAAATGGAATATTTTACAGGTACTTATCCATATGTGACCTCAAGTAATTGCAGTATTGGCGGTGTATGTACTGGACTAGGCATTGCTCCTCAGTACATTGGTGAAGTGTATGGGGTAGTAAAGGCCTATACTACTAGAGTGGGTGTTGGACCTTTCCCTACTGAGCTTCATGATGTAAGTCATCATCACTTTATTACTGATGGAAATTAAAAAAAAAAATTTCTTGAGCTGTGCATTATCTTTAAACATATATTTTTTATAAATATAGTAACATTTCAATATAACAGATTAATTGTGAAAATCTCTGAATTTCTATTAATTCAGAATGTTTAAAAAGTCTCATAAAACACACGTTGGCCATCTCCCACCGAGGCAGGGTGACCCAAAAAAGAAGGAAAATCCCCAAAAAGAAAATGCTTTCATCATCATTCAACACTTTCACCACACTCACACATTATCACTGTTTTTGCAGAGGTGCTCAGAATACAACAGTTTAGAAGCATACACATATAAAGATACACAACATATCCTTCCAAACTGCCAATATCCCAAACCCCTCCTTTAAAGTGCAGGCATTGTACTTCCCATTTCCAGGACTCAAGTCCGACTATATGAAAATAACCGGTTTCCCTGAATCCCTTCACTAAATATTACCCTGCTCACACTCCAACAGATCGTCAGGTCCCAAGTACCATTCGTCTCCATTCACTCCTATCTAACACGCTCACGCACGCTTGCTGGAAGTCCAAGCCCCTTGCCCACAAAACCTAATATGAAAATATATCTAAATATATCTAATATAATAATTTGCACACAGGTTATAGGTCTACTGCAATAATCATTAAAATTAAATGAGTTTGAAGTACAATTTGCCCAGTGGATTTTCTTTTTTGTTATTTCAGAAGGGCGTTGTATCGAGGTTCATTACATCAAGAGTTATTGTGTTGATATTTTTTCCTTGATATACAGACACATGAATGAAGATTCTATTTTTCCCATATCACTTTTGAAATATTTACCTCTGATCATTCTAATAAATGACATTTTTAAGGATTGATTTGATGAAAGTCAGGATAGATTAATGTACACCATGTGTCAAAGGTCTTGCAAAAAGATTTTGCTCTATTTTTTCTTGAAGTTTTACACTTGTCCCTTGGGATTGGCAGCACACTGTAGGTGTGGCTGTTGCATAAAATGTAAAACAGCAAATTCGTCTTGAAACTGTATTATATTTATAGTACAGTTGACAAAATTTAGAGTGGATGCTTTGGGATAGAGACTTGTATATAGAGATAGGGCATCTACCTTAGATTCATGAAGATTGATGAATTGATTACCTCCTTTCTAGGAAGGGGCCTGATCGCTTCACACTATTACTTCACATGTTCCACTGTCCCCAACAGAGTCATCAAGGCTAAAGGCCTGATCACCTCAAACCACTAGCTCAAATCTTTTACCATCTAAAGTATCTTTTCCTGTATTAGACTAAGTCATTTGTTTGAGAAACATCTTCACAATAAAGATACCCAAGTGTTGCACATGTGTCTTATTCATCTAAAACTGTTTTTTTTTCCCCAGGATACTGGAAAATTACTGCAGTCTCGTGGGGGTGAATATGGAGTAACCACTGGGAGACCAAGAAGATGTGGCTGGCTGGATGCAATGCTCTTGAGTCACTCCAATATGGTGAATGGCTACACTGCTATTATTCTTACCAAGTTGGATATATTAGATGAGCTAGAAGGTATGCTTTTTTTTATTTATGCCCTACAGATTTTCTTTTATCTGTAAAGTTAGTTGTTTTAATATAATTTAAAATATTTTGAAAAGCATACATCTGGGGAGTGGAAGATAATCAGGCTTGATCCAAGGAAAGGGAGGGTGGCTCTGATTCCTTGGATCAAGCATCCTTCACCAGTATTAAGACACCCTCCATGAAAGGCATTTTCCTCTCAAAGTGTTGTCAGAGCTGATTTGGAGATTCCTACAGAGTCTTTACTTTTATTTTATGTATGCATGTGTGTTTAAATATTACCCTGCTCACACTCCAACAGATCGTCAGGTCCCAAATACCATTCGTCTCCATTCACTCCTATCGAACACGCTCATGCACGCCTGCTGGAAGTCCAAGCCCCTTGCCCACAAAACCTCCCTTACCCCTTCCTTCCAACCTTTTTGAGGACGACCCCTACCCGCCTTCCTTCTACAGATTTAAATGCTCTCCATGTCATTTCTACTTTGATCCATTCCTCTAAATGACCAAAACCACCTCAACAACCCCTCTTCAGCCCTCTGAATAATACTTTTATTAACTCCACACTTTCTCCTAATTTTCTGCATAATATTTACACCACACATTGCCCTTAGACAGGACATCTCCACTGCCTCCAACCACCTCCTCGCTGCAACATTCACAACCAAGCTTCACACCCATATAAGAGTGTTGGTACTACTATACTTTCATACATTCCCTTCTTTGCCTCCATAGATAACGTTTTTTGACTCCACATATACCTCAATGCACCACTCACCTTTTTTCCCTCATCAGTTCTATGATTAACCTCATCCTTCATAAATCCATCCGCCGACACGTAAACTTCTAAACTTCTAAACTGTTGTGTTCTGAGCACCTCTGCAAAAACAGTGATTATGTGTGAGTGAGGTGAAAGTGTTGAATAATGATGAAAGTATTTTCTTTTTGGGGATTTTCTTTCTTTTTGGGTCACCCTGCCTTGGTGGGAGATGGCCGACTTGTTGAAAAAAAAAAATGTGTTTGCTGTTGTGTGCAATTTTTTTTGTGTGTGTGTGTGCACGTGTGTGTGTGTGTGTGAGAAAGAGAGATCAGTTCTTGAATAACAGCTAAAACTGCTACTTATTCTTCCACTTTTAATTTTAATTCTTGAGTATTGTGTATACTATAGTCTTCTGCTTATGTCTTGCATTTTTAATAATATTGAACACACTTTAATGTTAAATGATCAGTTATGGAAGGAGAAAAGAGAATATGAATGTGTAAATTCAAGAATTATGTGGATTAAAGTAAAGGTTGGATGCGAGAAGTGGGTCATAATAAGCGTGTATGCACCTGGAGAAGAGAGGAATGCAGAGGAGAGAGAGAGATTTTGGGAGATGTTAAGTGAATGTATAGGAGCCTTTGAACCAAGTGAGAGAGTAATTGTGGTAGGGGACTTGAATGCTAAAGTAGGAGAAACTTTTAGAGAGGGTGTGGTAGGTAAGTTTGGGGTGCCAGGTGTAAATGATAATGGGAGCCCTTTGATTGAACTTTGTATAGAAAGGGGTTTAGTTATAGGTAATACATATTTTAAGAAAAAGAGGATAAATAAGTATACACGATATGATGTAGGGGCGAAATGACAGTAGTTTGTTGGATTATGTATTGGTAGATAAAAGACTGTTGAGTAGACTTCAGGATGTACATGTTTATAGAGGGGCCACAGATATATCAGATCACTTTCTAGTTGTAGCTACACTGAGAGTAAAAGGTAGATGGGATACAAGGAGAATAGAAGCATCAGGGAAGAGAGAGGTAAAGGTTTATAAACTAAAGAGGAGGCAGTTAGGGTAAGATATAACAGCTATTGGAGGATAGATGGGCTAATGAGAGCATAGGCAATGGGGTCGAAGAGGTATGGGGTAGGTTTAAAAATTGTAGTGTTAGAGTGTTCAGCAGAAGTTTGTGGTTACAGGAAAGTGGGTGCAGGATGGGAAGAGGAGCGATTGGTGGAATGATGATGTAAAGAGAGTAGTAAGGGAGAAAAAGTTAGCATATGAGAAGTTTTTACAAAGTAGAAGTGATGCAAGGAGGGGGAGTATATGGAGAAAAAGAGAGAAATTAGAGAGTGGTGAAGCAATGTAAAAAGAGAGCAAATGAGAGAAATGGGTGAGATGTTATCAACAAATTTTGTTGAAAATAAAAAAAAGTTTTGGAGTGAGATTAACAAGTTTAAAAAAGCCTAGAGAACAAATGGGGTTTGTCAGTTAAAAATAGGGGGAGGAGGTTATTAAATGGGAGTTAGAGGTATTGGGAAAATGGAAGGAATATTTTGGGAATTGTTAAATGTTGATGAAAATAGGGAAGCTGTGTTCGTGTATGGGCAAAAGGAGGAATAACATCTTGTAGGAGTGAGGGAAAAAGGGCCGTTGTGAGGGGGGGGGAAGTTGATTTTACAACACGCATGGCTTACGGGGAAAGATTCTTATTCCACTTCCCATGGATATAAAAGGAAAATTAATAAGACCAAGAACTATTAAGATAAAATCAAAGAAAACTCAGATGAGTGTGTATAAATAAATGTGTACAAGTATGTGTAGTGTGACCTAAGTGTAAGTAGAAGTAGCAAGACATGCCTGTAATCTTGCATATTTATGAGACAGACAAAAGACATCAGCAATCCTACCATCATGTAAAACAATCACAGGCTTCGTTTTACACTCACTTGGCAGGACGGTAGTACCTCCCTGGGTGGTTGCTGTCTACCAACCTACTACCTATATTTTCATATAGTCGGACTTGAGTCCTGGAAATGGGAAGTACAATGCCTGCACTTTAAAGGAGGGGTTTGGGATATTGGCAGTTTGGAGGGATATGTTGTGTACCTTTATATGTGTATGCTTCTAGACTGTTGTATTCTGAGCACCTCTGCAAAAACAGTGATAATGTGCGAGTGTGGTGAAAAAAGTGTTGAATGATGATGAAAGTATTTTCTTTTTGGGGATTTTCTTTCTTTTTTGGGTCACCCTGCCTCGGTGGGAGACGGCCGACTTGTTGAAAAAAAAAAAAAAAAAAAAAAAAAATTCCTTGATATACAGACACATAAATGAAGATTCTATTTTTCCCATATCACTTTTGAAATATTTACCTCTGATCATTCTAATAAATGACATTTTTAAGGATTGATTTGATGAAAGTCAGGATAGATTAATGTACACCATGTGTCAAAGGTCTTGCAAAAAGATTTTGCTCTATTTTTTCTTGAAGTTTTACACTTGTCCCTTGGGATTGGCAGCACACTATAGGTGTGGCTGTTGCATAAAATGTAAAACAGCAAATTCGTCTTGAAACTGTATTATATTTATAGTACAGTTGACAAAATTTAGAGTGGATGCTTTGGGATAGAGACTTGTGTATAGAGATAGGGCATCTACCTTAGATTCATGAAGATTGATGAATTGATTACCTCCTTTCTAGGAAGGGGCCTGATCGCTTCACACTATTACTTCACATGTTCCACTGTCCCCAACAGAGTCATCAAGGCTAAAGGCCTGATCACCTCAAACCACTATCTCAAATCTTTTACCATCTAAAGTATCTTTTCCTGTATTAGACTAAGTCATTTGTTTGAGAAACTTTTTTTTTACCAAGGCAGGGTGGCCCAAAAAGAAAAACAAAAGTTTTTCTTTTTAAATTTAGTAATTTGTACAGGAGAATGGGTTACTAGCCCCTTGCTCCTGGCATTTTAGTCGCCTCTTACAACACGCATGGCTTACGGAGGAAGAATTCTGTTCCACTTCCCCATGGAGATAAGAGGAAATAAACAAGAACAAGCACTAGAAAGAAAATAGAAGAAAACCCAGAGGGGTGTGTGTATATATTTGTTTGAGAAACATCTTCACAATAAAGATACCCAAGTGTTGCACATGTGTCTTATTCATCTAAAACTATTTTTTTTTCCCCAGGATACTGGAAAATTACTGCAGTCTCGTGGGGGTGAATATGGAGTAACCACTGGGAGACCAAGAAGATGTGGCTGGCTGGATGCAATGCTCTTGAGTCACTCCAATATGGTGAATGGCTACACTGCTATTATTCTTACCAAGTTGGATATATTAGATGAGCTAGAAGGTATGCTTTTTTTTATTTATGCCCTACAGATTTTCTTTTATCTGTAAAGTTAGTTGTTTTAATATAATTTAAAATATTTTGAAAAGCATACATCTGGGGAGTGGAAGATAATCAGGCTTGATCCAAGGAAAGGGAGGGTGGCTCTGATTCCTTGGATCAAGCATCCTTCACCAGTATTAAGACACCCTCCATGAAAGGCATTTTCCTCTCAAAGTGTTGTCAGAGCTGATTTGGAGATTCCTACAGAGTCTTTACTTTTATTTTATGTATGCATGTGTGTTTAAATATTACCCTGCTCACACTCCAACAGATCGTCAGGTCCCAAATACCATTCGTCTCCATTCACTCCTATCGAACATGCTCATGCACGCCTGCTGGAAGTCCAAGCCCATCGCCCACAAAACCTCCCTTACCCCTTCCTTCCAACCTTTTTGAGGACGACCCCTACCTCGCCTTCCTTCTACAGATTTAAATGCTCTCCATGTCATTCTACTTTGATCCATTCCTCTAAATGACCAAACCACCTCAACAACCCCTCTTCAGCCCTCTGAATAATACTTTTATTAACTCCACACTTTCTCCTAATTTCCACACTCCTAATTTTCTGCATAATATTTACACCACACATTGCCCTTAGACAGGACATCTCCACTGCCTCCACTCCTCAAGGAAGGTTCCTTGATGTTGGTGAGGGGCTCTTGATTTAGGGAATTGGATCTGTGCTCCAGTTCCCCAAATTAAGCCTGAATGCCTTCCACATCCCCCCCCAGGCGCTGTATAATCCTCCGGGTTTAGCGCTTCCCCCTTGATTATAATAATCCACTGCCTCCAACCACCTCCTCGCTGCAACATTCACAACCCAAGCTTCACACCCATATAAGAGTGTTGGTACTACTATACTTTCATACATTCCCTTCTTTGCCTCCATAGATAACGTTTTTTGACTCCACATATACCTCAACGCACCACTCACCTTTTTTCCCTCATCAGTTCTATGATTAACCTCATCCTTCATAAATCCATCCGCCGACACGTAAACTTCTAAACTTCTAAACTGTTGTGTTCTGAGCACCTCTGCAAAAACAGTGATTATGTGTGAGTGAGGTGAAAGTGTTGAATAATGATGAAAGTATTTTCTTTTTGGGGATTTTCTTTCTTTTTGGGTCACCCTGCCTTGGTGGGAGATGGCCGACTTGTTGAAAAAAAAAATGTATTTGCTGTTGTGTGCAATTTTTTTTTTGTGTGTGTGTGCATGTGTGTGTGTGTGTGTGAGAGAAAGAGAGATCAGTTCTTGAATAACAGCTAAAACTGCTACTTATTCTTCCACTTTTAATTTTAATTCTTGAGTATTGTGTATAGTCTTCTGCTTATGTCTTGCATTTTTAATAATATTGAACACACTTTACCATTTCAGTTTCTCTTGTATATCATCCATGTATCAATATCTGCACTTTTATAAAGCAATTGTTTTGTCAGACAAGGTGATTGCAAATTCGTTGTTGCACTAACTCATCAAAAATTAATCTGACAGACACAATTTATTGTATTTCATTGGTGTTAAAAATACTAAATAAGTTAGACATACCCAAGTTAGATTTGGTAGAATTAAAATGAATTATATGATATAATTTTTGCCAGGTTGGGGTAGTCTTCTTAGTTTTGGTGCAAGATTTAAAATGGATATATATTATTATAGTTTATCTATCGGTGTATATTTATAAATATCTATTTTACGGCAGCTCAGCTTGTTTAACTGTCTAAAAAATGCATGACACATATGTAAATATCTTTTCTTCTCTGCTTATGTATCTATGATTTTCTGTTTTGTTTCAAATAAACATTAATTATTTATATGCTAATTATTATACACTTTGTTGTGTTTATTATTAATGTATATTATACTCATGCCTTCCTTTTCATCATTCATAATGTCTTATTTTTCTTGTTTCTGATAAATTTAGTTTTCACTGGAGGTTTATTGTTAATGATGAAAATCATTCACAATGGTTGATGTGTAATGGAATTGCAGAAATCAAAATTGGCGTTGGCTACTTAAGAAAGAATGGAGAAAGAATTGAACACTTCCCAGCAAATATGGGTGAATTGGAGGATATAACAGTAAGTATATTGCAACTTGTATCTGTTAATCATTATTGTTGGAATGAAAATGCATTGGTTATTCACTTCTGTGTTGAAAAAAGAATAAAAAGGCACAATACCATGACTGGAACAATAGACAGATAACCTGCACATAGAAGAGAAAAACTTATGATGACATTTCAGTCTGACTTGGACCATTAACACAGTGTGTGACTAGTTAATGGTTCAAGTCAGACCAAAACATTTGTCATAAGTTTCTTTCTCCTGTGTGTGGGTTGTCTGTGTATTTTGAAAAAGTCTGTGTACTTTATTGGCTAATAAGCTGTTTTTAATTTGTGTGGTAGTTGCATAATAGTGGTATTATTACCTTCATGGGTTAGTGCTAATCTTGTAGGAATTATACATAACTTGGGGAATGGGAGAGAGTAGTCAGGTTTGATCCAAGGAAAGAGAGGACAGCTCCAGTTTCTTGGATCAAGAGTCCTTCACTAGCATCAAGGGGTCCCCCCTCCTTTCCCTATAGAAAAGATGCAATAGTAGTAGCTGGAGTTAAACTGTGCTAGTGGTGTCATCTTCGTTGTTTTTCCTTCAGGATTCACCCATAGGTGACCTGTGTGGGTTTAGTGCTTATAGTTTGATTGTAATAATAGTAAGTCTGTCCTTAGGGTAAGATGACCAGAAAAGGAAACTTTCATCATCGTTTATTAAATAGGTGTCTTACCAGAAGTGTGCAGACATCGCAGTTCAAACATCCCTTTGTATTGTAACATTCTCATCCTTCCTTCAGAGTACAGAAACTGTACTTTCCACCTCCAGGACTCATGTCTGGCTAACCAGTTTTCCCTGAATCCTTTTGTAAATGTTATTTTGTTCTCACTTCAACAGCACATCAAATCCATAAAAACGCTTGTCTTCACTCACCCTGAACTAACATTACTCTCCCATGCCATGCATGTTTAACAGAGTATTACACATTGAAGCAATTGTAAGATCAGAAGTATTAAGAAAAATAATAATCATGACATTGATAATTTTTTTTTTTTTACACAAATCAATTTTACATTTATAGGTTACTCTATCATATTAGATTAATTGTATTGTAGATTATTACATAGATTCATTATAAATTATTTAAGGTTATGCCCTACTTATTTTCAAGGTTGAGTATATCACCATGCCAGGATGGATGCAAGATACCGCTCAGTGCCGCACTTACGAGGAGCTCCCACAAAATGCCCGCAGTTACGTTGAAAAGATAGAGGAGCTTATCAGTGTACCAGGTTTGTAAGCGAGGAAGTTTTCTTATGTAAGCAGTCTAATAACTATTTTGGTGTTGAGAAAGGTTTTTTAGTGTTGGTTGGTTCCTGTTGTAGTATGAAGGCAGATGACTGCCAACAGCTAGTTGGAAATAGATATAAATGTATACACTTAGGAGGGGTGTTAATGTTGCAGTTTAAAAACTGTAGTGTAAAGCACCCTTCTGGCAAGACAGTGATGGAGTGAATGATGGTGAAAGTTTTTCTTTTTCGGGCCACCCTGCCTTGGTGGGAATCGGCCAGTGTGATAATAAAAAAAAAATACTTAGGACATCTTTTTTCAAGACTTCTTTTTTGGGACCTTGATCACTTCAAATGCATAATGTATTTGAAGCAGTTAAGGTCCCACGACTGAAACTTCTCCAGTGAAGGTGTCCTAAATTGTTCACTAGTGTTTATTTCTGTACACAACCTGCACGCAGGAGAATGAAAGTTATGTTGACATTTCACTGTAAACAAATATTTGAAGGGGTTAACTTACGTAGCCATGGTATATGTATACACCAGGAACAGTATAGAGCCCAACTCGATTTGCTACGCATGAACCTGATGTGTCATCCCTTGTAGTGACTTTGTATTACAAATGAATTCTGAAATTCACACTCTTCATATTCACTATATTTCTGGTCCCTGTCTTCTGTTTTCCTGGTGCATGACTGCTACCCAAGCCTTAATTTACTGGTAGTTAGGTTCACAGAAATGACACATTTGTGTCATTTTCGTGAACCTAACCATCAGCAAATTATGGCTTTTCTTTTTCCCCATGGGCTCTTTGCTTGCTGCACCCTTTTCCAGAGTTTCCACATTCCTGTCATTTTCAGGGGCCTGTCTCCAGCGAATTACAACTTTCATCTGTATACTATATTGTTCAAGTATTCTCTCATCCATGATAATACATTTTTTTTTACCCGAGTGGAAAGCTAATTCATGTGCTGGCAGTTACATACACTCTTAATCTTAGTAATAAAGTTAGAATTACCGACAGTATGTTAGATAAAAGGATTCATGTGTAACTAATGTGATATTTTATTGTGGCAAAGTTTTGCTTTCCAGGAGCTATTGTCAAGTTCCTGGAGAGTGAAATGTTGCCACAATAAAATGTCAATGCTTACACATGTGTCGTTTACCTAACACTTAATCTTGCCACTTTGCTACAGTTTAACTGGTGTAAGTGTAGGATGTGCAGCTAGTGCCTGTAAAGCAATAGTGTTAATTCTAGTAAGTTCTGCACTTTAAAGCTTTATCTTTCTTCTCTACATACTGTATATTTTCTTGAGTTTATTTTATATTTACAGATTTAATGATGTATTTTGTTTTTAAATACAATTTACGTACATAGAATATACGGGATGGTAGGAGAAGAAAATATTCCAACACCTCCGGGAAGAATCTTGAGTTTTCCCTAAAATATGTTAATTATCTTCTCTGAGGATAAGGTTTTCCACTCCAGGTCTAGAGGTGGTACCTCCCTATATTGGTTTAGAAAGACACTTGTCGGTATTTATTACCAAGGTTTATACCACCTCCCTATATTGTTTTTTTTTAATAATTGCATTTTTATATTTCAGTGAAATGGATTGGTGTTGGAAAATCGCGTGCCTCTATGATCACAGTCTTCTAGAGGTTTGACTCCTGTCACCAAAAGAAATTTGGAAAATGAAACAAAATATCATGGAAGAACTGCAGTGTTACTAAAGTAGAGATATCTGTAATGTTTGCATAAACCTTGAACAGAACCACATTACAGTTAAAGGTTTATTCTCGTCCGGACTTCTGTATATTATTAAATACAAAATATTTGAAAAAAAAAATGTTTTTAATTTTCAAAATATTTTGTTTTTCATTTCAAAAGAAAACAAAATCACAGGATACTTTTTTATATTAATATTTTTGTCATAACTAATTGTCTTTGGTTAAACTACAGCACTAATTGAAGAGTAAGTTTGATGTGTCTTACTGGTAAATGCTAAACCAATAATCACAGTTGACTTGTTGGACAAAATATCAAAATCTAAATTTCTAAGCATTCATCTGGTAACATATTTGAAGTCTTCTTTTCTTTCCTTTGATCTCCAATTTTCTTTGCAGTTTCTTCATACTATACCATAGCTTGTGATAGAAGAATATTCATATTTTTTATCATGATATTAAAATTTACTTTTTTTATCTTTTCTGTTCGAAGATTAATGTTTCCCCTTTACATGTCAAAAAACTTTATTTGGATTGGTCACAGACAATAAGGCCAGAATTTCCAACAAAAGCATTGTTGTTAATAAACACCTAAAGCAGGTTTAATGTTGGCAGCCTGCATCAAGTATGCTGGTTTACACCTGAAATTATGATTTCAGAGGTTGTAAGGAGCATTTCTATATTGGGGCCACTAGAAACATGACTAGCACTCATTCATATCTCCTTGGTCACAGTCACAACTGTCACATGCTATTATTACACTTATTATTTTCCTTTTTACATTTAGTAATTTATACAGAAGAAGGGGTTACTAGTCCTTGCTCCTGGCATTTTAGTTGCCTCTTACAACAGGTATGGCTTTCGGAGGAAGGAAGGATGTACTGACTGCAGTTAAAAACCTGGAAAGAGCAATTGAGAAGGAAGGGGCTATGGTTCATTGCCTGTGATGTGCTCCAGATCCAGGGAACTAGAGCTTTCCCTCAATTCCTTGGATCAAATCTGATTCTATTGAGGCAGTATATAACCCCTACAGGTTTAGCACTTTTACTCATGAATAATATAATAATCTACTGGTATGCTGCTAGTCTGAGATTGATACAAGTAAAATACTAATATAATTAAATTAATTTCTAAATTGCTATGGGTCAAGTAACAGTATAATGTTGGTAAAGGATTTAATCCAACACTGTGGGTTCATATCAATGCCACCCCAAGATGCTAAGGATTGTGCTGCCAACTGGACCACTTTAAATGGTTTCATGACTCCTTGATGCTGGTGAGGGGTTCTTAATCTAAGGAACTGGACCTGTGCTTGAATTCTTTGAATCGAGTCTGAATGCCTTTCACTCCCCAGGTGCTGTATGACCCCTTCACGTTTAGTGCTCTCCCCTGAATGTAATTTTTTTTTCAGATTTTACATTGCTAAAATAATTTTGAAAACTTTCACTATTCACTATCATCCCACAGTATATTTTACACCTGTATAGTTTCCCATATTCTAGTATGTGATGTGGTCAGATTTTTTGCATTCTCCTTGATTGTTGAGTACCTTGGATGTCTCCCATTGCCTGTCTTAGCCAACTGAACCTGTTTAAAATTTTAGCCATTTTTGGGGGGAGCTTCTAGACAAACCCTTTGTCTTCATTCAACCCTGATCTTGTCTAAGCTAAACTATGGAGACCAAGTATGATGCATTCCCTCATCCTCTTCAACTGCTCTTTAATAGCTGTATGACCTTACATGGGAAATGGAGAAGAATCTTTCCTCTGTAAGCCATGTATGCTGTAATAGGTGGCTAAAATGCCAGGAGCAAGGGACTAGTAGCTCCTTCTAATTGTAAATAGAAAAAAAACTTGTTTCTTCTTCTTTTGGGTCACTATACCTTGGTGGGAGACTGCTAGTGTGTTTAAAAACAAAGCTATGAATACGTGAGTGACCCACATAGATGTGATGTTTCAGTCCGACTTGGACCACGGTGCCCCGTGGCCTGGTGGCAAAAGCTCTTGCTTCACACAGTGAGGGGTCCGGGTTTGATTCCCAGGGAAGGGGTGGAGACATTGGATGTGTTTCCTTACACCAGTTGTCTTTGTTTACCCATCAGTAAAATGGGTACCTGGGTATTGGTCGACTGGTGTGGGTTGCATCCTGGGGCAAAACTGACCTAATTTGCCCAAACTGTTCTGCATAACAAGTGGTTTTCTATATAGTAGTACATATGTCATTGATGTCAAGCTAGGCTTGTATACCTTGTATGTGTACTTGTAGTAAATAAAGATCTTATTATTATTAATTTGACTGGGGATTTTTCTATCTTCCCCACCCAATAGCGAATCTTGTCTTTGCAAGACCTCTTTCACGACCTTCACGATTCTTTTACGCACAGAAAAGTCACAGGTTTTAGTAGTTTAAATTCACTGAATAATCAACCCCATTTATTACGGCCCTTCAATCTTTGCATTTGAACTCTGGCAACACCTGTTGTTTACCTCCTCCCCCAATCATACATTTTCCTTCTTAGGAAGTTCAGACAATTCATGTTTCCTCCCCAATATGTCCAAAGGCTCACTTGTCTGTTACAAACTCTCCCTCCCTCTTCCTTGAACACTTTGTCACATTCTCATACTACTTCAGTGTATGCCAATAGTTATAAATACCAAAATGTAGTAGGGCATGCAGCCTTTTTGAAATTTAGTTCTCCAGTGACATTTACCAGAATCAGCCAGCATTTTCACAGCTGTTATATACAATACCTGCTATCATAAACACAATGCAATTTTTTATGTCTTGATACAGCACAAATAATGTAGTTTACATGTAATAATTATTATTAAGTTAAGAAAGCCTAGGGAACGAATGGATTTGTCAGTTAAAAACAGAGTAGGGGAGTTAATATATGGGGAGCTGGAGGTACTGGGTAGATGGCGGGAATATTCTGAGGAACTTTCAAATGTTGATGAAGAAAGGGAGACGGTAATTTCATGCACTGGCCAGGGAGGTATAACATCTTTTAGGAGTGAAGAGGAGAAGGATGTGAGTGTGAGGGAGGTATGTGAGGCATTTCGTAGAATGAAAGGGGGGTTAAAGCAGCTAGAACTGATGGGATCATGAAAGAAATGAATATAGTGTTGGAGTGGTTGGTATTTTTGTTTAATAAATGTATGGGAGAGGGAGGTATTAGGTAGATGGCGAGAATATTTTGAGGAACTTTTAAATGTTGAGGAAGAAAGGGAGGCGGTAATTTCATGCACTGGCCAGGGAGGTATACCATCTTTTAGGAGTGAAGAAGAGTAGAATGTAAGTGTGGTGGAGGTACGTGAGGCATTACGTAGAATAAAAGGGGGTAAAGCAGCTGGAACTGATGGGATCATGACAGAAATGTTAAAAGCAGGGGGGGATATAGTGCTGGAGTGGTTGGTACTTTTATTTAACCCTTTGAGGGTTTTCGTCGTACTAGTACGTCTTACGCGTAGGGGTTTTTGACGTACTAGTACTCATAAATTCTAGCGGCCTCAAATCTAGTGGGAGAAAGCTGGTAGGCCTTCATATGAAAGAATGGGTCTATGTGGTCAGTGTGCACAGTCTAAAAAAAATCCTGCAGCACACAGTGCATAATGAGAAAAAAAAAACTTTGACCATTTTTTTTTAATAAATCAGCGACTTTGCAGTGTATTTTCGTATGGTATTTATTGTTGTATTCTAGTTTTCTTGGTCTCATTTTATAGAATGGAAGACATATTACAGAAATTGAGATGATTTTGACTGGTTTTACAAAGAAAGGTGCCTTGAAATTGAGCTCAAATTAGCAGAAATGTTCGATTTTTACCAAACTTCAAAAGTAAACAAATCGTGCCAAGCGTGCAATACACGTCAACTGGTGAGTCTAATATTCTTTCACAAGTGCACCAATAATATTTATACCATTTTTTACACTAATGCAGTAGTCTGCATAACAGTAAATCTTATATTTTTTGTGAAAATAAAAATTCAAAGTGGAAAGCAAAAGAATATAAGAGGGGCCTTGAGACATGACTAATGACTAGAGGAAATGTCATTTTAGTGCCAGGAATGTCTTTCTTGTTTATTCTGGACCCTATTCGGAAATTGGCATCTTTTGAAATTTGAGTGAAATTGGCAAAATTGCTAAATTCTGACCACTGTACTGGATAGTTGAATTTCATAAATGAGTGGTTTCTTGCACCCATTCGATAGAAAAAATGGAGTTCTAGCGAAATATTCATGTTTTTTGTCGACTAGTACAGTGAAATTGGCCGAAAATGGGGCTCAAAGTGGGCAAAATCGCCGATGCGTAAACATCGCCGAGACCGCTAACTTTGCGAAAGCATAATTCCGTAAGTTTTCTATCAAATTTCAAACTTTTGGTGTCTTTATGATCGGGAAAAGATTCTCTATCTTTTCATAAGAGAAAATATTTTTTTTTTTTTTTAAATTTGGCCGACCCTGAGAACGAGTTTCGGAGAGGGCCTGTCGACCCTCAAAGGGTTAATAAATGTATGAAAGAGGGAAAGGTACCCAGGGATTGGCGGAGAGCATGTATAGTCCCTTTATATAAAGGGAAAGGGGACAAAAGAGAAGATCAAGTGTTTACATTGAAGCATATATGTGAACAGTATTTAGATAAAGGTAGGGAAGTTTTTATTGCATTTATGGATTTAGAAAAGGCATATGATAGAGTGGATAGAGGAGCAATGTGGCAGATGTTGCAAGTATATGGAATAGGTGGTAAGTTACTAAATGATGTAAAGAGCTTTTATGAGGATAGTGAGGCTCAGGTTAGGGTGTGTAGAAGAGAGGGAGAATACTTCCCGGTAAAAGTAGGTCTTAGACAGATGTGTAATGTCACCATGGTTGTTTAATATATTTATAGATGGGGTTGTAAAAGAAGTAAATGCTAGGGTGTTCAGGAGAGGGGTGGGATTAAATTATGAGGAATCAAATTCAAAATGGGAATTGACACAGTTACTTTTTGCTGATGATACTGTGCTTATGGGAGATTCTAAAGAAAAATTACAAAGGCTAGTGGATGAGTTTGAGAATGTGTGTAAAGGTAGAAAGTTGAAAGTGAACATAGAAAAGAGTAAGGTGATGAGGGTATCAAATGATTTAGATAAAGAAAAATTGGATATCAAATTGGGGAGGAGGAGTATGGAAGAAGTGAATGTTTTCAGATACTTGGGAGTTGACGTGTCGGCGGATGGATTTATGAAGGATGAGGTTAATCATAGAATTGATGAGGGAAAAAAGGTGAGTGGTGCGTTGAGGTATATGTGGAGTCAAAAAACGTTATCTATGGAGGCAAAGAAGGGAATGTATGAAAGTATAGTAGTACCAACCTCTTATATGGGTGTGAAGCTTGGGTGGTAAATACAGCAGCGAGGAGACGGTTGGAGGCAGTGGAATGTCCTGTCTAAGGGCAATGTGTGGTGTAAATATTATGCAGAAAATTCGGAGTGTGGAAATTAGGAGAAGGTGTGGAGTTAATAAAAGCATTAGTCAGAGGGCAGAAGAGGGGTTGTTGAGGTGGTTTGGTCATTTAGAGAGAATGGATCAAAGTAGTAATGACATGGAAGCATATAAATCTATAGGGGAAGGAAGGAGGGGTAGGGGTCGTCCTCTAAAAGGGTTGGAAAGAGGGGGTAAAGGAGGTTTTTGTGGGCAATGGGCTTGGATTCCAGCAAGCATGCATGACGTGTTAGATAGGAGTGAATGGAGACGAATGATACTTGGGACCTGACGATCTGTTGGAGTGTGAGCAGGGTAATATTTAGTGAAGGGATTCAGGGAAACCGGTTATTTTCATACAGTCAGACTTGAGTCCTGGAAATGGGAAGTACAATGCCTGCACTTTAAAGGAGGGGTTTGGGATATTGGCAGTTTGGAGGGATATGTTGTGTATCTTTATACGTATATGCTTCTAAACTGTTGTATTCTGAGCACCTCTGCAAAAGCAGTGATAATGTGTGAGTGTGGTGAAAGTGTTGAATGATGATGAATGTATTTTCTTTTTGGGGATTTTCTTTCTTTTTTGGGTCACCCTGCCTCGGTGGGAGACGGCCGACTTGTTGAAAAAAAAAAATGTATGAAAGAGGGGAAGGTACCTAGGGATTGGCAGAGAGCATGTATAGTTCCTTCATATAAATGGAAGGAGGACAAAAGAGATTGCAAAAATTATAGGGGATTAAGTTTACTGAGTATATCAGGAAAAGTAAAGTAAAATAAGGGTTATTATTGAAAGAATTAGAGGTAAGACAGAGAGTAGGATTGCGGATGAGCAAGGAGGCTTTAGAGTGGGTAGGGGATGTGGAGATCAAGTGTTTACATTGAAGCATATATGTGAACAGTATATAGATAAAGGTGGGAAGTTTTCATTGCATTTATGGATTTAGAAAAGGCATATGATAGAGTGGATAAGGGAGCAGTGTGGCAAATGTTACAAGTACATACTATATGGAATAGGTAGTAAGTTACTAAATGCTTTATAGTTTTTTTATAAGGATAGTGAGGCTTAGGTTAGGGCGTGTAGAATAGAGGGAGAGTACTTCCCTGTAAAAGTAGGTCTTAGACAGGGATGTGTAATGTCTCCATGGTTGTTAATATATTTATATATGGGGTTGTAAAAGAAGTAAATGCTAGGGTGTTGGGGAGAGGGGTGGGATTAAATTATGGGGAATCAAATACAAAATGGGAGTTGGCACAGTTACTTTTTGCTAATGATACTGTGCTTATGGGAGATTCTAAAGAAAAGTTGCAAAGGTTAGTGGACAAATTTGGGAGGGTGTGTAAAGGTAGAGAGTTGAAAGTGAAGATAGATAAGAGTAAGGTGATGAGGGTATCAAATGATTTAGATAAATAAAAATTAGATATCACAATGGAGAGAGGGAGTATGGAAGAATTGAATGTTTTCGGATATTTGGGAGTTGACGTGTCAGCAGATGGGTTTATGAAGGATGAGGTTAACCATAAAATTGATGAAGGAAAAAAGGTGAGTGATGCATTGAGGTATATGTGGAGACAAAAAAACGTTATCTATGGAGGCAAAGAAGGGAATGTATGAAAGTATAGTAGTACCAACTCTCTTATATGGGTGTGAAGCTTGGTTGTAAATGCTGCAGCGAGGAGACGGTTGGAGGCAGTGGAAATGTCCTGTCTAAGGGCAATGTGTGGTGTAAATACGCAGAAAATTCTGAGTGTGGAAATTAGGAGAAGGTGTGGAGTTAATAAAAGTATTACTCAGAGGGCAGAAGAGGGGTTGTTTAGGTGGTTTGATCATTTAGAGAGAATGGATCAAAGTATAATGACATGGAGAGCATATAAATCTGTAGGGGAAGGAAGGTGGGGTAGGGGTTGTCCTTGAAAAGGTTGGAGGGAGGGGGTAAAGGAGGTTTTTTTGGTCGAGGGACTTGGACTTCTAGCAAGCGTGTGTGAACGTGTTAGACAGGAGTGAATGGAATTATTATTATTAGAATCACAGGGAAGCGCTAAACCCGTAGGATTATACACCACATGTGGGGGGGGGGATGGAAAGTATTCAGGCTCAATTCAGGGAACCGGAGCACAGATCCAATTCCCTAGATCAAGAACCCCTCACCAGCGTCGAGGAACCTCCCTTGAGGGGCAGGAGTGAATGGAGACAAATGGTTTTTGGGACCTGATGAGCTGCTGGAGTGTGAGCAGGGTAATATTTAGTGAAGGGATTCAGGGAAACTGTTTATTTTTATATAGCCGGAAATGGGAAGTACAATGCCTGCACTTTAAAGGAGGGGTTTAGGATATTGGCAGCTTGGAGGGATATGTTATATATCTTTATATATGCTTCTAAACTGTTGTATCTGGGTGCCTCTGCAAAAACAGTGAGGTGAAAGTGTTGAATGATGATGAAAGTATTTTCTTTTTGGGGATTTTCTTTCTTTTTGGGTCACCCTGCCTCAGTGGGAGACAGCTGACTTGTTGAAAAAAAAAAAAATTATGTGGGAGCGCTAAAGGGTTTAGCGCCTGGAGGGGGGGATGGAAGGTATTCAGGCTCAATTCAGGTTACTAGAGCATAGATCCAATTCCCTAGGTCAAGAGCCCTTCACAAGCATCAAGGTGCCTCCCTTGAGAGGTACATGTAATAAAAATTGGTAGGCACAAAAGCTACAAATATGCAGTTGATTTTGGCAAAACTAATCCTAATGCTTAAATGTTACTCCAGAAATTACTCCCCAAAACCTATCATACTTTGTATATAATAATGATTACCTATGTCTTATTTCTAGCATATTAACTTCTAGCAACCATAAACAGCTCATTCTTTGCTGTGGTTCCTGGGCACACTGATGCTCACGATAGAGAACTCAACCCCTGCAACCACATACATGTATAGGTGAGTATATCAGCTGCTCAATCCACTATTCATGATGTACCAATTTTCCATAGGGAAGCACCTTTCTTGGACTATTTTTTTCCAGCTCTGTCAACTCCAAATTTCAGGCAATAACATTGATAAAAGTTTAGAACACAACAAATTACTTTCTATCAAACCACATTTGGGGTTATGGCCATCTTTTCTTTTTCATCCATTGGATGTTGGAAACTACATTCACATAGTAACGAGTTGGACACACACACATACCTCAGGTAGGAACGGCAAGCACCTTGCGGTGACAACTGCCAAGCCAAGTTATTGTTTCACCAAATCTTGATAGAATGTCCTATCAGAGTGAATGCACATTTCACTTGACACACTGGGTTTAGTGCTTAGTTTTGATTGTAATAAATAACTCTTGCTGAACCTCTCTGAAAATTCCACCTTCACTATAGATGGACTTTTTAAGAGAAGCTTGACATGTTACATCATCATTGCTTATTATTATAATTAAAGAAAGCACTAAACCACATCACCATACATGTTAATTTTGCACCCTGTACTACTACTACTACTAACTCCTTCCTTGTATCAAACTTTGTCAGGCTTTATGACCTTTGCTGGTTTATCACTGCCTCTCACTTATAAATGTAATCTGGGGGTTGTGTCTGATTCTCTACCATTTCATAAGAAAAAATATTTTTTTTAAATTTTGCGACCCTAAGAGCAGGTATCACAACCCTTTAAGGGTTAAAAGGAGAATATGCAGCGATAATATTAAGTAGCAATTCTGCTACTGTACTTTGCCAAAGCACATTAGCAAGCATATAAATAAGCAAAGGTATTTAAAAGGAGAAACTTGTTTTTTCTTTTGGGCCACCCCGCCTCAGTGGGATACGGCTGGTACGTTGAAAGAAAGAAATGAAAAAGTAGTTGAACATAGTTTTATTTCCATCCAATACAATAAAAGTATTTAAATGTTAAAAATTACAAGGATTTTGACATAATTTAATGTCCAAGCACAAAATATCACAGATGGGATTAAACCTTCAATGGTAACTGAAGACACTAAGTTTTTTCCACAGGTACTTTTTCCATAACTTGAGCAATCACAGCACTGTATGTCAAAATAAATCACAATAGTCGAGGTAGCACACAAAATACATGTGGGTTAACATTAATATTGCTTACAAAACAACTAAATAAAAATATCTCGCGTACTTAATATCGTTAACAGAATGACAAAAATACGGTGCTGTTAGTATTTATTAAAGCTAATTCCCTGCAACTAAAATAACATTTATTTGAATATAGTTCAGTACAGATTTTTTAACTTTTTGGCATAATAGTAGCCAGATTTGAGTATACCACAGTACCATAATTATAAACAAAAACTTGCCAAACCTGTGTGGGGTAATATAGCGCCATGTTATATCGCAGTAATACTGCATGCTCATGATACATTATTGATTGTATTGGGTACTGTACTATAGTTGACAAAATAATACACAATTATTAGATGTTCCTACTACAGTATGAAGAAATAAAGAGTAAAATGTTACATTCACATATAGTATGGTTTAACAGGAACAAAAATTTGCTCTTAATAAATTAATGAGGTCATAAACAAAACGGTACTGCATTATACAAGTATACCTTTTCAAACCACAAACTAATATCGTTTATTTTAATTTTCTAGAGAAACTATACACGGGTAGGGCTAAAAATATAATTAAGCCATGATGTTTACAGTATACCCTATCTAGTGGTCAAACCTTAAAAGGAATGTCATTGAAAAGCTCTAACTAATGTTTATACAGGAATCACCATTGAAAAATAAATGCCTAATATATTACGTGAAAGGTTAATTCTTAACTATCTGTTGGAAAAACATCAAGCAAGTTACAAAAGAAAATTACAAATTAAAATCCCACCCTTATGGGTTTAACAGTTCTCAACATAACATTCAAACAAAATTCCAATTAAAGAAATCACATACCCACTCTGAACCACAGTTATCTCCACTGAGACAGATACTGCTGTAGTTCCCTAGAATTTAATTCTTACCCTTCCTGCTGCCTAAAATGATGGTAAAGTAAATGTCACAGAACCATGGATTAGCTGAGCTAACTGATGAGATTATTTCATTCAAAATCAATGGGAAATTTTATTAAAAACACAAAGTGTAAAATACTGTATTAAGCATATATCCAAAGAGTATATACTGGTATGATACAGTACCGGTACTTGTTTGTCTCTGCAGTTAATCTGAAGAAGTGACACACAATATATAGTAAAATCCTTGATCTGATATGTTGAATATTTTAACTTACAAATATCACTTGGCAATATTGCACTCTTATTTTGAGATTACTAGGCTGGATGACTATCATATTTACATAAATGAAAGAAAATGGTAAACATATAGCTGGTTTTTACATAGAATTTTTTTTTTGACTTCCTAGTTTTAAGTTTTTCAAACTTCAAGAAAATACTTTACTGACATCCAGACCCTATATAAGGAGTGGTGTAAATTAATTTGTTTCCTCATTTGAGTTACTACACACTGTGATCTAAGATTAGCTTCACACTTATCTACGCATCTTAGACGTCAAATAATACATGTGCGTAGCTAAAACTAACAATTTATTAACAACAGAGATTAAACATTATCTTATACAGGAAGTTTCAACAAGAACTTTGAAAGAAAAGTCAAGATCTTTGCTAAACTGTTAACATTATGTTTCCAAATAATACACTAGGAAGATACTGACACAATGAAGTCAAGAAGACGAACAGTTTCCACTTGTCAATTCACATTTTAGAAACTTTTGGGACACTGACATAAATATAACATGAAACAGTCTTAAAAAATCTGGAGAAATGGTAAAAAAAAAAAAAAACTATAATGCAATATGGAAATACAATAACTCATATTTGAAACTAATACAGCAAAAGGAATCAAAATGCAAACTCAAAGAAGTCTTTTTTTTTTTTTTTTTTTTGCCAACAAAGCTTGTACTGATGACTTCTGTTCTCTTAGTGGATTTTAATAACAAATATGCTGGTAGTTTGCTGAAAGCCACCATGATGCTGGTTATTCAAATTTGTAAAGAAATCTAGTTACCTGCTTTCATATATAGGAAGTTGTAACATTTAAATTTTTTTCATATTTAGAGATAAATGAATAACAAATGAGATGTATGGTTAGATTTTGCTTCAAATTCTAAGCTTGCTTCTGTTGTATCCACCAATATAACCATATGCTTGGAGCATAAACAAAAAAAAAAAAAAAATGTTTTCTCTATTAGGTACAGTTGGATACAAGATGCAAAATTTGGAGTGAATGGTAGAATAATAGATACACATTATATCACTGATATCCACCTTAGATTCAAATTTTAACAATTTACTAGAAAAATTAGATCCAATGAATCCAAAAGATAGTAAGCATTAATTAAGGTGTTGTGAAAGTACAAGCATTCTAGCACTGGTGGAAAATACACTATTCATGTATCGGATTGGTCAATGTGTTCCCAATTAATATTAATCTGCAGGCAAATTGTTCTGCTAGTCCTTCTAAACCCAGTGACATCTGTATGTACTTCTAAACCCAGTGATATCTACATATACTTCTAAACCCAGTGATATCTGTATATACTTCTAAACCATGATATATGTATATACTTCTAAACCCAGTGATATCTGTATATACCTCTAAACCCAGAGATATCTGTATATACTTCTAAACCCAGTGACATCTGTATATACATCTAAACCCAGTGATATCTGTATATACTTCTAAACCCAGTGATATCTGTATATACTTCTAAACCCAGTGATATCTGTATATACTTCTAAACCCAGGGACATCTGTATATACTTCTAAACCCAGTGATATCTGTATATACTTCTAAATAAAGTGACATCTGTATATACTTCTAATCCCAGGGACATCTGTATATACTTCTAAACCCAGGGACATCTGTATATACTTCTAAACCCAGTGATATCTGTATATACTTCTAAATAAAGTGACATCTGTATATACTTCTAATCCCAGGGACATCTGTATATACTTCTAAACCCAGGGACATCTGTATATACTTCTAAACCCAGTGATATCTGTATATACTTCTAAATAAAGTGACATCTGTATATACTTCTAAACCCAGTGATATCTGTATATACCTGATATTCAGAGGACAGAAATTAAATAAACAAGTTATGAACAGAAACGTGTAAATTTCAATAGACTGGGGTGAATATCTTACATTAGTGAAAAATGATTACAGTATAAACCAAAGCTTCACCAACTTATTTAACCATAACATGAATTGAACAATTTCTTTGATTGGAATACCTGAAGACAGCTTAAATAATTCAGCATTTGCATTTCTGATAACATGGTTGTCTATAGGGAAATGGAGTTTGTATACAGAACTGTAAGAAACAAGAAACAAAACATGATTACTAAATGTGGGATTACCAACCATATTAAGCTTTTCAGACAGCTACCACTATTCTTATTTTCATTGAGTGTAAATACAATTTCCAAACTATGATTGGGAAAGCTATTCTACATATTAAATTAGTGTTCCAGTATATGGCTTGTAAGCACATTATAACATATTTCTTTATGACTATACAGTACAACAACATAGTATTATTAATGTATGTCAAAATACAATTTTAGCCCCAAAAAAGTAATTAGATTTACTCTATATAAATTTCTTCCAGTATTATCCATAGGTTTGTATATCTTACATCCATTGGTGCATCCTAAAAGCTTCAACTCAAATCACATACACTGTGATTTGTTTATGACAAAATTAACATGTTTTGCAAAAAATTTAATGTCAAAACACTATTTCTGGATGGTGTTTTGATATATAATTTATGTAACATATTTTGCAGTGAACAAGATGCTCTGGTGTCAAGGACACCCCCCCCCCCAATTCTGATTGGCTAAATAAAAAAAAATGGATACATTTTCGACTCATTTTGGGAAATACAGCATCTTCGACACCATAAAATACGGTATATATCAAATAAATATGTAATCATGATACACAATAATGCTTGTCAAGTACATCATTCAAAAACCAAGATTTAGTTAACCCTGTGGAGTATATTTTTGGTCATAAATCCACCTCAGCTACAAGCCAACTGGTACACTTTAAGTCCAAGAAGTTAGCTGAGTTAGCATTTTGGGAGATTCTTGGAAAGCTATCAGCATTGAAATCCATTAACATTTTAAATGAATGTCAAATTCTAATGCAGTTCAGTATAATTTTCATAAGTCTCAACCATAAGTTATGGGTACAGTATAACTCAGGGCACATTTATGATACAGTAGTAAAAAAAAAAAGACTGACTTACAACTGATATACTGTACCATAGTTTTTGTGAAAATATATTACACTAATTTCATAATATTTTTCCATTCATGTAAGGACATTCTACAAAGAGTATATGAAACCTAAAGTTGCACATTCTGAGATGCTCTCTATGGGTTCATATTACTGTAAAACAATGAAATATCAGTTGTTTTTGTAATTCCTCTCATATTACAGAATGCAATCCAGTTTTCAGTGTCAAATGCCATTGTAGTCTAGTGTTTGATAGAGAAGTTCTTGAAGGTATAATCTTGAATTTCCCTTTCATTCTTGAATTCCACCTTATCAATTCGAGAGCTTGGGCTTCCAGTTTTCTTGAGCCAATCTTTCCTGTATGTATAATGTGTGATTAACAGACTAAACTATTGCAGAATTATGAATCTAACATTATGCATGTAAATTTTTATCAAAATTTCTTCAAATAATTTTGGCACAATATAAGTACTGAAGCAATTTTTAAATTTTATAGGCTGCCTGCATTGTTAGTTATCTACATGTACTTGTATACAAAAATTTCCTTCTTATAAGTGTGTATGGCCTAAATGCATCATTACTCATGATATAATACAGATAAAGTATAAGTGAACATATTCTTACAAGCTCTTAACTGGGGATACAGGAACAAGTAGGGCATGTTATATGGCAGGTAATGACAAAGTATGGTGGAAGACACTGTGTGCAGAAGAAACCTCTTATTATACAAAAATTTTTGCCTATATAGTGGGTTTTCTCAATTTATACAAGGAGAGGTGAGGTCTGGTGTCATTTGGGCAGTGATCCAGGTGGAAGTCTGCATCACCTGTAGGATGCATTGTGTCTAGAGTTACCTGTTGGGTTTTCCCCCACAAAATGAGTTTAGCCATTAATTTTGAAATGCTAAATGTCCCTCGACTCTTCCAGAGTAATGGAGGTCTATATTACTGATTAAAAAATGTCTTCTGGTCTTTTGGATTTCCTTATGATGAGTTCTGCACACGTCCAGTCCATGAGGTGTAAATGTTTGTCCTTATGTATAGTACAGTCATTGTTCTGATTGTGTTTTACATGCATATTAATGTTCGAGGATTCTGATGTATAGGTTACGTATTTTACCAATGTAGAATCTGATACACCTTCTGCACGAGCTACTGTAAATGCTTATTCCTGTGTTGTATTGGAAGTTGGCATTTGGTTTGGCCAGTTCACATATGATTTTAGATGTTACAACTGCCACATTGGCAATGCTTTGTTTCAGATCCCAGGTTATAATGTTGAATGTACTACCTGTAAGTATGATGATGTGTTGGCTGTTGTCAGTGTTCTCCCTAGGATTGCCAAGTATCTGCTGAGCTTTAAAAATGTTACCCATCCCTAGCCCCCACACCTTGCTTACCTGACCTCACCATGTCCCTTTCCCATGACTTCACCTTTGACCTATCCTGTGACCTTTCTTAAGTAAGTACTCTCATTTGTCTTATAAGGTGGAGTTTCTGTGCATTTCCTGTACACAGTACTTAATACAGTTCAGCCCTGCATGAAACATTGTAGCAGCAAAAATGTTTTCCTCCAATATACGTAGTGTCTTGTCATCTGTACACAATGGCCTGTCATTGTACTCCCTGCATGACTTGATAAAGCCCAATCTGTGGGCATAACATTGTTTATCATAAGAGTTTCCTCTGCATCAAATGTATTTTTACTAATAAGGGGGCATGGAAGAAAATTTCACACCCAAATAAGCCACTGCAATATTAGGAAGCATTTCTTTAATGTATGAATGGTTGTAAATAGAATGTGCTAAGCAATGTCACAGTGGAAGCAAACTCCATATAGAGGTTAAAAAAATGAATATGACAAGGCTCAATCATGCCAGTCAGTTGAAAGTTATACAGCAGGACCAACAGCTGGAGCTCACCTACCTGCAAACTTTAAGACATGATTACAATCTCTTTCAGAAGCACAAATTGGGTATTCATTGTACAATATTGTACAACAAAATCTTCTAAAATAAGCTTCACTGCCAAAGGTGTTAAAAAAAGATTCATCATATTACAGCATTTGCTCTACTGTATTTACATGCAATATTGTTTACTCTCTAAATTAATTATAGATTAGATTCAATAAAAAAAAAAACACTATTTCCTTAGTCAAAAATAAAGAAATTAATGAAAATGCTACAATAACCATCCAAAATGATGAAAAAGCACCACAGAGCACACAGGCAATTGTTTACACTCAAACATGCTTAAATTAATTCTGATAATTGAGGACAGGAAAGCAATTCTCTCTCTGGTTGAACATGCGCAACATCAAAACGTACATTAGCTTGACCATCTCTCGAGGTCCTTCCAACTGCCCTTTCACAGTACGATGGTATGTATTCATGCACCAGCCATGCACACCTAACCTGATCGCCTGGTCTTGAGTGTACTGTTGGGCCAAACAAATCAAACATTTATCCTGTAAACTTTCATTTTGTTCTTATGGAATGAGGTAGAAGCTTTTCTTTTTAAATAACTAGATAAAGAGTCATGAACACTGATCAGTGAGTAGTGAGAAACCCCTTGGACTGAAAAATGAAGCACAGGTAAAAGATCTGTATATTTCAGCCTCAGAGACCCTCTTCAGCACTCTTTCTTTGGAAAGCAATCTGAAGTTTCTTGAGGCATGACATGTTACCAGGATACATACACACTACAGAAAACATCACAATCCAATCATGTACACTGCATTGGATGATAATCTAAAAAATGAACTAGAAAGAGAAGAGAATAAATTCTATTATATATACTGTATACTGTAATCGCCATGCTGAAAATAAAGTCTTCGGATAGTATATAACCATATGCTGAAACGGAGGTAAATAAAATATATACTGTATTTTACTAAATATAATTAAAACAAAAAATAGCAGACTGTATACACTACTCACAGCAGCTTATATATTCTACTCATCAAATATACTGCAACAACCTACAGTCAAGCACCATTAGTCTGGCTCCAAAGGGAAACAAGGTCATCCCACCTAAATTCAAATCTGAACTACCAAAAATATCTATAGAATCCATGAGAATGTGTGAAAAAAATTAAAAGGCAAAACATTAAAAATCAAATAAAATATGATACTTGCCAATACCTGTAATCATTATCCTCTATCCAAGTGTATATACACACAGAAATATATACAAAACTTAATTTATGAGTGCTCAGTTAAACATGATACAAATGAAAATTCATATGCAGTTTGCAAAAGCAAGGTGAAGTCCTCTACCATGAACAGGGTTTGGAAGCCCCTGTGGACTTTGACATACAGAATACTCCATGAGCTATCCAGGAAGACACATCAATATATTAAGCCGAACACCAATGTAAAATACAATTACAAAACCCACATGTTTGAGAGATCATATGTAAACAAACTACGTCAGTTTATACAGGAGGGTAAGGGACAGCACATTAATGGGGGGGGGGGGGTTCTATCTGAGAGTTAGCAACTGTAAAGAAAACTAAAGCTGCAGATACCTTCTCCCATCACCCACTTGCAACATAAGCTTACAGAGTCTTGGCTACTATCAGGCAGCAGGAAGGGACCAATGAGGGGATCAATCAACTAATTATAGCTGGAGCATCAGTGGCCTTCCAGATTAAAACAAAATATTAAAACAATGGATGAGCACTTAATTGAAACTCAGAGCAGCTACATTTAGTGAGTAAAGAATAATGGTGCTTGACTGATAAGCAATCTAAAGAGAAAATAAAAAAAAAGTTTAAAATATCAGGTGTTTGTATCATTTCATATACATTGTAAATGATGTGACAAAAAAAAAAAAAAAAAAAAAAAAACTTTGAGCACAGCCCAGTTACAGCAGAATAATAAATGTCAATCTATCTTTAACAAAATGTAGAAAAGCTGGCCACTAAAGTACTCTACAGTACATAATTACATATTAATGCCAGTTTACTGACAATTCTCGCTGGAGACATGCATATACAGCACGTATACAAAGGTGAAAAATTAAAAATTTTCATTATATTCAAAGGAATTCTTAAATATGTACCTCAATGCATAGTCAGGTAAAAACGTGCACTGTTAACCTGAGATACACATTCAATGATAATTCAGAACTGTTGATAATTATAAGTGAAACCTCGATTTAACAGACTAATGGGGAGGACAGGGTGCCTGTTAATACCAAATGCCAACTAAATCCAAATGACAAGACTGTTTTCTCCATGGCCATAAAAATAATAGATGATTCTGGATTTAATGAACTTTGTCCACTGTTTCCAGTTGCTGCCCAGCCACAGGTTTTGTCTGTGACATCTGAAATCTGCTAAATCGGGGTGTTAAATCGAGGTTTTTACAAATTAATTTATCCGACAAAATAACAGCATTTAAGGAAAAAACAAAAGTCTAGGTTTGACTTCAATACTAAATGTACACTGTCACTTATAGATAAAAAGTATTCCTACATGATGGAAACCATGTCACTCTGCCCCTCCATCTGGCCGACGACAGTCCCTCGATCTGTGTTCATGCACCATCCTCGTAAATTCAGCTCTTTCGCCCTCTTCTGTGTGTACTTTTATAAAAAAAAAGGAAAGTTAAATTGGTTATTTACATAGATATTAAAACTACTTTAGTGCAACATTTTAAGCAAGCATCAAAATATATATGTGATCTATTCAAGGTAACTAAATTGTATACAGTACAGGAAGTCCTCAACTCACAAGCAAGTTGCATTCTTGGGTTGTTGACTAACTTTTAGTTATTATTATTATTATGGTTATAATCAAGGATTATAATCAGCACCTGGGGGGGAGGATGTGGAAGGTATTCAGGTTTAATTACCTGGAGAGAGTTCCGGGGGTCAACGCCCCCGCGGCCCGGTCTGTGACCAGGCCTCCTGGTGGATCAGAGCCTGATCAACCAGGCTGTTGCTGCTGGCTGCACGCAAACCAACGTACGAGCCACAGCCCGGCTGATCAGGAACTGACTTTAGGTGCTTGTCCAGTGCCAGCTTGAAGACTGCCAGGGGTCTGTTGGTAATCCCCCTTATGTGTGCTGGGAGGCAGTTGAACAGTCTCGGGCCCCTGACACTTATTGTATGGTCTCTTAAAGTGCTAGTGACACCCCTGCTTTTCATTGGGGGGAAAAGCAGGGGTGTCACTAGCACGTTAAGAGACCATACAATAAGTGTCAGGGGCCCGAGACTGTTCAACTGCCTCCCAGCACACATAAGGGGGATTACCAACAGACCCCTGGCAGTCTTCAAGCTGGCACTGGACAAGCACCTAAAGTCAGTTCCTGATCAGCCGGGCTGTGGCTCGTACTGGAACTGGAGAATAGATCCAATTCCTTAGATCAAGAGCCCCTCACCAGCATCAAGGAACCTTCCTTGAGGGGCTAACTTTTAGTGGTTCCTAAGTGATCATTTTTAAGTATGGATGCAACTTGGGTCATTTGAAGTTGGAGACTTCTTGTACATATGTAAATTTTCAACAGTTCTTTAATTTTCTTTTTTTTTTGGGTCACCCTGCCTCGGTGGGAGATGGCCGACTTGTTGAAAAAAAAAAAAAAATTTAATTTGGACTTTTTGTCAAAACAAATTATTAATTTTATGTAAAATGTTTATCCAATAATATCACTTACCATAGTTAATTCTAAAGAGACCTTGTAAAACTACTATATGCAATACCATCTAACAATACAGTATTCTTACATTAAAATAATTTATCAAGCAAATGAAATCTCATTTGAAAGGTGAAGATAAATAAAGACAAGCCGAACATAAGATCATCAATTGCTCTGCATAATTGTGTCAAGACAACATCAATTTAGTGTGAAGATAAAGGACTCAAATTTGCAGTCAATGCTCTTTACATATGAATGACAAAAGAACAATACTATAAAAAATATAAAAGAGGATTTAGGTGTAGAAATGAAGCATTGAGTTGCACTTTGCACCAAGGACTTTCTCACTCACAGAGGATAAGTTAAAATCTTATTTTCACTCTGGTATTCTGCTCTATTCAGAAAACTAAAAATAATAAAAGAGGGCCTGGGAGTTGCTGTATAACCAAAAGAATGTTTACCCTCTGACTGACCCTTGCTCCAAAAACTCTGATCAGCTAGAGATTAGGTCACTTGTGTTCACTTTTGGACATTTATTAATGGAAGTGCTCCAAAAACTCTGATCAGCTAGAGATTAGGTCACTTGTGTTCACTTTTGGACATTTATTAATGGAAGTGCTCCAAAAACTCTGATCAGCTAGAGATTAGGTCACTTGTGTTCACTTTTGGACATTTATTAATGGAAATGCTCCAAAAATTCTGATCAGCTAGAGATTAGGTCACTTGTGTTCACATTTGGACATTTATTAATGGAAATACTCCAAAAACTCTGATCAGCGAGAGATTAGGTCACTTGTGTTCACTTTTGGACATTTATTAATGGAAATGTTTAACCACAAGTGGCTTCATCAGTTCTAATACACTATGCACTACAAAACAACCTCCTTTATCTTACTCTATATTAACTCCCACTGTCCAGACCCCCTAAATTAATACTGCTCTCAGTGTCCACTTTAAAAAAAAATTCTTCTGAAATGGCAGAGAATCTTTTTCTGAAGGTAATGACATGAAAATTATAAAATTTGTTGGAAAATTTATGAAATAATACAAGCACAAAGTTGGTCTGGGCACAATTTACATATTGGCAATTCTGCCTACTTTGAATCCTATTTTATGTCAATTACATTGCTCCTTTCGACCTATATCTTAGCTATTTCACTTGTATGCCTTCCATTCTATCGATTGAGCACAAGAAACCATCCTTTATACTATTACAGCTACTCCATAAAATGCACATAAGTTGGTAATTTGGCTAATTTTACATAAAATTAAAAATATATAAATTTAAAAATTGAGTCAAAATAACCAATGTAGACATTCCTGGCACTAGAACAACATTTCCTCTTCATTAATCATGTTCCCAGGCCTCTCCTTTATTACACTTGCCTTTCAAACTGAATTCATATAGTAATTTGTAAATGTCAATATTCTATATAGTGAATGTTCAAATCAGATACAGTATACATAATGCCACTCCAGGTGTTACTCATGCACACATGTTTACAGTATTACTAATGATATTTGAAAATACAGAGTCTCACCTTCCGAAAGAAGACACCTGAAATGGACAAAAATACAGATTAATAAATTTTTGTCATTACAAACTTTGACACAGCTATGTACAGTACAGTATTACATATTCTATGTGTATTCTACTATTATTTTTGCCTTTCTATTTTTCTTAAGCTTTGTTCCCACTACCTCCTAGCCCCAGGAACTTTTCCAGTCCTGCTGTAAGTCATATTATGCATAATGCTCTGGCAAGTTAGTGGCTTTCTTTGTACTTAACAACATTTTATAAAATGTAGATCACATATTGTAACCTTTATGAAGAAACAAAAATTTGTATTTATAATTCCAGTCTTGCATGAAATGCATTGCACATGTATACTATTATTATTATAATCAAAAAGAAGCGCTAAGCCACAAGAGCACATGTATACTAGTGGCTTACATTTTATTAAGTGTAAACTACATTATCTGTGTACTGCATAAAATAAATAAAAAATAAATTCTAATTTGAATTAGTGTTGATTAAATGGTATCCTCACAATGGAAATAAATAACTTTTTTGGGTTATCCTAGGTAATTTATACATACGTTACTATGTACGATAATTATACTTATGTGTGCCTGTACCTAAATAAACTTAATACAAAAATCCCATAACATGGTATCATCCAAGAGTTGCAACACTGTAACCATTAACTACTAATTTGCCACATATATTGCCAACTGGAGGTCGTAACAGTCAAAAATTATTTTGGTAATGTTGCACAGCGAGAGGAATTTTTCGAATTGACGTAAGGACATTTGCAGATGGATGTTACTTGCAGGACTGGTTTTTCCCTGGGAGCATTATTATATTCATAGAAAACATTAGACCTGTAAGTCGTTCAGTACTACACAGCAGAGATGAAAGAAATGATATGGGAGGGTAGAGGAAGTACTGAGGGAAGGAGATCAATATAAAAGATAGAGGCAGTCACAGCTGATGTAAGTTTATTCAGGTACAGGTACACATAAGTACAATTATCATAATTTACATGTGTGTAAATTATCTGGAATAACCCCAAAAAAATCAAAGTGACTTATTTGTATTAAGCTCCTTGTGGCCAATTAGCATTAGTCAAGAATTATTACTATTACAATCACTGGGGAACACTAAACCCACAGGGGCCATACAGTGCCTCAGGGAATGGAAAACATTCAGGCTTGATTCAAGGAATTGGAGCTTCAGTCCAATTCCTTAGATCAAGAGCCCCTCACCAACATCAAGGAACCTTCTTTGAAGGGATTAGTTAAGAAATTATAGAAGACATTTAACACAGGGTACTGACAGAATGAGAAATAAGTTCTAACCCAACATGTCAAATTATTTTTATGTCCATTCTTTGAAATACCTTTTTAGGATACTTCAACTTCTAAAAATTCAGGTTATCAAGTAAGTTTATACAGGTACAGTTACACAAGTACAATTATCATACCTAATATAACGTGTAAATTACCTAACCCAAAAAAAGGTCAGTGGCTGATTTCCACTGGGATCAAATAATCAACAAAATATCCATATATTACCATTAACTAAGCATGGGATATTGTTCATAATAAAGCCTCAATGAAGATACTTTTATGTAATTACAATTTTTCTTAGTTCTTAATAAATACAATGTTTTCCTCGCTGAATAATTTTATTTATAAAGGGACCGCCTTGTCTTTTGAAAAAAAAAATAGTAATCATTATAATATGTAAATTTATTTAGGTACAGGTAAAGATAAGTGCAACTACCATACCTAGTAAAGTATGTGTAAATTACATACGATAATTTAAGATATCTTAATCTTAAAAAAAAAAAAGCGGGCAGACAAAGTGACATTCTACTGGGGTCTTGTAGCAAGCAGGAATCCAACATATGATAAATACCCTTATCTACTACTCTTAAAGGTTTCATACATAAGAATGACTATTCGCAGGAGGAGTGACTAAGCAACTTTACCCTGGACAAGGCCAAAGACTTCGAAGTCCACAGCGAGGAGTGTAGCGGCTGCCATGACTACTACATCAAGTCTCTTCTCTCACTACTTCCCTATCAGGCTGGTAACCTCATATAATTATCTGCTTATTTAAGCAGAACTGAGCGATTTGAAGCCTTAATCCCACCTAATATATATATTTTACTAATTGACATAGGTCTTTTTGTAAGTTATTGTTTGAATACAATAAAGGTAATTTTATTAGTGAGTCTAGCCTGGTAAGGAACTAGTGGCGACAACATTGAACAGCTGGATGAGCTTCTGCGCTGCCAAGTTCTTCACGGTTTTGAAGTAAAACCGGTCAATGACTCGAAGAGAATGTCAAAAGTCAAGACAAAGACAAAGTCAATGATTTACTTCCGGTTAGCCGGACTTGAGTCCTGGAGGTGCAAAGTACAGTGTCTGCGTTCTGAAGGACGGGTGCAGATATGTTGCAGTTTTTGAAATGTAGTGTAGGTGCGCCTCTGGCAAGACAATGATGGAGTGAATAATGATTAAGTAAGTTTATTCAGGTATACACAAAAACAGTTACATAGAATTATCATACATAGCAGCATATGTGTAGAGAACCTGGGATAACCCAAAAAAGTCAGAGTGACTTATTTCCATTGGGGTCCTTTTACCTTATTATTATAATATAAAGGTTATAATATTTTCTTATTATTCTATAATGAAGATAACATCTTATTATCATACTAAAAAGACTATCTACTACACGAGGGTCATTAAGACTATCTACAATACGAGGGTCATTACTAGGAATAAGGTAAAATTTACACTTATATTAGCTAAAAAATAGAAAATCATTCCCCTCCCTTTCTGTAGCTACCCCAATGGAAATAAGTCACTCTGTCTGACTTTTTTGGGTTATCCTAGGTTCTCTACACATATGCTGCTATGTATGATAATTCTATGTAACTGTATTGTGTATACCTGAATAAATTTACTTATTTACTTACTTACTTTACTTATTCATCAGACACCTTTTGGCACTCTTCTTGAACTGGTTCATGCTATGACTGGTTTTGACATGTACATGAACCAGTTCAAGAAGAGTGCCAAAAGGTGTCTGATGAATGTAGCTACGGAAAGGGAGGGGAATGATTTTCTATTTTTTAGCTAACATAAGTGTAAATTTTACCTTATTCCTAGTAATGACCCTCGTATTGTAGATAGTCTTTTTAGTATGATAATAAGATGTTATCTTCATTATAGAATAATAAGAAAATATTATAACATTTATATTATAATAATAAGGTAAAAGGACCCCAATGGAAATAAGTCACTCTGACTTTTTTGGGTTATCCCAGGTTCTCTACACATATGCTGCTATGTATGATAATTCTATGTAACTGTATTTGTGTATACCTGAATAAACTTACTTACTTACTTACTTAATCATTATTCACTCCATCATTCTCTTGCCAGAAGCGCACCTACACTACATGAAAGTGTTTCTTCTTTTTCGGGTTACTCTGCCTCGGTGGGACACCGCCGATGTGTTAATAAAAAAAATGATTAGTAAGTTTATATAGGTGCAGTTACACATAAGTATAATTATCATACTTAGTAACTAAGATTATTCAGGTATACACAAATACAGTTACATAGATTATCATGTATAGCAGTATATGTGTAGAGAACCTAGGACAGGGATTCTTGACTTTTCCTCCATCATTAACTCCCTCAGCTTGATGTATTTCTCCATTTACCCAATTACTCCGATATGGAAAACGTGAGGAAATTAAAACTATATCGGATTATGAAACAAATTCCAACCACACAATAGATAAAAAAAAAAACTAATGCAAAAGACCTGGGAGTGATCATGTCAGAGGATCTCACCTTCAAAGGACCATAACATTGTATCAATCGCATCTACTTGAAAAATGACAGGATGGATAATGAGAACCATAAAAACTAGGGATGCCAAGCCCATGATGACACTCTTCAGGTCACTTGTTTTATCTAGGCTGGAATATTGCTGCACACTAACAGCACCTTTCAAGGAAGGTGAAATTGCTGACCTAGAAAATGTACAGAGAACCTTCACGGCGCGCATAACGGAGATAAAACACCTCAATTATTGGGAGCGCTTGAGGTTCCTAAACCTGTATTCCCTGGAACGCAGGAGGGAGATACATGATTATATACACCTGGAAAATCCTAGAGGAATTAGTACCAAACTTGCACACGAAAATCACTCCCTATGAAAGCAAAAGACTCGTCAGATGATGCAACATCCCCGCAATGAAAAGCGGGGGTGTCACTAGCACGATAAGACACAACACAATAAGTGTCAGGGGCCCGAGACTGTTCAACTGCCTCCCAGCTACATAAAGGGGATTACCAATAGACCCCTGGCTGTCTTCAAGAAAACACTGGACAGGCACCTAAAGTCAGTACCTGACCAGCCGGACTGTGGTTCGTATGTCGGGTTGCATGCGGCCAACAGCAACAGCCTGGTTGATCAGGCCTTGATCCACCATGAGGCCTCGTCACAGACTGGGCTGCTGGGGCATTGACCCCCAAAACCCTCTCCAGGTATACTCCAGGTATTACTTCCATGCAAAAAATTTATCGCCATCATAAAGGGACAGAAAAACAAGGCCAGAAAAAAACAAACCATACCATGGGTGGGATAGAACCCACGGTCAGTCATAAAACACCAGACCGACGCATTAACCACTGGCCACGGCCACGTTGGTGGGAGATTCGTCTGTAAAAATTTGCATTTGTGGTTACAGTGGTGGCTATGCTAACCTTCCTATGGTGTATAAATATACCTAGTTGGATGAACTTTATTGTAGCCAGCTGGCCCATTGGTAACGGGTCGGTCTGGAGTTTTATGATTCTGACTGTGGGTTGTCCCTGCCCGTGGTATGGCTTTTTGCAATTGTGTCATTACGATTTCGTGAGTCATGAAGACGGCTCTGAGGGGACTTGAGCTAGAGTTCCCCACGACCACGCTGGCGGGAGATTCGTCTGTAAAATCAAGCTTTTGTGGTGCCTATGCTAACCTTCCTATGGTGTATAAATATACCTAGTTGGATGGATCTTATTGTAGCCAGCTGGCCCAGTGGCTAACGCGTCGGTCTGGAGTTTTGACTCTCGGACCGCGAGTTCTATTTCCACCCGTGGTATGGTTTCTAAATAAACTTAATAAGAGCTGAAAATAGGCGGAGCTGTAATAGGCCCTAATATCCCCAAAAACAAAAACAATAAACAGCTGAGCGTCGGAGACCTCGTCTAGGAGCCTCATAAACCCCTCGCTCATTGGCTCTTGTAGGCGACGTCAGCCAACCACATGTGGGTTCTCTGGTGACGTAAACAATATGGCAGCGATCATTGTAGGAACATCATCGTGATAGTTCTGCGTTCTAGTTAATTTGACTGCGACGCAAATGTTATTCTGGCGTCAGAGACACTAGTAGTAGTCCAGGAGCTTCATAGTCGGAGAGGATGGGAGAAGACGACCTTAATTTGGGCTTTAAGCCTCAAAAACAGGTTATTTACAACAAGCTCCTTCCATACAACGAACACATAGGCCAAGAAATACTCGAGCAGATATGTGATATTAAGGAAAATTTAGCTAAAGCTGTTATTCTTCGTGACGTTAGACCAGGATGCATTCACTGGGTGGCCAAGTTGTCCAGGTATGTGAATAATTTTGGAATAGGTTTTGGTGCCAGTTTTCGGAATGATGCAACAAACAGGCAATTGCACAGCTGTTTTGTCAATAATTACTATTTTTTTATTTATTTAGTTAAACTCTATGGAAAAATATTTTGTCGTATATTGTTTAGTCATTATCACGGTAATGAATGATATGGTGTAGATGGACTCAGTAAAACTTTTGATAGAGGTTTAAATAAGAAGATATTACAAAGACCCCAATGGAAATAATTCACTTTGTCTGACTTTTTGGGTTATCCTGGGTTTTCTATACATATGCTGCTATGTATGATGATCAGTGTAACTGTGTATACCTGAATAAACTTACTTAAGGACCCCATTGGAAGTAAGTCAGTTTGTCACATTTTTGGGTTGTCCTGGAGGGTAATCTGCACATATTCTGCTATGTATGATAATTTATATAACAAATTTATGTGTACCTGTACCTGAATAAACTTACACATCGAAGGTTACTGGGGAAAGTAGAAGCTCGCAGAGTAGGAGGTTTTTTTCCTGGATAGGGACATGGGTAGTAAGTTTATTTAGGTGCAGGTACACATAAATACAGTTTTTATCATGCATAGTAGCATATGTAAATTACATAGGATAACCCTTTTAAAAAGTCAGACAAAGGGACTTGTTTCCTCTGGGGCCTTTGGTCATCATATAGGCAACAGAGAGTTTGCATAAATGGGGAGAAATCAGAGTGGGGAAGCATCACGAGTGGTGTTCCTCAGGGATCAGTGTTGGACCTTTTTTTGTTCACAATTTACATAAATGACATGGATGAGGGAATAAATACCAAGTTTGCCAACAACACCAAAATAGGCCATTGAATTAATTATGAGGAGGACATTAGAGTGCTGCAGGAAGATCTGAATAGATTGGTGCAGTGGTCAGAGAAGTGGCAGATGCAGTTTAATATAGACAAATGCAAAGTTCTAAGCTTTGGAAAAGAAAATAAACATGTCACTTATAAAATAAATAATGTAGATCTTAATCATTCTGATTGTGAAAAAAAGATTTAGGAGTTCTGGTTAGCAGGAATCTAAAACCAAGACAACAGTGTGTAAGTGTTAGCAAAAAAGTTACTAGGATTCTTGGCTTCATATCAAAAGTATAAATAACAGGAGTTCTCAGGTAATTTTTAACTCTATATATTGTTGGTTAGGCCTCATTTAGATTATGCTGCATAATTCTGGTCACCATATTACAGATATATATACACTGGGGAAACATACAAAGGAAAATGACAAGATTGATCCTACATATTGAAAATTTTTCCTATGAGGATAGACTGAGGGCCCTGAATCTGCACTCTCTAGAAAGGCATTGAATAAGGGGGGATATGATTGAGGTGTATAATAATAATAATAATTTTATTTTGACATGATACATAGTTTTACAAAGGAATATAATAGTTGGGTGAACATGCCAAAATCCCCTTGAAGGCAGAGCATTTCGGGCAAACAGGAAAACAGGAATAAATAAAGGGGATGTAAATATATTTATTATTTTTTTTATTATCACACTGGCCGATTCCCACCAAGGCAGGGTGGCCCGAAAAAGAAAAACTTTCACCATCATTCACTCCATCACTGTCTTGCCAGAAGGGTGCTTTACACTACAGTTTTTAAACTGCAACATTAACACCCCGTTATATAAATAACGTTAAAAATACCTAACCAAGATAGGACTCGCAATAATGGATTCAAGTTGGAAAAATTTAGATTTAGAAAGGATTTAGGGAAGCACTGGTTTGGTAATAGAGTTGTGGATGAGTGGAGCAAACTCCCGAGTAGCATCATTGAAGCTAAAATGTTGTGTAGTTTTAAAAACAGATTAGACAAATACTTGGGTGGGTGTGAGGTGGACCTGACAAGCTTGGACCAGTAGCCTGCTGCAGTTCTCCTTCATTTGAGCAGGTGTGACTTGGACTGGCCTAGCATAGGCTCATAGGCCTGCTGTAGTGCTCCTTCTTATGTTGTTATAGAAGTATTCAGAGAAGTCTCTGAATTAAAAAAATCACCGACTTAGGCGAGATATCCAGGTGTTAGATTCAGTTACTTTGTAAGATATAAACCACAAGTTATCCAATAATGTAATTTAGGATTATCTTTGGTTAGGTTAAGTTAAATATTGGGTTATTGTTGGTCATAATTATACAAAATTTATATTCATAAAGAGAACTCCTCACTACTAGGAAAATATCTTAAGATTACTCCTGACTGATCAGTGACTTGGGAATGTCTGTGAGATCACCAGAATTCATTAGAGCCAAAAGTGACATTAAGATGATTTAACGAAGCATATATTTAACTGAAGCGGATTCTTTTTGATTAATATTGGAGGGTTATTAATTTTGATAACTCACAAAAAACTGAACATTGTGGCTTATTTCCATTGGGGTCCTTTAGATGTCCTCTCATAGGATGTGACCCTCAGTCATATAACAGTGGGGAATCTACTGCTGTGTGGATAGTCTGTTGGCTTTGGGAATAGCAGGTCACTGACCCCTATGGAATGTGGGCATTTTGCCTTGCCCAGGTTTTCAGCAGTGAGATTCCATCTTGTTGGCATTGCTTGCTTCCTTTCTTTGTTCCCTCTAAATTTAATATCTGAACCCTGGACACCTGGAGATAGGGATGGTTCTGCGATATTGTCCCTTAACAATAATTAATAATTAGTAACATACACCCAGAAGGAGTTGGGGGGGATTTGGAGTGAAGGGCTCTTCATTAAAGAAATTGGAGCTACTTTCCTTTTCCTTGGATCAAACTTGAATGTCTGCCATACCTTGAGTACTGTATGACCCCATTAGGTTGAGAGATTGCCGTGAAAATATAAGTAATAATTAACAATTATTAATATTTATAATTACAATGATGAAAAAACTATAGGTGCATCATGGTGGTAATTATGTTAATATATTTCAGATTTATTATTCACAAATGGTTTCCTTACATGTATAGCTGTTGGTACCATTAAAACATGAAACACAGGTTACAGTCAGTATTAATAAAGTTTACCATTTCAGATTCATCAAGCTTTATGGCTTGTGCTTCTCCAAAGAAGATCACATACTTCTGGTGAAACTTATGTACGAACTGGCAGTCACCTTCAACCAGGAGTTCTGGGTTATGGCCAAATTTGCCCAGATGCTGACAATTTTATTAAAGTAAGTCATAAGTTTTTATTTAGACCTCATGCATCAATTTAAAGTTTTACAATGGTTTGATATATGTTGTGCACACTTTAAATACGATAACCTAATAAAGTCAAGCACTGAAACTTGTTTCAGTGGGGATTCTTGTGTTATATAGTTGCAGAGTTGTATTTTAACATAAGCACATAGAAAGCTGTCATATTCTCTACCCTTAGTAATACTAATAAAAGTAAATGAATACAAAAATGACTGTATCAGATTAAAAAATTATTAATATTTTAACAATACAAGATGATCACCATCCTTCCTTTCTGCAGCTTCATTCATTAGATGTTCCTTTGCTTTAATTTTAAATTGTTTTGTAATAAGACTACCCTGCAAATGATTCAGGTAATACTCTCTAAACCTTTATCCTTGTGTAATAGAAGGCGTTTGGGGCCTAGTCACTATAGTGGGTACCACAAAATTGTGTGTACTCTCTCAGGTATCAAGCTTCTGGCTGTTGCTCCTGACAAATTGGGTATATAGTAAGGAGGAATAACACCTTATAGGAGTGAGGAAGAACCAGTTGTGAGTGGGGGGGGGAGTGCATGGGGCAGTGAGTAAAATGAAAGGGGGTAAAGCAGCTAGGATTGATGGGATAAAGGCAGAAATGTTAAAAGCAGGTGGGAATATAGTTTTGGAGTGGTTAGTGTTTTTATTTAATAAATGTATGGAAGAGAGTAAGGTACCTAGGGATTGGCAGAGAGCATGCATAGTTCCTTTGTATAAAGGCAAAGGGGACAAAAGAGAGTGTAAAAATTATAGGGGAATAAGTCTGTTGACTATACCTGTAGTTATTTTTGATAGAATTATGAGTAAGACAGAGAGCAGGATAGCAGTTGAACAAGGAGGCTTTAGGAAAGGTAGGGGGTGTGTAGACCAAGTGTTTGCAGTGAAACACATAGGTGAACAGTATTTAGATAAGGGTAAAGAGGTTTTTGTGGCATTTATGGATTTGGAAAAGGCATATGATAGGGTGGATAGAGGGGCAATATGGCAGATGTTGCAAATGTATGGAATAGAGGTAGGTTATTGAAAGTGAAAAGTTTTTACGAGGATAGTGAGGCTCAGGTTAGAGTATGTAGGCGAGAGGGGGATTATTTCCCAGTAAGAGTAGGCCTTAGACAGAGATATGTGATGTCACCATGGTTGTTCAATATATTTATAGATGGAGTAGTAAGAGAAGTGAATGCTTGGGTGTTGGCAAGAGGTGTGGGGTTAAAAGATAAAGAGTCTAGCACAAAGTGGGAGTTGTCACAGTTGCTCTTTGCTGATGACACTGCTTTTGGGAGATTCTGAAGAGAAGTTGCAGAGGTTGGTTGATGATTTGGTAGGGTATGTAAAAGAAGGAAGTTAAAAGTGAATATAGGAAAGAGTAAGGTGATGAGGATAACAAAAATGTTAGGTAACGGAAGATTGGGTATCAGATTGGAAGGAGAGAGTATGGATGAGGTGAATGTGTTCAGATATTTGGGAGTGGACATGTCAGCGGATGGGTCCATGAAGAATGAGGTGAATCGTAGGATTGACGAGGGGAAAAAGGTGAGTGGTGCACTGAGGAGTCTGTGGAGACATAACTTTATCCATGAAAGCAAAGAGGAGAATGTATGAGAGTATAGTTATACCAACGCTCTTGTATGGGTGTGAGGCATGGGTTGCGAATGTTGCAACAAGAAGAAGGCTGGAGGCATTGGAGATGTCATGTCTGAGGGCAGTGTGTGGTGTGTATATAATGCAGAGAATTAGGAGGAGGTATGGAATTATTGAAGAGGGATTATTGAGATGGTTTGGACATGTAAAGAGGATGGAACAAAATAGAATGACTTCAGGAGTACACAGATCTGTAGTGGAGGGAAGGTGGAGTAGGGGTCAGCCTAGGAAAGGTTGGAGGGAGGGGTTAAAGGTGGTTTTGTGTGCATGGGGCTTGGACTTCCAGCAAGCATGCATGAGCATGTCAGACAGGAGTGAATGGAGACAAATGGTTTTTAGGACTTGACATGCTTTTGGAGTGTAATCTAGGTAACATTTATGAAGGGATTCAGGGAAACCGGCAAGCTGGACTTGAGTCCTGGAGATGGGAAGTACAGTGCCTGCACTCCGAAGGAGGGGTGTTAATGTTGCAGTTTTATAACTGTAGTGTAAGTACGTCTCTGGCAAGACAGTGATGGAGTGAATGATGAAAGTTTTTCTTTTTCGGGCCACCCTGCCTTGGTGGGAGACGGCCGATGTATTAATAAAATAAAAATAAAAATTATTGTGATATACCAATAACCAGCACATTGGAGAGAGAAGCTTATGATGACACTTCAGTCAGATTTAGACCATTTACAGAGTCACACTAACACAAAAGAGTTGGGGGGGGACAAAAATAGGACGAAGAGAGAAAGAAAAGGAGTAGTAGTAGTGGTAATGCTGGTAGTGGAAGTAGTAATAGAAATAATAGTGGTAGTAGAAAATAAGAAGAGTAGCACAAGAGATAAAGGGGAGTGAAAGGTGAAGGGAGGCAATAGTAGTGATAGTAGTAGTAGTAGTAGAAGTGGAGTAAGTCTAAGGACAAGAAAAAAGAGCACTGCTGGAGAGCTAAGACCAAAAAAAGCAGGAGTGGGGGGAGAACTGAAGGACAGAACACACTTAGGCAGAAGGGAAAAAATAGGAAAGGATAAGAGGCAGGGAGAGGAGGAGGAAGTAAGGATCAGGTCAAATCACGAGTGTTCTTAAGCTTGGAGCATTTGACAATGTAATGAGAAAGGAAGGCATCAGCAGAGACAAAGCCAAGACTAAGATTCATACACTTGGAAAGTTGTGTATAAGGGATTCTTTAACAAGACAGCAACTGTTAAGGCTACCTCTAGTCGTTTTGCACACAACTTTTCTAGTATACACAGCTTTCCTAGTATAGACAGCTTTCCTAGTATACACAACTATCCTAGTATGAATCTTAGTCCTGGTTTTGTCTCTATAGATGCTTACCTTTCTAGTTACATTTTCAGATGCTCCAAACTTTAGAACACTCATGACTTGATCTGATCCTGTCTTCTCCTCTTCTTCCTACCTCTTCTCCTTTCCACCACCGAAACTGCTGCCACCACCGTCACCGCCGCTGCCGCCACCGCCACCACCACTGTAGTGGTACCTTGATTTACTAGTGCCCCAACCTAGGAGTTTTCCGAGTTATGAGCCGTCACTCAGTCGATTTTTTGCTTTGAGTTGTGAGCCGAAATCTGAGTTACGAGCGACCTTTAGATATGCCACCACTAGTTGGCGCAGTGAACGCCACAACATCCGCCCAGCATCCCAGCGTTTTGTGCTTTTTGTGCAGTTATTTTGCCAAATTTCTTTTTTCTAACCATGGGTCCTATAAAAGTAAGTGCAAAGGACGGTGCTGAGAAGAAGAGGATGATGATATCCATTGAATTAAAGCATGAAATATAGAAAAACAGGAGCCAGGTGTGCGTGAAGTCGACTTAGCGAGGCAGTATGAGCATAGAACTTCGTACCTTATGCCTTCTCTGTGAGAAGGCACAAGGCATTTACGCTGATTTACTTCCGGGATATTCCCCCCCCAAGTTGGGGGGGGGGAATTCCGAGAAAATTGCTGTTGTTTGTGTTTTCCTTATGAAACTAGTGATCTAGTGCAGTTAGCCTCAGGAGTGGCTGCCACCGCTCTTTACATAATGACATTTTATACATTCTAGAGTATATATCATGTTTCTATGCTATTTATATTCTTTCTTATGTCATATTAGATCAATTGTGATACATAAATAAGCCGTAGATTTGATATTAGCATTATATTAAAGTAGTATTTTCTCCTGCTTCCCGAGAACCAGGAATTCTGCTGGAACAGATTAATGGCATTTCAGTTAATTTCAATGAGGGAAATTTATTTGATGCACATTGTATGAGCAAATTGAGTTACGAGCTCAGTCGTGGAATGAATTAAACTTGTAAGTCAGGGTACCACTGTACTACTACTGCTACTGAATTACTACTACTATTGCTACTACCACTGCTATTGCCTCCCTTCACTCCCCTTTCTATCTCTTCTGCCACTAAAACTACTCTCCCTACTTTCTACTATCACTACTACTACCACTACCAGCATTACCACTACTACTTTTTCTCCTCTCTTTGTCCCGTTCCTGTCCCACTCTCGCCTATATATATACTGGCTCCCTCACTCTTGTGTGTTAATACTTTGTAAATGGTCCAAGTTGGACCAAAATGCCATCATAAGCTTTTCTCCCCTATGTGCGGGTTATTTGTGTGTGCCAGTCATGGTATTGTCTTCTTATTCATTATTGTGATTAACAATAAAAGACAGTTCTGTAATAACAAACTTTGTCAGTTGTTTCTTAATCAGACAACACAGCAGATTTTGAGCAGATTTTGTCCTATATTTCCAAAGTCCTTAATTCGATGTTTGTTAAATTAAACTTTTACTACTGTTTATTAATTTTACCTGGCAGTTTGCCTTTAAATATTTAAAGCAACTTGTGAAACCATCAGTAATTGAAGCAAGAGTAAATTATCAGGAAAGTTTATTCCAACAGGAAGAAGGAGCTGTTAGCTCCAGGTGAGCTGATTTTGGAGTGGCGTCCACTCTACGACCTGTACAACAGTCTATTTTACAACTCGTACAATGCAATTGGGATGTTAATGCTGCCATCGTAAGTTGTCTTCTAACCTTTGGGTTTGGTTGTCACTAGATTGTAGTGTGACTTAATAGTAGAGTAGCCTAGTCACAAATTAGTTGCCATAGTAAATGTGTTGTGTTTCAGAAATTGTCACCAGAAGACCAATATTTAAGAACATTTGGTGAAAGAAATTTAATAATGAATGATAGTTTTTGATGTTTTAGAAGGCCTACATGTTGTATTGTAAAATGTACATAATATACTACAATGTTATGTTGCAATAAGTGTTGTAAAAAAATTGTCTTTATTTTAATGTCATGATTAGAATCATAGACATTAAGCAGAGTGCATTTGTTTAGAAAGAATAAGCTTCATTTGAGTAGATAGGTAAGAAGATTAATCCCCATCAGTGACTTTCTCATAACTCTGCAATTTTATGAACAAATATTATCTTTAAGATCTACCTTATATTCAGATTGAAGCAGTATTTAATAGGGCTGCCATTAATAAAGAATTTTTTGATTTTAAGCATCATAGACAACACAGTTAGATGTTTGCTCTAGAGCTTGACTACCTTGTGCAGGATAAAAACATGAATTATTCTCAGATTTAAAGGTCAGTGGTCAGAAACAGCTGGATTGTTATTTATTTAAGGACAGTGCTATTCCCTTGCGGGTCATTCAGAGCTGTATGGCAATGTTGAGGCTGATGGTTGAGGAAGAATATGCAGAAATGTTGAAGGTGAGGACAAAAGCAAAAGGAAGGTGCAGTATATCATTGTCAGTTAAAAATCACACTGAGTCTGTATTAAGGTCACACTCGGAGAGGAGGGCAGGCAGAGTACAGTAAACACATCGGGATATTAGAGGTAAGGTAAAAAAGGTGTTACAACTTGTCAACATGGCTTGATAGTTCCTGCATAGTGGCACTTGGTGCCCTCCCATGAGATAACCATGTGCAAGTGGTGCAACCAACACGAATGCATGACAGTACTGTTTTCTTCTATTATACCAGAGATCCAGGTGTGCCTTCATTAAAAACTGTTGGCCACTAATACAGGGCAGTGCTGCCACTAGTGATGGCAGTGCTGTTATAGTGATAGTACAATTACTAAAAACAGTATAAAAGTAGCAACCACCTGTGGAAGACTGAAAGGTCCAGAACTGAGGAAAGCACTGAGTGTGCAAGTTGATCTGTAGACCCATCTTCCAACACATTCCCACCCAGATAATTAAGTTCATTCATTTTCTCCATATTCCTAACCTCTGTTTTAACTTCCAATTTTTAATTGTGTAGACCTTAATCTCATTGCCCTGCCCTTTTCAATACATATTTACTTTTAAATTCCATATTTTCACACTCTTCTCAGCCTCATTAAATTTTTAAACTGCTCTGAATCTTCCAAAAGCAATGTGTCATCAGCAAAAAGCAACTGTTAAACTTCTCAGTTTATATTGGTTTAATTTTCTATTTTAGTCCACACTTCTTCCTAACACAAGCACTCACTTCCTTTATGACTCTTTATTTTTTAACACGTAGGTATTTCCCACCAAGGCAGTGTGACCAAAAAAGAAGAAACATTTTCATCATCATTCACTCCATCACTGTCTTGCCAGAGGCATGCCGATACTACAGTTTAAAAACTGCAGCATATCTCCACCCCTCCTTCAGAGTGCAGGCACTGAACTTAGCACCTCCAGGATTCAAGTCCAGCTAACAGGCTTCCTTGAATCCCTTCGTAAATGTTACTTTGCTCATACTCCAACAGCACATCTAGTCATAAAAACTACTTGCCTCCACTCACTCCTATCTAATATGCTCATGCACACTCTCTGGAAGCCCAAGGCCCTCGCACACACATTAAGCATTATGCAATGAATATCACACCACTGTTTCACCTTGACTGGAAAATACTCTCCTATATATTTTAAACTGAGTCTCACCCTACTTAACAAATTTATTTACAGCTTTTATCAATCTTCCACCTATTCCATACATTTGCAACATCTGCCACATTATTTCCCAATCCACTTCTGTTATTTGCAGTTTCCAGGCATGTGATTAGAGTGGATATTCTTTGGTTCACAAATGATACAATAAGGGATAACACGAGACTTTGTAGGCCAAACTTTTATTGGGACAACATTGCGATCTGTGTAAGTTTATATCATGTCATGATAATGATCTATACAGATCAAAACACTGATCCAATAATAGCTTGTCAGGTATCTTTGAAGGGGTGACTTTAAGTGGTTTCCCAAATGTTGTTTTTCTTCCTTCAAGGCTTTAGTTTATAACTTGAGAATACTCGAATCTTTCCCAATAACTTGGGAAAGATTTGAGCAACTACTGGCATGTTCAGGTTCCCTTTAGTCACTTTTATATTGATCTTTCTTCATTTGCTTTCTATGTGAAACTTTTAACACTTGATGTATCCTGCTTAAAAGAAAGTTAAGATTGTTATTAGTTTGTGCAGGTTCCATTTTGCTATTTTTTTGTTTAAAATTATATATTGTTCTCTGAAATAGTTTGTGCTTCTTTGGAATTTGTTTTAATGGCTGGCCAAGATGGTATACAATGAGTTCAGGCTTTATAGGTACAATTTTTATTTTTTCATCAAGTCGGCAGTCTCCCACCAATGCAGGGCGACCCAAAAAGAAAGAAAATCCCCAAAAAGAAAATACTTTCATCATCATTCAACACTTTCACCTCACTCATACATAATCACTGTCTTTGCAGAGGTGCTCAGATACGAAAGTTTAGAAGTCCCTCCAAACTGTCAATATCCCTGACCCCCCCCCTTTAAAGTGCAGGCATTGTACATCCCATTTCCAGGACTCGAGTCTGGGTAAATCTTTAATAACCGGTTTCTCTGAATCCTTTCACTAAATACATGTATTACCTTGCTCACATTCCAACAGCTCGTCAATTCCTGAAAACCATTCATCTCCATTTACTCCTATCTAACACGCTCACACGCTTTCTGGAAGTCCAAGCCCCTTGCCCACAAAACCTCTTTTACCCCCTCCCTCCAACCTTTTCGAGGACAATCTCTACCCCCCCTTTCCTTCCCCTACAGATTTATACACTCTCCAAGTCATTCTACTTTGATCCATTCTCTCTAAATGGCCAAACCACCTCAACAACCCCTCTTCAGCCCTCTTGACTAATACTTTTAGTAACTCCACACCACCACCTATTTCCACACTCTGAATTCTCTGCATAATATTTACACCACACAGGACATATCCACACACAGGACATCACTGCCTCCAGCCGCCTCCTTGCTGCTGCTTTTACAACCCAAGCTTCACACCCATATAAGAGTGTTGGTACCACTATACTTTCATACATTCCCTTCTTTGCCTCCATAGATAACGTTTTTTTTTTTTTTGTCTCCACAGATACCTCGACGCACCGTTCGCCTTTTTTCCTTCATCAGTTTTATGGTTAGCCTCATCCTTCATAAACCCATCCACTGACATGTCAACTCCCAAATATCTGAAAACATTCACTTCTTCCATACTCCCTCTCTCCAATGTGATATCCAATTTTTCTTTATCTAAATCTTTTGATACCCTCATCACCTTACTCTTATCTATGTTCACTTTCAACTTTCTACCTTTACACACCCTCCCAAACTCGTCTACTAACCTTTGCAACTTTTCTTTAAAATCTCCCATGAGCACAGTATCATCAGCAAAAAGTAACTGTGTCAACTCCCATTTTGTACTTGATTCCCCATAATTTAATCCCACTCCTCTCCCCAACACCTGAGCACTTACTTCTTTTACAACCCCATCTATAAATATACTAAACAACCATTGTGACATTACACATCCCTGTCTAAATAATAAATAATAAACTTGGAATTGTTGGTTTCTGAGCAGTAACCGGAGGATTCCAGTTCTGATCAGCCTCCAACACTAAACTCTAATGTACCTTAGAGAAATTTTTGGATTTATCTTGGGTGCCAATTTTATTGAAATTGTGGAAATCAAAATATTGGTTTTTGTGCAATAATTTGTGAATGCTTCGTCCGGTTGACTTCAAGCATTTATCTCTTGCTGTATATTAGAGGAAGCCTTGAATTGTTATTGTACTGTGTTGGTAACAATTTGCAGAATTTTACTTAACCCCCCGAGTTCTTCAGTTCTGGCAACTCATAGAGGGATGTCAACTTCCAGTGTCTTAAAGAGAAACATCAAATATTTCTTTCTCATAGGATTGTAGAGAATTTGTAATAAAATATAACTGAGAAAAAAATGAAAACTATAGAACAATCGTATTTATAGCATTTTTAAATTTCAAGATTTTTAACTTAAGAATGCTTCATAAAATTTGCTTTAACTTCGTAAAGCAAAAGTTGCACATATCACCCAAATACTTGGTATACTATAAGTCGTGTATTAATCATGATTTTTATGGGTGCATTGCTGAAGCATTGTATGAAGTTAAAATACATTATGTAATAGCCTTGTAATCTTCCATAGAAAAATTTATGAGCTGGAATTAAGTCGTCTTAATAAATTTTTTCAAGTTACTTGAGGAGTTTATGTAGGAGTTTGTGTAATGTTAAGGTATTAGTGAAAAGAAATGTATCAGAATATAAGGGTGCCAACACTTGTTAATATGAGACGTGGGCTTTGATTCTTGCGGTGAAGAGGAAGTTAAAGGCAGTGGAGATTTCATGTTTGAGATCAGTGTGTTCTGTAAATATTATGCAGAGCATAAGGAGCACGAAAATTAGGAGATGGTGTGAAGGAGGGATTGTTAAGATTGATTACTTATTATTTAGAAATAATGCATCAGAATAGATTGGCCAAGAGGGTGTATGAATCTTGTGGTAAATGGGAGGAAGTGTAGGGGACATCCCAGAAATAGTTGAGAAAGAGGGGGTGAAAAAAGAGGTTTTAAATGATAGGGGAGTAAGTATCCAGCAGGCGTGTGAGCTTAGTAGAACAGAGCAAGTGACTTGATGTTGGAGTGTGAGCAAGACAACATTTATGAAGGAATTCAGTGAAACTTGTTAGATGGATTTAAGCTCTCAGTGTGGAAGTACAAATTGTGCAATTTGAAGGATGGGCAGGAATTATGCTGTTCAAAGGTTCATTTAAATTATGATGTCTGTGCACTTCTTACTAGACTGCTATTGAATGAGTGAGTGTGTCAACACTGCCATGGTAGGAAACAACCAGTGTTGTAGTAAAAAAAAAAACTCTGGAATAGTTATCTAATTTACTTAATGTGCAGTACTCCACACATTATGTTACTGTAATGGTATTTTTTTTCAACGAACCAGTAGTATCCCACTGAGGTAGGGTGACCTAAAATGAAAAACCAAAGTTTTTCTTTTTAAATTTAGTAATTCATACAGGAGAAGGGTTTTGTAATGGTATGTGATGAATAATTCAACATCTCTACAGTTATGAGGACAACACCAAATAGTTGAACAGGGACCTCAGATTATTAAATATTAAAAGTATTTTATTAAGGCCACCTTTTTGGGAATAATAAAATACTGGTATAGGAAGGCCCCACTTATACATCAGGTCAGGTTTTGGGCTACTGCTGTAAAGTAAAAATCGTAGCTTTTTTTCACTTTCAAATGTATGTATATAAAAGCCTATCATATATTAATTGAACAATAGAACTAGGCCTAAAAGATGTATACAGTAGAACCTCTGTATTTGGATGCAACTTTATTCATAAAATCCAGTATTTGGAAAAAATTAGAGGGGGAGAAGGTACCGATATTCCCAACTGTCACTATATTCGAAACGCCTGTTTTTTGAGTTCTTGGAATTCAGTTGTTATTTTTTGTATAAGCTTTGTGTTATATTTATTTTATTATTGAAAATATGTGGTCATGGCCCTGAATAAGAATGGTGAAGGAAAAAAACTAAAAATAAGCTATAAGACCCACCATTGAACTGAAAAAGGAACTTGATTCAATATTAAGAAAATTCAATATTCAAAACACACTCAAGAACAAATTAATTGTGAATACAAAGGTTCCATGTTCACAGTAGATATTACTTATCTGAATTACTTATCTGAAAATATTTTAATTCTTAGCTGATAGTGAGTGGTTAATATATTTGTTGTAGGAAGTCTGAATAAGTGAAAAATGGGTATGAATGAAACAGTTGCATTAGTGAAATGCTGGACAGTTGGGCCCACCTGTGTACAGGTGTCCCAGCAAATTCACTGAAGACTGTGATTCTACAGGTCCTGCTAAAGTAGTAACCATAAATTTTGATAGAGATATGGGTTCAGTGTGTGTTTCAAGAGATCATATCTCTGTAATATATGACTCCAGAAGAGAAAAAAGGTTTGGGCATGATAAAGCCACTGACCCAGAAAAATGTTTCATAATTTAATCTATTTGTGGGTTGTCTATCAATAAAATGTTGGATAATTGAAAGTTTCTAATAAGGAAGCCAGTGAATTTGTATGGATGACTGTTCTTGTAATTAAAAGTGTACCAGTGTATAAGTTAGAGAGAATTATACCATACATAAATGGTTCTGTAGAAACACCTCTGTACAATACTATATGACCTTACAATATCTTATTATTCCTGAGAATGATGTCTTGGAGAAACATCAGATAAACTGAGGTCATTCTGTCTTTCTTGTTTGTTCTGTTAAGTTGTCCACAGTCAACCTCCTGATTTGGATCTAGAGTTCTGAGGACTCGGGTGGTCACTCTAGTTTAGATGAATGTTCTTTGCATTATACTCAACATGCTCAATAATTTGCAAACAGGTGAAATTATTTACAAACATTATCTCTCAGTACACAGCAGGATTTGAACCTGCATACTCAGCATCAAAGTACACAGTACATTTATCCACATAGTCTAACTCTGGCAGCATGGATAAAGTACTATGTACTCTGTTGCCAAGTTTGTAGGTTCAGTTCCTGCTGTGGCCTGAGAGGTAATGTTTGTAAATACTGTATATAATTCTTATGTGTTTTCCCTAGTTTGGTTCATTAATTTGCTGGTTAATTTTCTGAATAAAGTCGTTTCATCAGTCGTTGTTTCTGTAGTAATGATATTTTTTCCTTCAAGATAAAGTTGATATAAATCAGACTGGCTGATTAAATCCTCCTCAAGCCATTATTGTCTGATAAGCTGTTAATTCCCACTGTTTTTTGACTCGTGTTCCCCATAGCGATTTAATATAAATTATAATAATTGTATATATATATATATATATATATATATATATATATATATATATATATATATAGATATATATATATATATATATATATAGATTAGATATATATAGTGTATACACATGTTCATGTGTTAGGTATACTTTATAATTAATGTTTAAATGTTCAACCTGAATATATTGTAATTTTTCAGATTTATTATAACCGTTGTAATTTTTGTTTTGTAAAATTTTTATAAATGGCCATTTCACTCATATTTATTTAAGAACAATTTATTTTAATTTTAATATCTTTCAAGCATAAAAAGTATTTATCTGTCAGAGTTCATTCCAATAATGGCTTGCTAAGTAAGATGTTCATGACTGTGTTTAAAATTAAGTCAAATTATTGTCATTAGTAAGAGAAGAATGACTTCTCTTTTTTTTATTTCTTTCTAAATTATAGTAAATTAATTTCTCCTGGTTAAAATTGTTTATCTGTTGAAATCAAATGAATCAGTCATGTGATTGATCACGAGCCTCACTCTTTATCTTACGATCCCACCGTCATGACTCCTTTCAGGCGGACCAGGAGGGCTGCCAGTCGTTTGTTTAGCCGTAGGAAGGGAGATACATCGTAAGTTACGCACAGCCATCTTACTCTTTCCTACTACTTCCTCAGCAGCACTTTGAAGGTGTCTGATTAACTTATTGTGAAATAATCAGCATATTTTATCCAGAAGGTATTTCATCATTTACGAAACACAATTGTGAAATAGTTAGAATATTTTACCAAGAAGGTATTTCATCATTTATGAAACACAATTGTAAAATAATCAGAATATTTTATCCATAAGGTATTTTATCATTTATGAAACACACACCTAAAATAAACATCGTTATTTTACGTTTGTATTAGATTCATGTAAAGATACAAATTTTCATGTGTCAAATTAAGCGATCTTGTCTCAAAGTCGGATTGGTCCACTCCCAACAGCTATAATTCACTAGTCACTAGTTTATCTGAAGAGACATTGTTATAGCGAAATAGTAATTATTTAGACTGCTCAATAGATTTGTTTTAAACGGCCATTTAAATGCGAATTTATCTAATGTTGATCATGTAGGAAGAAGTCTTGAGTGTGTGACCACACTTCTGTAGTGTTGGTCTTTGAAGATTGTTTAGTATGTAGTACACAGCCCACTACAACTCAAAAATAGTTTGGACCTCAGCCTCTTATTCTGTATTTTCCAGAAAGCTAAAATTGGAGATAATGGCTGACCAACATGTCATAAAAAATCCATATTTTAAGATTAATTTTTGTATATAAAGCATATACAAAAATGCATCAAATTAACTGAATTGTTTAATAATTCCGACAGCAGATTCATTCCCTATTACCAATTTGCCAGAATGTATGTCTTTACTACTAATTTCTACTAAAAATATGCGCCATGTAATCTTATACAAAACAGAAGAGGAGATGAAAATTAAGAAGAAATTCAGTCTTCATTACCAATTTGGTCACACAAAATTAAGTACACTTCTTTATAAAAAAAATATTACCTTGAATGAGCACAAACTGCACCAAATGATAGTATAACATAAATGCATTTAAATTAGTGCTAAAAGTGCATTAATAATAACAGGTGGAGAAGAGGTGTAAAAGATGAGTCCTTTCAATATCAGAATTTTGCTTGACATTGAAATTTCAAATTATTATTATTATTATTATTATTATTGTTATTATTATTATCATTATTATTATCTGAATTGGGGCCCTGTTTGTTTCATGGCATCCTAAGATTTTCAACATTCAAATTTTTTAGGTAACATTAGTGTGAGGGTCTTGCAAAGTTTTAGTGGCCAATTTTCAGTTTAGGAAATGTCTTTTCATTGAGAAAATTTCTAGTTTTATGAAGTTATGATAGTTTTAAAAAACTATTATTATGCTGGTAGTATTTTTATAAAGCATTCAGTGTGCTGTACATAATAAATGAGTCCTGTTCTCTGGTACATAATTTGCTTTATTACATTATGACTTTGACACACCTATTTTGGCATAGAAAATATAAATTAATGATAAGGCAACTGATACAAATACCATTTTTGAAATGTATTTTAAATATCAAGGAAGGAGTATTTTTGGTCACGAGTTGATCATTTCTCACCAAGGCCAGAAGGCAGCACACTAACCAGTACTCTCCCTAGTTATTTTTCCACAGCTGCCTTTTAAAGCAATTGTTTCACTTTTGTCATGATTATTCGCATTAGCTCTTTCTACAAATATAAAAAAAATAGAGTAAATATCTAAATAAAATTCCTCATTTTAAGTTTATATTTTATGCCAAATAAAAATGTATTTAACTTTGGATATCCAAGAATTTATAATAAAATAAATTATATATTTTAGAGCATGACTGTCATTTGTTATGCTTATACTGTACATTAAATGGCTTTATACATGTTCCATTTAACACTGAAAGAAGCAAGCTTAATAGTATGTATTGCATATATTTGTGCATGTGTAATTTTTAATGCATTAGTTGTTTCTCACCAGGTATGGTGACTCAAAGAATGAAAGGACATCGGTATTGCTCATTCCTTAGCTCTCTTTTCGGAAGTGCATAAATAGTACTTTTCAGATAATCGTCTGAACTGCAACATCTCTAATCTTTCAAACTACAAGCACTGAACTTTGCTCCTCTAGAACTCCAGTATGACTTACCAGTTTACCAAAACCCCTTCATAAATATTATCTTGTTTGCACTCCAGCAGCATGTAAAATCCCAAAAACCATTAGTTTCCACTCACTCTGGTCTAATGTACTCACACATGCCTGCTGGATTCTCACTCTGCTACCATTCAAAATCTATGTTACCTCTTCTCTAATCCTTCCTGGGATGACTCCTACCACTCCTTCCATCCACCACAAAAATTGTTGGTCAGCCTATATTGCTTCTTTCTTTTTATATTGGCAAGACATTTTGACATCCCATCATGACTTCGTGTCTTCACTCCTTATTCTCTATAATATTCATACCACACATTTATATCAAACACATCTCCACTGCCCTCAGCCTCTTTCTCACTGCAATTTTCCAAGACCATTTCTCATACTTTTTTCTGCCTCCACTGATAAGCTGTTCTTGTCATAGCCTCCTTAACACCCCAAGCTACCTTCTGTCCCTTATCTATTGTGTGATTTGCCTCATTATTTTCTTAGACATATCTATAGGCATATCTAAGTACATTTAATATATCCATATGCCTTCTCTCTAGCCTAATGTTTACTATGTCATTACCTTATGACTCACACCACCTTCCTCTTCTGTATGTATACTTTCAACTTCCTTCTTCTACATATCTTCTCAAACTCTTTTACCAACTGCTGCAGCTTCTTTTCAGAATCACACAAATATTTGTCATCGGCAAAAAAGTAACTGTGACACCATCCACTATACCCTTCCCCATAACTATTATTCACTTCTCTTACAACCCTATCAAGAAATATTTTAAACAACCATGGTGACATTACATGCCCACTGTCTAATACCAACTTTTATTGGAAAATACTTCCCTTAAACATACACATAGTTTTTAATAGCCTACCCCTTGTTTCATACATTTGCAATACCAGTCACAGTTTTTATTTATTTGGATAACTAACCTTTTGTTCCTGACATTTTAAATAAGGAGTAAACAAGGGTTTAAACGAGACAGTTGTAGTGAATGTAAATTATCTTCACTGAGGTACCTCCATGACTCAAGCTGACTACCCAAACACTTATATTCTAGAGATTCTCCACACCATGTAGGCTTCCTATGTAACACATTATTTATAGAGGAAAGAATTTGTCACTTTCCCAAGGAAACTAAAAGAAATTCTCCAGAATAAGAACTATTAAGAAACTTGCAGGAAAGCATAGATAAGTGTATGCTGAACGTAAGTAGATGTGAGATTTATGTGCCATGTTGCCTGTTGTTCATGAGATCAAGATAAGATCAGCAATCTTGCAAGTGCAAACATTCATTGGGCTTTAGTTTCACACATCTGTGACAGGACAGTAGTACCTCAGTGGATGGCTACAGCCTACCAACCTATTTATACTGTATATAGTTTTTAATTTGTTGAAAAATAGTAATATGCTTGTGGATGATGCAGTAATCCTATGCAAGATAAAAAAAAAAAAATATTGTAAATACATTTATGAAACCTGGATAAAGTGGCACAGTGGATTGAAAATGGGATAACACAGTTTAATGTAGATAAGTGCCATGAAATAGTAATAGAAGAAATTAGTAACAAGCCATATAATGAATACAAATTGCTCGAGAAGGATCGTGGAATAATTAAATTAATTCTTATGTAACATCCCTGCTACACCCATGCATATTCCAGTAACCAAATTTCAAAAAGCAAATTGGAGATTCTTTTCAGTGGAAGATCTTAATGAAACTGAGGAAAATTAGCATCCTGCACTGGCAAACTTTGTAATGTCCAATGTCCTTCACATATGTGAACACAGAAATGATCATTTTTTTTTTTTTATCACTGGCCGTTTCCCACCAAGGCAGGTTGACCTGAAAAAGAAGAAGCGCTTTCATTGTTACTCACCTCATCTCTATCTTGCCAGAGGCATACCAGTACTACAGTTCAAAAACTGTGACATATCTCCCACCCTGTATAAATTACTAAAAATATGAAGAAAGCCTTATAGACAAAAACTGGAATATTCAGTAGTAATATGGTGCCCACACTCATTGTAGATATGACAGAAAAAACAGACATACCACAAGACAGCTTCCAGAACCAAGAAATATGAGTCAGGAAGGAAAACTATAAACTACTAATATTATTATTGGCTAAAAGGAAAAGAGAAGACATAACCACTTAGTCATAAAAATATAAGATAAAAATAGATAAGAGAGATTACCTAGCCTCCCAAGAGGGAAAATAAGTAGTCACAGTTATAAAGAGAAAAATATTGGTGCCTAATGAATGCTTCAAAAATGTTTTATTGAGAAAGTTTGGTAGAATTCTAGAATGGGATCCGGGAGGTATTATTGTAAATACAACAACTGCTGAAAACTATTATTGAGCATGAAGCATATGATTTATTCTTGTATTGGCTTATTATTGAAAAATGCTTTGTAAATCAAATGAAACATCATGTATAAAGTTTCACTACCACATTGTCTCATTGTATTCCTTGGATTATTGTTACTGTGACCGCGGCCCGGTCACAGACCGGGCCGCAGGGGCGTTGAGCCCCGGAACTCTCTCCAGGCAAACTCCAGGTAAACAATGCTGTCTGGTAACCAAACAATGTCACTGCTATGACCCTACATTCCACTCGGTACAAACTTTAAGTTTTTGCTGTCACGAATGCAACAGTGAAAACATGGTAATTTGGGTCTATTTTTCAGAATATTAAGTATTATTGTCTTTGTTCTCTATTTGAGAATTTTGTATCAAGTAGTGTGATTTCATTGAGCTTATATTTCTGTGTATGTACAGTACTATATAATAGTGTAGTAAATTTCTCATTGTCACAGTATCAAATAGATTATTTTAGGTATGTAGCTGGCATAATATTTTTGTGCTATTTAGTTATTGTGTGTTTTGTAGAACTTTAGTATGTGTTTGTTGTGTATGAGCATTCTTCCAGAAATGCCGAGGGAGTTGTGGAGAGTATGGTACGTGTTTGTAGGCCGTACTTCCCTCTTGGGTCTACTTCAGAAATCTTGGAAGAGGTGCGACCAATGATGTGCCCATTTGATATGACGATGCAGCGAGCGATGGTGTATTTAGAACTCTTTCTACCCACTTCCCTTAGTCCAGAACAGGCAGAATTTGGCTGGAAATTGTGGAAAGATGAGTTACTGGGTGAGAAATGTTACTTTTGGTCTGATGTTGAGTATAAAGGTACATTTGTATTGAAAAAATACCCCTTAAGGGTGTTGATGCTGGTGAAAGCCTCTTTCTCTAAGGAATTAGAGTTGCCCATCACTTCATTGGATTAAACCTGATTACCTCCCTGTCCCTGGGTGTTGTATGACCCCTTCTGAATTTAATAATAATTAAAATAAGATTAGTGAAGGGAAATTAATTACATTGTGTATATTGCTTCTTTTCAAACACTTTTTATTTGAATTGACACTAATATGTAGTTCTTATCTAATATCCATCATGTTTTATCTAATATCTTCAATTCGTACATTTCAAAATGTATTTTTATAATTTTTTCCAATCAATAATCGGCAGGTTTACAAATAACTGTTTACCTTCTACGTGATATTGCAACTGTGGCATAAACTATGCTGCGAACTGATTATTTTTTTGTTTCACATTCTCAATCCATACACTCTTAAGTTTCTGGTGGAAAAGACACAATTGCCGAGAGGAATGTTGAGAAACTCCACTTGTGGAAGAAGCTTATGGGGCTTTGAAGGTGAAATATCTCGGCAAATTTTCTCTCTGCAGTTGTCTTTCTCACCACTTGTCACTTTCAACCACTTGTGTCCCTACTCAATAAATTTTTATTTCTTCTGTCAAGTCATTATACATGTTAGACACTGTCAGGGCAAATAGCACGAAAGGAACATGTGAAGGGTCTGTGTGTACTAGTGTCAGCTGATCTATCTTTCAAAGAACACAGGCAAATGTCACGACAGCCAGGAAAATGAGGGGATGGATAATGAGAACTTTCAAAATAAGGGAAATTGTGCCAGTGGTGACACTATTTAACTCACTTGTTGTCTCTTGTGTAGAGTATTGTTTAGTCCCAATGGCTCCATTCAGTAAAGGGGTGGTGATATTGGAGCAGGAGAACACAAAGATCGTTTATGGCTCATATAGAGCCAGTAAATCATCTAAATTACTTGAGGGCCTGTTTCCAAATCTGCACACTGCCAAAACAATATTCTGGAGTGAGAGATATGGGAGAAAGTGTAAAATAAACTCAGTGAAAAGCAGAGGTGCTGTCTACACAATAAGAGAACATTTTATCAACATCTGTGGCCCCAGATTTTTCAACACCTTACCAGAAGATATAATCACTAAGGTTATATCTTCTGGGGTGGGGATACAGTATTTGCAGTTTTGAACTGTAGTACCAGTACCCCTCTGGCAAGAGTGATGGGGTGAATGATGGTGAAAGTGTTTCTTCTCTTTTGGGTCACCCTACGTTGATGGGAGACAGCCGGTTTGTTGAAAAAACAAAAATAATCACTGCTGGAATGAGTGTAGAAGTCTTCAAGAGAGAACTGGACAAGCATCTCTACCAAGTGCATTTAATCAGGCTATGATGGACATGTGGGCCAGTAGGCCACCAGGAGCAACAGCCTGGTTGGTCAGGCAAGCACCAGACAAGCCTGGCCCATAGCCAGGCTCTGGGAGTAGAAAAAAATCTCAAAATTCATCAAAGGTATATCAAAGGTAAAAGTAGCTGCTGAGTCTTCAACCTCACTAATGATATTTAGCCACAAATAAACTTTTCCTTTCATCACTATTTGGATTTTGCATTTTAACAAAACCTCTTATCTATTATTATAGTTTGACTTTCATTCCTACTTTGTTTTATAGTTTCCAGATTAGTTTTGCATAGGAGTGATTATGATTTTTGTTTTTTAAATCTTATTCATTTACTTAAGTAATTTAAGAACACACACATTTATCACCATTCTGAAGAATTAAACACTTTTGCAACACTTGGGAATTTTTATTGTGGAAATGTTTCACCAAGAAGTAGCTTCCTCAGTCCGGTACAGAGAAGAATGATGGTTGATGAGGAGTATGAGGAAATCAATCCCTCAGTCTGGAGTCGATGTATTCAATCCTTCAATCTTGAGAAAAGTGTCTTAATTCTTCAATTTGTCAGTTTTCTAAACTGTTTACATCACATCACAGTTGTGTTGTGTATTTGAGAGAGTTAGAAGTCTTTGCAGCATTTAATACAAAGAAGAGAGGGAGATGGGGAAAGAATGAAGGAAGATTAAGAGAAAGGTAGAGAGGTATTTTTGTGAAGATTTTCTTTCATAAACTTCATTATAGTATTGTGAGGGGGAACTGAGATGAGGTCATAGGCTTCCTACTGCTACAATCATTATACTAATCATAATATTTTTTTTTATTTCAGCATAATGTAATACAGTGGACCCCCGGTTAACGATATTTTTTCACTCCAGAAGTATGCTCAGGTGCCAGTACTGACCGAATTTGTTCCCATAAGGAATATTGTGAAGTAGATTAGTCCATTTCAGACCCCCAAACATACATGTACAAACGCACTTACATAAATACACTTACATAATTGGTCGCATTCGGAGGTGATTGTTATGCGGGGGTCCACTGTATTTGTACGGAGATGGGTGACATTTAGGTGTGCATGCAGAAAGCCCATCGTTATGCAGAGCATTTCACACTGCTTCTAATTAATTTAAACTTAAAAGTAGATGGTTTTAACTTTAAGAATTTTAAGCCTACCAAATGTATATACCTGAGCACCTTCATTTTTTTTTTTCATTATTAGGTATCTGGAATGCGTGCCACAACAGCAACTTCTGGTTTTGGGAGAACAGCATGTTCTGGCTGTTCTCACGGATGGCCTGGCACAACATTGGTTATGTAGACTGGGAAGAACATCTGCCTTTGGTCTTCACTAAGGTACAAAGTTGTCAGTCAGTCAATAAATGTACCCCCTAGATATATTACAATGCAGATTTTTTCCTCTCTTACAGTTAGTCTTATAGTATTTTATTTTTTAACACACTGGCCATCTCCCACCTAAAAGGAAACACTTTAACCATCATTCACACTATCGCTGTCTTGCCAGAGGCACATAGATACGACAGTTTAGATGTGTCTCCAAACATCAAATATCCTAGAATGTTTTGATATGAAATTTTAAAAAATCCAAAACCATCTCTTGAATTCTAGTAAAATTTTATATTAGCAAATTATAAATCATTGTATTAAATAAGAAATTAAAACAAAATCAATTAGTACATCGTTAAAATTAATGTAAATTTGGATATGTTCGAAAATTTGGGTTCAAATTTTCTTTGATTTTTTTTAACATACTGGCCATCTCCCATTTTTTATTTAAATATCATTTAAGCAAATTTTTCTATACTTTTAAATGTTTCATATATTTATTTAAAAATCATATTAAAGTCAACAAAAATACAGTGGTCCCTCGTTTTTCATAATTAATCCGTTCCTGGAGGAGCTACTATAAACAAAATTTACGATTTGCGAATCAATTTTCCCCATAAGAAATAATGTAAATACAATTAATCCGTTCCTGACACCCAGAAGTATTAAAACAAAAAAAATTTTTTACATGAAATATACATGTAGTACATAAACAATACAATGGGAAATGATGAATGAAACATTAACAGCATAACACTTACCTTTATTGGAGATTCTTCTTAGTGTATGGGAGACTGGACGAGGAGAGAGAGTGGGTTGTTTATAGTTTGGAAGTGGAATCCCCTTCCAGCAACACCTCAGGTGCCAATTGCTTTTCTGGGGTTGCTTCTCTTCTCTGTTTCTTAATGCCACTAGGACCACCTTGAGAGTCACTGCAGTCCTGTCTCGCAAAATAACTGTAGAGAGAGCTCTGTTTCTGGCGTCTCTTTAACACTTCCCTAAAATGGCCCAAGACTTTGTCACTGTACATGTTGCCAACATGGCTTGCAACAACCTTGTTAGGGTGATGTTTCTCCATAAAGCTTTCCATCTTACCCCACATAGTAAAAATCTCTTTAATTTCTGAAGAAGGCACCTTCTTCCATCTCTCTTCCGCCTCCTCTACAGCAAGATTCTGAGCTGCGATGTGTTGCTCTTCCTGCTGAAGCTATTGCAGCTCCTCAGTGGTGAGCTCTTCGTTGTGGTCTTCCACCAATTCTTCCACATCCTCCAAACTCACATCCAACCCCATGGAACTCCCCAGTGCCACAATTGATTTTACCTCAGACATAGGCTCATCAGGGTCAGCCCCAAACCCTTCATAATCCCTCTTGTTGACACAATCTGGCCACAGTTTTCTCCAGGCAGAGTTCAAAGTCCTGGTAGTCACTCCCTCCCAAGCCATACCTATAAGGGTTATGCAATGGAGGATGCTGAAGTGTTCTCTCCAAAATTCTCTTAAGGTCAAGTGAGTGTCTGTGGTCACAGTCAAGCACCTGTGAAACATTGCTTTTGTGAAGAATTTTTTAAAGTTTGAAATGACCTGCTGGTCCATGGGCTGGAGGAGAGGAGTGGTATTCGGGGGCAAGAACTTTACTGTGATGAACCCAAACTCTTCAAAAATTAGGTCATCCAAGTTTGGAGGATGAGCAGGTGCATTGTTCATTACTAGCAGGCACTTGAGATCCAATTTCTTTTCCAGGAGGTAATTCTTCACACTAGGGCCAAACACTTCATTGAACCACTCGACGAAAATTTCCCTCATGACCCATGCCTTACTATTAGATTTCCAAAACACACACAATTTACTCTTCATAACATTGTTTTTCCTGAACATTCTGGGATTTTCAGAATGGTACACTAGTAATGGCTTCACTTTGAAATCCCCACTAGCATTAGCACAGAACATTAGCGTCGGCCTGTCTTTCATAGGCTTGTGTCCTGGCATTGCCTTTTCCTCTTGTGTAATGAAGGTCCTCTTTGGCATTTTCTTCCAAAAGAGGCCTGTTTCGTCACAAATGAGCACTTGTTCAGGTTTCAGTCCTTCAGCCTCTATGTACTCCTAGAATTCATGCACATATTTTTCAGCCGCCTTGTGGTCCGAACTGGCAGCCTCACCATGCCTTACCACACTGTGTATGCCAGTACGGTTCTTAAATCTCTCAAACCAGCCTTTGCTGGCCTTAAATTCACTCACATCACCACTAGTTGCAGGCAATTTCTTTACCAAATCGTCATGCAACTGCCTAGCCTTTTCACAAATAATCAGTCATAAGAGTATCTCCTGCTAATTGTTTTTCATTTATCCACACCAATAATAACTTCTCAACCTCTTTGAGTACTGGTGATCTCATTTTTGTCAGCATAGTTACCCCCTTTGCAACAACAGCGACCTTGATTTCCTTTTTCTTGGCCACTATGGAACATAAGGTTGTGTAGGGTTTCTTATACATCCTGGCCAGTTCGGCCACACTTGTACCACTTTCATATTGTTCAATGATGGTTTTCTTAAATTCATTCGTATTTCTCACCTTCTTTACCACAGGCTTGGCACTAGGAGCTTTCTTTGGAGCCACGGTAGCTTATTTAGTACTCACAAGCACTAAAATAAATGGAATATTATGAAATATTTTGCTGGAGCACGTGAAGGGACCTTCGCTCACTGGTAAACAATGCCAGACAGGCTGCTGCCATGGCTTACGCCATGGGTACGCGTCCCGGACGAACTACGACTTGCGAGTCAACCTATGAAAAGCGAGTCCATGTTTATACGAAAATACCCCTATGATTGACGAAATTTACGATTGCCGAGAACTACGAAAAGCGAGGGATCACTGTATATTGAATATTTCGTGTGATTTATTAAAAGTCCTTAAAACATTAAAAAAGTCAAAAAAAAATGTGCTAAAATGTTATTTTATTGCATATTTTGATAAATATTTATTCATTTACCACATCGCAGGTACTGCGTTCGTTCAGGCTGCCAGTTTCGTACAAAAAAGCTCATGTTGGGAAAGGAGATGGTCTTTCCCAGTTTGCCTCGGCTATGTTTATCATTGCAAATTTGGTAAGTGAAGTCGGTGTTCTTAGTATAATATAATGCAAAGTATTCTTTTCACTTTAGCTCCATTGCCTTACACAGGATTGCAACTTTCAAAATTTAGTATTGTCTGTGTGATAAAAACTATGATGGTGTATTTTTAATAGAAGTATAGACAATGTGATGGAAGACATGGTGAAATTTCAAATGAGAAAACCTTATACATTGTCTTTCACAAATCAGAAAACATTGTCTTTCACAAATGAGAAAACATTGCCTTTCACAAATCAGAAAACATTGTCTTTCACAAATCAGAAAAGATTGCCTTTCACTGCATTTACCCTCACTTGTTCATAACAAATCACTCAATCATAATTTCTTAGCCATTTTGTTATTAGAAGTCTTGGCTTTTCATATAGTTTTACTCAATGTATTTTCATAGAAGGAAGTTACAATCTTGTTACTTTAAACTGAATTATAATGACTCTTAATGGATATCAGTCACACTAACTTAATTGTATTGTTCTATATAACAAAAGGCACAATACCCTCACTGGAACAATACACAGATAACCTGCACATAGGAGAGGGGAGCTTACGACGTTTCAATCCGATTTGGACCATTTACAAAGTCGTCGTAAGCTCCCGTCTCCTATGTGTGGGTTATTTGTGTACAGCCTCTCCTCATTTAGCGACGTACTTGTTTACCGATGACTTGAACTTATGACGGGCTCTCTGACCATTATGCATGCCTAAATAATGTATATTAGAGCTGACTTCCTCTATTCTGTTTATTACAATACATGTATACAGTACACTATAGTATAAACATTTAAAAATATACTAAAAATGTTATAAATGGTGAAAAGATGACATTAAACTTTACAATATCAAAGATGGTTGACACACACCCACTACCATTATAGTATGCTCCTTGTTTAGCGATGAATTCATTGACCGATGCGGTCTTGGGAACGGAACTCCATCGTTAAGTGAGGAGAGGCTGTATTGAGTTGTCCTCCATTAACTCTTGTACCATTAAGAACAAAAAGGCACAATACAGTAAGTCTTTAACCTACGCACTGGGGACTTCCTGAATTGTGTATAATATTCATAATACAGGAATTCTTCAATTTATGAACACATTAGGGACCATCTGTATTGTGCATAATAATGATATAATAATGATATTATGCACAATAATGATATAATACACAATACAGAAAATTCTCAAAATATTTGTAAGTTGAGGACTTACTGTACACAAATGACTGAAAGATTGTCATTAGCTTCTCTCTCCTACGTGCTGGTTATTTGTGTCTTGTACTGTTATTGTGTAATGTCCTTAAAATGTCTTTGGGCCCTCAGGACTATTGTAGATTTTTTTCAATGCACCAGTCGTATCCCATCTAGGCAGGGTGACCTAAACACAAAAATGAAAGTTTTTGTGTTTAGGCCGTATCCCACCAAGGCAGGGTGGCCCAAAAGAAAAACGAAAGTTTCTCTTTTAAATTTAGTAATTTATACGGGAAAAGGGGTTAGTTTTTCTTTTTACCTTTAGTAATTTATGCAGGAGACGGAATTATATTGTAGATTTTTATACATTTATATTCTCTATTTTTGTTGTTACTCCAATACCTCTCCTTTTCTTTTATATTCATATTTTGGATTGATAACAAGTCAGACTTTTCAAAAATGTTTATTTATAGGAAAATATATGTAAAGTTATTTTTTTATGTATGTAATTTGGTATTTGTAATAAAAATGTTGAGTATTGCCTGGTGCCTTATTTTCTTTATTTTTTTGTGAATGTTAGGGAGGAGGAAGCAAGACTCAGGAGCACCTGGATAGATTGTTCAAGTCTCTGGAGTCGTATTATCATCCATCAAACTCTGGACCTTGGAGCCGCCATCTTCATGAATTCCTCAATAAACTTACACTCCTCTTCATAAGACGGTTACACAGGTTAGACTAATTCTACAGCCTGAAAATTGAAGAAGATGAAGGTGTGACTTTTTTTTTTTTTTTTTTAACACTGGTTGTCTCCCACTGAGACAGTGTAACCCGAAAAAGAAGAAGTACAGTATAAAGTTTTTCTTTAAAGAACAAAAAGGCACAATACCATGACTGGAACAATACACAGATAACCTGCACATAGAAGAGAAAAACTTACAATGACATTTTGGTCCAACTTGGATCATTTACAAAGTCACACTGTGACTTTGTAAACAGTCCTAGTCGGACCGAAATGTCATCGTAAGCTTCTGTCTCTTGTGTGCAGGTTGTTTGTGTATTTTCTTCATTTATGCATTTAGCAATTTATATAGGAGAAGTGGTTACTAGTCACTTGCTCCCAGCATTTTAGTCGCCTCTTATGATAATGCATGACTTAGAATTCTCCTCCACTTCCCCATGGAGAAGGGTGTGAAGTACAAGTTTCTTTAGCTTAATGATATTTGCTCCTCTATGTAAGGTCATAATGCTGTGTCATTGCTTTGTCATAATTCTGTGAGCATAAGAACATTTAAGGTGCCAGTGAAGGCTCTTGATCCAAGAATTAGTGCCATCGTTCCCTTGGATTGAAGCTAATTATCCCCATTACCCATATGCTGTATAAGCCTTGTGGGTTTAGCACTTTTCTCATCACCATGAAAGAGCAAGGTGATGAGAGTAACAAAAAATTTGACCATGAAAAAAAATTGGATATCAGATTGGAGGAAGGAAGTACGGAGGATATGAATGTGTTTAGATGTTTGGAAGTAGACTTGTCGTCAGACTGGTCTGTGAAAGATGAGGTGAACCATAGAATTGACAAAGGTAAAAAAAAAAAAAAGGTGGTGCATCGAGGCATGTGTGGAGACAAGGAATGTTATCCATGGTGGCAAAAAGGGGAATGTATGAGAGATTAGTGGTACCAACACTTATATGGGTGTGAAGCTTAGTTTTTGAATGTTGCTCCAAGGAGGAGGCTGGAGGCAGCGGAGATGTTGTGTCTGAGGGTAATGTGTGGTGTGAATGTTATACATAGGAATTTATAGTTTAGAGAGTAGGAGGAGGTGCGGAGTTACTAAAAGTATTATCCTAAGGGCTGACAAGGGATTATTGTGAGGTGGTTTGGATATCTAAAGAGGATGGAGCAAAATAGGATGACTTAGAAGATGTATAAATTTAGTGGAAGGAAGAAGGGGTGGGGGGGGGTCATAGGGACGGGGTAAAGGAGGTTTTTATATGTGAGGGGCTTGGACATCCAACAGGTGTGTGTGTGTGTGTGTGTGTGTGTGTGTGTGTGTGTGTGTGTGTGTGTGTGTTTGTGTTTGTTTTAGGAATGAGTGGAGGCAAGTAATTTTAACATCTTGACTTGCTCTTAGAGTGTAGTATTATTGTCAAATCATTTCACTTGCTCTGCAAGCTTCTTCAGCTGAATACAAAGGTGACTAAACACTGGGGACAACAGAGGGATTGATCACTTTATCTTTACCTTTCCACCTGTGAAGGCTTACTCAGCCCTGTAACAACTTAAGACAGTATTACCAAGGCTGGCTCCTCCTCAGGAAAGTTAATGAATAGAAAAAGAAATAATAATTCACGAAGATAAACACTTTATTATTTATTAATGCAAAGATAAAACATTGAAATATGAAGGTGTATCCTACTTGAAAGAAAAATGAAAAATGAAATGGAAAAATGACATTTGAATTCAACGTGTACAAGTAAACTGGGGTGTCTGGTTGATGTTGACACCGTCTTGTAGAAATTGTAGCCGTTGATGATGATGTGGGGGGGGGGTCACAGGTGTTGAGTGACAACCCAATGACTAGTTCTTCACAGAGTCTATAGCCTTGAATAGTCTGTCCAGATGATAGGAACGCAGGTTCTTTACCACTGCAAAGATGAGGGGTAGTGTCCTGTACAATTAATCAGGTAGGTAGATCATGACCGTTTTCAGTCCGTCTCCTTCAACACTTCTCATTGGTTGGCAGGTGACCCGATCTGTCATTCCAAGCTGGAAAGAGAGACAGGTTACCCACTGCTTAAGAAATCACTCTCCATGATAAGTGTAAGATACTTAAAAAAGGTGGTGATTATCTAAAAGTCTCATGTGGAGCTTAAAACTGAAAGAACTAAGTTTATTATTGGTCAAAAGTGAAGCTTTCAACCAATATCCACTAGAATAGGAGCAGAGGCTTTTACTTACAGTTGTGCTGGGAGCTGTGAGTCGAGTGATTGCTGTTTGGCTGGAGCCCCACACATCACCTTTCGGGGTGGGGAGAAAGGGGGGGGGGAGGGGATAGCAGGAGCTAGACTGACCCTACCTTAACAAGCAGCCGGCAATCAAACTATCGTTACCATATACTCGCTTGCTACTCCTATCTGTTGAACTTTTCCCTCACACCACCACTACTGCTGAGTGTATGGCCATCCAGTTAAACAGGGCAGAGAGGAGAGAGGGTACCAAGATGAAATGAGGTGAAAAATTCTAAACTTCTTTTCAGAAAATGCATAATTCATAAGTTTTTTTTTTAGCAATTCTTATTCTTGAAAATTGGGTATATGTAATTTAGACACTACTATGGCCTTCACACTGGTATGCATTATTTGAAATGAGAAATGCACTAATGTTCTTCTAATTAAGATTTCTATGTTTAATACTGTCACATGTATTTTTTCTTTCAGAGAACGGTATAAGAAACCATCTTGGGAAGTGGAAGTTACTCCCGACAAGAAGTTAACAGAAGAAGAAATTACCACATTTGTTCGGTGTGTTCAGACTCCCACAATGCTCACAATGTTTTCCCACACGGGCACACACGATGCTGGGATTGTGTTTCACAGACTCTCGCTTCTGCGGCCAGAAATTGTCATTCCACCCTTACTTGAGCAGTTAGTACCAGTTGAGAATTTCTTAACTCTTCAGTCTTAAGTGGAATGTGACTTCTTGGTATTAAATTGACTGAATCTTAACTAAATGTTGTCTTTGTATTTTTTTAAGCTCATCCATCTGTTTGTCTATACCTGCTGCTTTTGCCTCTACCCTTCCTCTCCTCTCCTCTCTCACTATCTCTCTCACCTCTACTGCCAGTTTTCCCTCAAGCTTCCTATTTTTCTCATTTTCCTTTTTTCTGAAGCTTCAGCTCTTTACCACCACTTTTCTAAAGCTTCAGCTCTTCACCACTGCATTTCTCTTCAGAAGTTTCAGCTTTACACTTCGTTCTTTTTTAAAGCTTCAGCTCTTCACTTTCCTCTTTCTTGCCCCCTTTTACTCTTGGTTTCTCTCCTTCCTCTTAACCTCTTTCACCCCTGCCCCATCTTGCTTGTGCCCTCCCCTCTCTCTGCTCCCTCTCCAATATCTTCATTAATATCATTGCCTTTTCAATTTATTAGGCTGTACTCCTCACTGGAGACGACAACAGAGCCACATCGTCTGACTGCATCTTTAGAGTGCGTAGTGTGTGTGGCCCGGGCCTTAGTCAGAGGTGGCAAGCACTACCCAGAAGGCCAGAGACATGCTATTCCCCTGCTCCTCCAAACGTTACCAGGCATTGATCCCAATGATATAAAAAAATGCATGGTAAGATAACTCATGGATTTCATTTATTTGTTGGATATGAAACTTTGCAGCTACAGGTGCTCCTCGACTACGATGGAGTTATGCTCCAATGAACCCATCATAAGTTGAAAATATCGGAAGTCGAATATGAACATATGATAAATATGTATCTGCTGTCACTGAATAAGTAAATAAACAAATAATTACTGTAACTAACTGAATACCTGTATTGAAAAATAAATAAATGAATGCAAGTTTATCCTATCAATAAATGCTGTACAGTACAAAAAAAAAGTTTTACAGTACATTGACTTGATTACCCAAGTATGATACAGGTACTGTACTGAACCTGCCCAAGTATGATACAGGTACTGTACTGAACCTGCCCAAGTATGATACAGGTACTGTACTGAACCTGCCCAAGTATGATACAGGTACTGTACTGAACCTGCCCAAGTATGATACAGGTACTGTACTGAACCTGCCCAAGTATGATACAGGTTACTGTACTGAACCTGCCCAAGTATGATACAGGTACTGTACTGAACCTGCCCAAGTATGATACAGGTACTGTACTGAACCTGCCCAAGTATGATACAGGTACTGTACTGAACCTGCCCAAGTATGATACAGGTACTGTACTGAACCTGCATTGCTGTTGCACCATCTTAAAATCAAGATATCGTAAGTCGAACTTGAGTAAAGCGAGGAGCATCTGTTGTTGGTTTTCACATACGAGACGTAATTAAAAGTCACCCCCTCAAGGAAGCTTCTTTCATGATGTTGAGAGGCTCTTGATGTAAGAAATTGGACCTGTTTTCTCCTTTCTTGGATTGAACTTTGTTACCTGATGGCAGTTAGGGGCTCTTTGTGAAAGGAATTGGAGCTGTCCTCCCCACCTTGGGTCAAATCTGACTGTCTCTCACTCCGGAGGTGCTGCATGACCCCTATGGGTTCAGCGCTCATCTATAAATATAATATCATTGTCATGGATATAGATGCACTCAAGTAATTAATGACTTGAAAAAATCCATTTTACGTATAATTTTCACACCTTAGGCCTGTGCTGTCATTAATATTGCATGAGGTATTGCATACTTCTGATAGATTATTATTTTTTTTTTATTAACACATCGACCATTTTCCACCAAGGCAGGGTGACCCGAAAAAGAAAAACTTTCATCATCATTCACTCTGTCACTGTCTTGCCAGAGGCACTTCTGATAGATGAAAAGTGAAAATTATTTTCTGCACTGCTGACAGTATTATTTTTCCTTCCAGGTAACATTTCAGTTCATCTACACATTGGTGACTCTTGTACCTTTTGTTGATTGTTCAGCAGCTGTTGAAGAGTATACTGATTTGACAGAAGTATGTGCCTGTGATTTTTATAATGTGTTAAAAGTTTTGCAGCAGCAAAGTTAATGTATCACTTGGCATTATAAAATAAGGTTCAAAAATTGAAACAAAATATTTAGCTGTATAAAAGTTTGCCATGCACATATGAAGATATTTTATGGTAAGACTACAAATACAGCCTCTCCTCACTTAGCGACGTACTCGTTTACCAACACCTCGGACTAATGACAGACTCTGACCAGTATTTATACCTAAATGTATATTAGAGCTGATTTCCTCTATTCTATTTATTTCAATATATGTACAGTACATTACTGTATAAACGTTTAAAAATATACCAGAAATGTTATAAATGGTGCAGAGGTGACATTAAAACAACATCAAAGATGGTTGACACAAACTCACTACCATTATAGTATATTTCTCACTTAGCGATGAATTTGTTTAATGATATGGTCTTAGGAGTGGAATTCCGTCGTTAAGTGAGGAGAGGCTATGCAAAATGTATGATGTACTAAGAAATACAAAAAAAAAAGTTTTGATATTGTACACCATTTCTAATATAAATAGTATAGCAATTTGTCTTTCCTCCAGATTGAGCAAGAAGTGTGTTTACAAACAACAGGATTTGAAGATTTTGTACTTCAGTTTATGGACCGTTGTTTCGCCCTCATTGAGAACTCCACCCTCGAGCAAATAACACAGTTAGACAGAGAGACGGAAAAAATGAACAGAGAAGAAAACATGTTAGAAATGGGACTCTCATCAACATTCTCAGCCATTCTTACTCAGGCACATCCACAAATATACCAGGTAAGCACTTTACAAACATCAGTTGATGCCTTAACCGCTTCAGTTTACTATGTTAACCACAAACGAGAAAAAGATGATTTGTTAAGCAATTCACTTTACTTCTTTCCTACATTAATCACAAATTTCAGTTGACACTATAGATTGTTTGTATTTGGTAGGAATTCACCCAACTCTTCAATGTGTAGATAAAGAGCAAGTTGTGTAGGCAGTGTTTTCAGAATATAATTTGTCCTGGCAGTTTTCTTCCTCTTGACAAGGAGGAATAATTTTCACCTGTGATCACATATGCATTCTGTATTAAGATAGCTAACTAAAATATTATCTTCAGGACAATATATTAAGGCAGTTATGATAATCAAAACATATATATTAAGATACTTAACTAAAACATTAACCTCAGGATATATATGTTAGAGGGCTAACTAAAACATTTTCCACAGGCTGCTCTCCAGCGTTTACAAACATTCATTAAAGGAAAGATGATAGAAATTCATGTAGCAGGCAAATTTGCTGCAAACATGTGCCGTTCAGCAGTTAAAGTAAGTGGTGAGGTGCACTCTCAATTTTTACATTGTACTTTCTTGATTTTAAATACTAAGTTATTCCAGACCTAGTACATGGTACTTAGTGTGGAGATATCTATACAGTGGTCCCTTGAATTATGATATTAATCTGTCCTAGAAGATGTTTTGTACCTCAAAACTACTGTAACTCAAACCCCAAAATACAAGGTTTTATGATACTTCATTATAAGACCCCGGATGTGCAATTTTTAATGTATGTACCTCTGCAAAAACAGTGATAATGTGCGAGTGTGGTGAAAGTGTTGAATGATGATGAAAGTATTTTCTTTTTGGGGATTTTCTTTCTTTTTTGGGTCACCCTGCCTCGGTGGGAGACGGCCGACTTGTTGAAAAAAAAAAAAAAAAAAAAACCTTGGACTTGCATATTCACAGATATTTAACTTGCAGGCACTGTATCTCTCTTCATCTTCTCTCTCATAGACAGTAACAGCAGTCTTTCCATCTCTTGTGATATTTTCTCTGCCTTTATTTTCACTAGCTAGATTCATCAGTCGCTTTAAAATTCTTTATAATGAGTTTTTGCTTGATAATGGTAGAGATAGTTGATTACAGAAAGCCATACTCACACACCAGTGCACTAACTCTTACTCCTGCATCATGTTTTTCACAAATTCGTGTTTGATATTCAGAGAAACTGCCTGTTTACTGTGCACTTCAGGAGCCATGCCATGATGACTTGGTAACACAGTAGATGGTGTAATTGAATCACAAATGCTTATTGTATCTCAAATTTTTCATTGTCTAAGCTCAATACCTTTTTTTTTTTTTTTTTTTTTTTTTAAACAAGTCGGCCGACTCCCACCGAGGCAGGGTGACCCAAAAAAAGAAAGAAAATCCCCAAAAAGAAAATACTTTCATCATCATTCAACACTTTCACCTCACTCACACATAATCACTGCTTTTGCAGAGGTGCTCAGAACACAACAGTTTAGAAGCATATACCTATAAAGATACACAACATATCCCTCCAAACTGCTAATATCCCGAACCCCTCCTTTAGAGTGTAGGCATTGTACTTCCCATTTCCAGGACTCAAGTCCAGCTACATAAAAATAACCAGTTTCCCTGAATCCCTTCACTAAATATTACCCTGCTCACACTCCAACAGATCGTCAGGTCCCAAATACCATTCGTCTCCATTCACTCCTATCTAACATGCTCACGCACGCTTGCTGGAAGTCCAAGCCCCTCGCCCACAAAACCTTCTTTACCCCCTCCCTCCAACCTTTTCGAGGACGACCCCTACCCCTCCTTTCTTCCCCTACAGATTTATACGCTCTCCATGTCATTCTACTTTGATCCATTCTCTCTAAATAACCAAACCACCTCAACAACCCCTCTTCAGCCCTCTGACTAATACTTTTATTAACTCCACACCTTCTAATTTCCACACAAATTATTGTAACTCTAGCCCATCATAACTCAAGGTACCATTATATATATATACATCACTATGTTAGAAGAATTCTAGCTAATTGGCTATATATTCTGTATATAAGTACATTAAATAAAATTGTAAAATGCTTCTTTTTTTTTTTGGCATCTCCAGCAATTTTTATTTGGCATTTCTTACTGTGTGGCTTCCAGGTGAACCCTTCCGAGGCACTAAAAGCATTTGTGCCTGGAGTGTGTCGCTTATTATTGGCACTGACTGATAATGATGAAGTACAAAACGAGGAACATTTGGATGATGAGCTTCTGTTCAATCTTCTCTTACTCTCTGAGGTAGGATGATGCCTTGTTAGGTATTGCCAGCAAATATACTTTTTAATATAGCTTGGTTTTTCATTTGATTTATTTTTGGAATATAGTAAAATGTGTCATAACTATGTTTTTCAGTCAAAATTCTGTTATTTCTTTACCACAATTTTGAGTGATTTTAATTCAAATTTGATAATTGGGTGGAAATTAAAGGGTCATATGACTGAGTGGTAATTGGTATGAGGTATTGAGGGTTGAATAAGGTATGAGGGTCTGTCTGGATATGGAGGTGGTAGGTGTTCAATAGGGTTTTGGGGTATGTGGGGGAAGAGGGGGATATTGACAGCTCCTTCTTATACCCAAGCCATCTTACCACAATTGTACTACCCTCTTGTGGATTACCTCGACTCCTGCCACTACATGGAAAAAATGTAAGGCTTATATTAAACCTGTATATTAAAGTGAGGAATACTGTGGATTGTACTTTAAAAAAATCAATTCTCAGATATGGTTGGTTGGTTATCTGCCAAGCTGCTCACCCTCTCCTCCCTCCTCTCTCCCACTTTCTTCTCTCCCTTCTCCTCATATTCCTCTCTCCCTGCTCCCTCCCACATTCCTCTCTCCCTCCTCCTTCCTACATTCCTCTCCTCCCTCTCACTTTCTTCTCTCCCTTCTCCTCATATTCCTCTCTCCCTGCTCCCTCCCCACATTCCTCTCTCCCTCCTCCTCCTCTCATTCCTCTCTCCCTCCCACATTCCTCTCTCCCTCCCACATTCCTCTCTCCCTCCCACATTCCTCTCTCCCTCCCACACTCCTCTCTCCCTCCTCCCTCACACATTCCTCCCTCCTCCCTCCCACATTCCTCTCTCCCTCCTCCCTCCCACATTCCTCTCTCCCTCCCACATTCCTCTCTCTCTTTTGTCACCTATATTAAACCTTTATAACACTTACAAAATATGTAGACAAAATGAACGAAGGTAACTAATGCAGTGTTGATAGGTGTGAAATTAATGAATTTAATTAAATCAAAACAGACAAATGGAGTGTATTGACAAGCATGTTGTAAGGTATTTACAGTACAGAATACATTCATAGGAAAGTGTTAATTAAAGTCATAGGGGGTCATTCAGATTTGAGATGGTGATTGTGAGGTCTTTGGTAACACAAATTAAAGACAGTATAAGAGAGATCTTCAGAATATTTGTTATTTGCCTTTAGTTAAGCCACATGCAGATTTTTTCTAGCATTGTAGGTGAAAATGGACAACATTAATTTTTCACTGTGGTTTCAGCTTGTGCGCTGCAGTGGTACACACCTAATAAGATATGTGCCACAAATAACGCAGGTGTTAACCCGGACGCTGCATCTCAAGAGCCGAGAAGGATACCACCTTGCTGGCTCAGTCCTGCGATATCTTTTGAAATATCTTGGTATTACTATGCCTGAAGAGTACCGTTCAATGCCACAACAATGGGATGTACCAATTGCTGACTCTCTTCCAATTAGGGTAAAGGCTAGAACTACTACTTTGTTGCTGATTGTGTTTTTGCATAAACATTAATTTTTTTTTTTTTTTTACGATTATCAAATTCTGCATCACATTTTTTTTTTTTCCCTCAAGCCCTTTTTCTATTCCTCCCTCCAACTTTTACTTTGATGTCGCCTTCCTAACCTTCCATCCACTCCAGATTTATTTATGTACCCTCTTGGTCAAGTTATCTTACACCATTCTCTTAAATTGATCAAACACACACTGCAGCTTTCCTTCCACTCCTTAAATTATGCCTGTCATACTATGGCTCCATCTTCTAATATCTTCAGTTCTGATTCTTTGCATTATCTTTACACCAAACATTTATCTCCAGCACAACATCTCCACTGTCTTAACTGTAGTTCCTCTTCAGTGCACTATTAAAAACCATGCTTTGTCTATGCAGAAAAGTGTTGGCATTACTGCTACATTAATATATGCTTTTTTTTTTTTTTTACTACAGTGACTAATTTCTTGTTATCCACAAGCTCCTCACCTCCCTGGGTGAGATGTTATCAACTGGTGAAAGTAGAATTGTTGTATTCTAATGAAGTGTATTTCTTGCAGCTCGTGGAACTCTACGTAGAAAATAAGTTTTCCTGCTTCAAAACAAAATACTCTGGGTGTAATTTGTTGTCAGTTATCACCCCAGTTGTTTTTATTTATTAAATGATCTTAAAATTCTGTCACAAATTGTGGTATAGTATATTATTCATAGTCTTTTTTTTTTTTCATAATTTTCCATCATGTTACATTATTAAAATTTTCATTCATTTTTTACACCACTTACTCAGCTCCTAAACTGTGTGTTTGTGATTGTATGGACTATGTAATTAATGTTGCTTTTTGTAATTATTTGAATTCATGGGGATTGAGCTCCAGCTCTTGGCTGCACTTCTTAATTTTGATCAATAGGCTATGTTTGAACCCAGTTGGATCAAATGTGTTTGTGTTTATGTAACAGCACTGGGGAGAGGCTGGTGATACACACAATCTTGGTCTGAAGTGGGTGGAGCCTGGTGATGCTGAGGAAGCTGCAATGACAACACTTGTTCGTACCTTCCTCACTCCAGAATTAACTCTCTTGCATCAAGTAGCTAAAGGAGAGAAAGAGGTATCAAGGTTAGTTGATGATATCCAGTAATTTGTAGCAAGTTATTCTTGTATTTCTTTTTGTTGCTTGAAATCATTGTTTATTATTAAATATAAGAGAGTTACACTCTTTGCTCCGTAAGCCGTTTGTGTTGTAAGAGGTGACTAAAATGCTGGGAGCAAGGGGCTAATAACCCTGTATAAATTACAGGGTCACCCTGCCTTGGTGGGAGTTGGCTGATATGTTAAAAAAAAAAAGATAGCTTAGTAAATTGTTTCTTTTAATAATATCTTTCATCCTTGCCTTATTTCTCAGCCATTAATAAGTACTGTATTGAAACATTATTCCTCTTCATGACCTTGCAGCTCATATTCATTCTTACTATTCTCTGCAATTCATCATTCTACACACTTCTTTATTGCTTACTTTCTCCTTATGTCACTTGCATATTTTAATTCCCCTAGTAACTTATTTCAAGAGCCTAAACTCTAGATCTGTCTCATTCCATGTTGCTCTCTCATCATACATTTGTGAGTTAAGAGAAACCCTTAACATTTAGCTTCTTTATTAGCCTTTGGGTATGTTTTTCTGTTTGTTAATGTTTGTTAGTGTGTTGAACTTCACAGTTGCAGTTTTTTTTGGGTTGAAGCAATGATTGTGACTTGAGTACCAGAGGCGGGGAAGTACAGTGCCTGCACTCTGAAGGAGGGGTGAGGATATTTGCAGTTTTGAACTGTGGTATTGGCACCCCTCTGGCAAGATCGATGGAGTGAATGATGGTGAAAGTGTTTCTTCTTTTATGGGTCACTCTGCCTTGGTAGAAGACTGCTGGTTTGTTGAAAGAAAAAATATTTTTTGACCTTGCATACAACTTCCATTTGTAGTTTATTTCACTCATTAACTAAATTTGGAAAGAAATACTAACTTCTTTCTTGTTTATATCTCACTTGTTACAGTTAACTGTTATATTTTTGTCTGCTCTCTTGTATGTATAAACTTTTAAAGATATTTATTGAGAAACTGGCTGATTAATAATGTTTGTTATTGCAAATATGTTTTGCCCAACAGAGAGGTGTTGCAGCAAAGTCTTGCTATTACTTTGGATATAATATTGGGAGCTGGTGTTGCTCTTCCTCACTGGGATGAAGAACCCATCACACTGTAAGTACTTGCTACATAATTAACTAATAAGGACAGTAAACTTTAATAGTAATCTTGTTTCAGAATTGTGTACACATGTTGAATTAATGAACAGTGGTTTATATTAGGAGAAGAAGAAATATTCAGCATTATTGTATCTTTCTCTCTCTTGTAAGATGATATGTGACACTAAATAAGGAATAATTAAGTTAAAAGAAAATATATAAAGAGGCACTATACCTTGACTGGCACAGTACACAAATAACCCACACATAGGAGAATGAAACTTATGACGATGTTTCAGTCTGATTTGGACTATTAACTAGTCACACAGTTAATGGTCCAAGTTGGACCGAAACATCGTCATAAGTTTCTTTCTCCTGTGTGCAGGTTATTTGTGTAGTTAAGAGAGTTAAGAGCATGCACTGCTTATTCTGTTATTATCCCACAAATTGGGAGATGTAAATAGTATTCCTTGCCCTGCCATAGTATAACAATCTGAGCACATTGTTGTTTGAAGTCAATGCTCCTTGCAGTATACTATACAGTGACTGTCTCCCAGACACACTTAAACATTTGTCACTGTTATTAAAAATCAAAAAGGTTTCTTAAGTAAATTTAGCTGCTGCATAATTGTTATTATGACAGACTACAAAGGTCTACACCATACATGTACATATTTTTGTCGGTTATTGTATCTCCAGCAAAATAGATTGCTTTGAGGAATGACCTAGTTTGTATGAACAGCACTGTATGTGTGAAGGAACAACAGTGTATGTGTGAAGGAACAGCACTGTATGTGTGAAGGAACAACACTGTATGTGTGAAGGAACAGCACTGTATGTGTGAAGGAACAACACTGTATGTGTGAAGGAACAACACTGTATGTGTGAAGGAACAACACTGTATGTGTGAAGGAACAGCACTGTATGTGTGAAGGAACAACAGTGTATGTGTGAAGGAACAACAGTGTATGTGTGAAGGAACAACACTGTATGTGTGAAGGAACAACAGTGTATGTGTGAAGGAACAACAGTGTATGTGTGAAAGACCAGCATAGTGTGTGAGTTAATATTACACCAGTGATACTTTTATCTCTCAATATCAAGTTCCACCTGCAGGAAGAGTGACTACACACCTGAATACAATCAGTGTGATATCTAAGATAGCATGCTGAACCTTGAAAATTGTCTGCAGCTTAAAGTTCTTAAATTTTGTGATCAAATCTGAATATTACCTCAAATTGCTTATACCCCTTAACATTTATCAAAAGTTTAAAAGAATTATGCTATGTCAGTTCTTAAAACCAAATGATTGCATAATGATAATTTGTAAACTGAGGATTAATCTTGAACTGAAGAGCTTTTATAGCTCGAAACTTTATGAATCACATTGGCATTAGTGTATTAAATTAGGTTCAAGTTGCTATGCTGTAAAAATTCTAATTCTTAACTATATTTTAGGATAGATATGGCTGTAAAGAAAGATACCTACGAGTTCATTGTTCGAAAACGAGAGTTGATTGTAACTCTCAACTCTGAGCGCTTCCCATCAAATGTGCGCAAAGCTGTGGCAGATGTTACTCTTGATTTAGTGGATAGATTACTTTCCCAAGGGTCTGATGATACTAAATCTCTCTGTCGGGCAATAAATGTGAGTACTGTGTTTTTATTTGTGCTGAGGGATTTGTATGTGAAATAAGTGAAATTAGCTTCTTAATAAACATGAAATGAGTAGGTAAAATAGTTTAACACCCTGGCTATCTCCCGGTGAGGCAGGGTGACCAAAAAAAAAAAAAGGAACTCGTTCATCATCATGTACACTATCACTGTTCTGCCAGAGGCATGCAGATACGACAGTTTAGATGTTCCTCTAAACAGCAGATATCTCAAACCCCTCCTTTAGAGTGCTGTCACTGTACTTCTAACCTCTAGGACTCAAGTCCGGTTAACCGGTTTCCCTGAATCCCTTCACAGAATATTACCCTGCTCATACTCCAACAGCTTGTCGAGTCCCAAAAACCATTTGTCTTCACTCCTCTCTAACGTGCTCACATATGCCTGCTGTATGTCCAAGCCCCTTGCATACATATCATCCTCATTTTAATTGGTTTTATGAAGGAAGGGCTTTTTTCTCTGTTGAGAAATAAGCCTTTCCAGTATATCAAGCAGCATGATGGCCCAGAACTTTACTCATTTTATGCCAGGCAGGTTCAACTCCTAGCATGGGTATAGAGGTTCTGAGATGATGAATGGGAATAGGATGTTCTAGTATGGTATTAGCTGATGGAATAAAGAATACCCAGTAAAAAAGCAATGTTAATCAATTACAAAATTCTTCAGCATGTTACTTTCAAGTTTACAAAGCATTAGAGAAAACCACTAGTTTCTTCAGGAGGAAAATTGAACCAAGGTTGTTTGTTTTATCCAGTATTAGTCAAATTTAGGGAGCTTGTTACCTTCAAGAGGAAGGTGCCTTGATGCTTGTATAGGGCTCTTGCTCCAAGGAATTACAACTACTCATCCTTGGCTCAAACCTGATTACCTATAATTCCCCAGGTGCTCTGTGACCCATGCTGATTCAACATTTCATCATTAATAATAATACTGATATTAATAATAATAATGTTAGAAAAAACTGCAAAAACAGTGATAATGTGTGAGTGTAGTGAAAGTGTTGAATGATGATGAAAGTATTTTCTTTTGGGGGATTTTCTTTCTTTTTTGGGTCACCCTGCCTCGGTGGGAGACGGCCGACTTGTTGAAAAAAAAAAAATAAGTTAGAAGCATGTTGACTTGAGGATTCCAAACTACAGTGACCAGTTGAATTATAACATAGTAGTAGTAGTAATAGAATAGTATATGTATTAACTATTGTAATAGAAATAATGCACACTAGTGGTAACAATTTATTAATGAATTTACAATGTATTGTGTTTTTACAAGCATGTTGATGGTGAGAATCAGATACCATATTCAGACTGGTTATTTGAACACTAAGGTTTTAATATAGAATTAGGTTTATCAAGTTTGGAACATCAGTATAAACCAAACATTTATACATATTTGGCAATGAATTTCATTGGAATTGAAAACTAATTAAACATTTGATTTCAGATATACCATGGGCTATTTTTCTTCCATGGTGTGTCTAAAGATGACTTTGATGCACGCTGGAAAAGCTTCCAGTTCATCAAAGATGCATTGGCCAACAAGTTAGCTCGAAATAAACAACATATACGATCCCTACTTGTGGAACGTGCTGTATTGCATCAAGAGAGTCGCATGTTGGAGAACAGTGTGAGGAACATCACAGCCACAAGTAAGGCTATCATGGGCAGCCTTCTGCAACTGTCTACAAGTCAGTACAGTGAGGTAAGTTACTTATAACTGTCCCTAGTGTAACTAGTATATGAAGTTATGCTGTAATATGATGAACATCAATAACTATGACAGGTAGGTAGTAGGTTGGTAGAGAACAACTGCCCAGGGAGATACAACCATCTTGCCAAGTGAGTGTAAAACGTAAGCCTGTAATTATTTTACATGATGGTAGGATTGCTGGTTGTAAAAGAAGTAAATGCTAGGGTGTTCGGGAGAGGGGTGGGATTAAATTATGGGGGATCAAATACAAAATGGGAATTGGCACTTTTTGCTGATGATACTGTGCTTATGGGAGATTCTAAAGAAAAATTGCAAAGGTTAGTGGACGAGTTTGGGAGTGTGTAAACGTAGAAAGTTGAAAGTGAACATAGAAAAGAGTAAAGTGATATGGGTATCAAATGATTTAGATAAAGAAAAATTGGATATCAAATTGGAAAGGAGTATGGAAGAAGTGAATGTTTTCAGATATTTGGGAGTTGACGTGTCAGCGGATGGATTTATGAAGGATGAGGTTAATCATAGAATTGATGAAGGAAAAAAGGTGAGTGGTGCGTTCAGGTATATGTGGAGACAAAAAACGTTATATATGGAGACAAAGAAGGGAATGTATGAAAGTATAGTGGTACCAACACTCTTATATGGGTGTGAAGCTTGGGTTGTAAATGCTGCAGTGAGGAGACGTTTGGAGGCAGTGGAGATGTCCTATCTAAGGGCAATGTGTGGTGTAAATATTATGTGGAAAAAATTCGGAGTGTGGAAGTTAGGAGAAGGTGTGGAGTTAATAAAAGTATTAGTCAGAGGGCTGAAGAGGGGTTGTTGAGGTGGTTTGGTCATTTAGAGAGAATGGATCAAAGTAGAATGACATGGAGAGTGTATAAATCTGTAGGGGTAGGAAGGCAGGTTAGGGGTTGTCCTCGAAAAGGTTGGAGGGAGGGGGTAAAGGAGGTTTTGTGAGCTAGGGGCTTGGACTTCCAGCAAGCCTGCATGAGCGTGTTAGATAGGAGTGAATGGAGACGAATGGTATTTGGGACCTGACGAGCTGTTGAGTGTGAGCAGGGTAATATTTAGTGAAGGGATTCAGTGTGACAGTAAAGTATGTACACTATCATTACTAGTAGTCAGTATCAGGTAAGTTGTTGGTTCATTTGCCAAACAAAATCACCTGACCAAAGTCTGTTATATGATAACTTACTCAGTAATACCAGTACTGTGGCAGGAGCTCAGCAAAGGATATACAGAGGAGGAGTAGCCATTGGTCCTGTGGTGAGTATGTCGGTAGCACCAGCTAGCTTACCTGCATTGGACTCAGTGGTCTGAGTGATATCAACAAAATATAAGATATGCTCTATACATGTACTTAAGTTGATAACAAATATTTATTAATCATTCATTGATTAGTGTGCCATGTACCATGTAAACCATACCTTAAATACTCTTTAGACCCAAATAAATGTTAAATATTGTGATGAAATAGTCGAGGATGTAATTAATGGGAATTTAACAAATAATCGAATTTTTAAGCGCTGTGTTGCAAGCTAAACCCTTAAAAGTAGCTATTGCCATTATCAAGTCCTTCCAATAACTTTTTCTTCTATGCCCCATTAATATTTGTTAGAGACAAAAATTCTTTTGAGGATTGTGATCATTAATTCAGTAATTGCCTATTAGCTAGTCTTTGAGCCCACAGTATACTTAAAGACGAGCTTGAGAAAATGACGTTTTGTTTTGCAGGTTCGCAGCAAAAGCCAGAACACCCTGAATCAGGTGTTTCAGTGCTTCCCTTACTCTTACAAACTTACTCTGCCAGATCTTGTTACTTGCCTTCAAGTTGACCCTGTAGAAAACCACGAGCAGTTCAAAGGTAAGAGTTAGTAGCTGGATTAGTAATGGCAATTCAACCCTTGTTTGACTAATGTCAGAATGAATTTGTTTACCTAGACATTTAAAGTAAACTTCTTTTTTAAACAGTCATTGCATAGTTCTCTTTGGCTGTGAATAGTGAAAACCCTGTAGCCATGTTTTGAATAATTGACATTGTGAATAGAGTTCTTGCTAATACACATTGTCTGGTGCCTAGTCTGATGTATGAACCTTCACTGGAAGTACTCATTGTATTGTGTCTGGTGCTTAGTCTGATGTATGAACCTTCACTGGAAGTACTCATTGTATTGTGTCTGGTGCTTAGTCTGATGTATGAACCTTCACTGGAAGTACTCATTGTATTGTGTCTGGTGCTTAGTCTGATGTATGAACCTTCACTGGAAGTACTCATTGTATTGTGTCTGGTGCCTAGTCTGATGTATGAACCTTCACTGGAAGTACTCATTGTATTGTGTCTGGTGCCTAGTCTGATGTATGAACCTTCACTTGATGCAGTTATACACTAGTGTTATCTTTGTGTTGTAAAAGACTGGCACATCCAGTGGAAAATATACTTTTTCCTTATAATTTTTACTTACTGATCACTATCTTAGGAAAAATATCTGCAGTAGTGAAGATATATAAATGCTGTATATGGGTAATAAATTGAATTCTGTAATGCACTTGCATACAAAATTACAAAATCAGAAAAGAATATATCATTGAAATCTTTTATTATAACTATCTACTTTTATACCTAAACTTTAATAACTTGTACCTAAAAGTCTGAGTAGAGTATTGAATCTCAGTTTAGAGTGTATCTATGTGTCCTTTTTACATGACCTTTTAATATCATTAATAAATTATATAACAGATCTCCAAGATCTCAAGAGTGTATCAGTCTGTAGTGGAAGGAAGGCGGGGTAGGGGTCGGCCTAGGAAAGGTTGGAGGAAGGGGGTAAAGGAGGTTTTGTGTGCGAGGGGCTTGGACTTCCAGTGGGCATGCGTGAGCTTGTTTGATAGGAGTGAATGGAGACAAATGGTTTTTTAAACTTGACGTGCTGTTGGAGTGTGAGCAAAGTAACATTACGGGGGTTTTTTCCCAAACAGAATTTTTATAAGAAGGCAGAGTATATGGGAGTAAAAGAAAGGTGAAGGGTGGTGAGAGAGTGCAAAAGGAGGGGGAGATGAAAGAGTGGGAGGCACGTAAAGAAATTTTAATGAAAATAAAAAAAAATTTTGGAGTGAGTTAAAAAGTTAAGAAACCCTGGGGAAAAGTATGGTTTGTCAGTTAAAAAAAAGAGTGGGAGTTTGTGGGTAGAGGGAGTATTAGGTAGATGGCGAAAATTTTTTTTGAGGAACTTTTAATTTTAAGGGAAAAAAAAGGGGGCGGTAATTTCATGCACGGGCCCCAGGGGGTTCCCATCTTTTAGGAGTGAAAAGAGCAGACTGAAAGTGTGGTGGGGGTACGTGAGGCATTACGTAGAATAAAAGGGGGTTTTAAAAGCGCTGGAATGATGGGATCTGAAAGAATGTTAAAGCAGGGGGGGTATAGTGTTGGAGTGGTTGGTCTTTTTTTTTAAAAAAATTTTTTTAAAAAGAGGGGAAGGTACCTGGGGATTGGGGGAGGATGTTAGCCCCTTTAAATTTAAAGGGAAAGGGGAAAAAAAGAGATTGTAAAAATTATAGGGAAAATAAGTTTCTGAGTATACCAGAAAAGTATACGGTGGGTTAAATTAAAAGAATTAGGGGTAAGCGAATGTGAATTGGGGACGAAAAGGAGGTTTTTCGAGTGGGTAGGGGATTGTAGTAAAGTTTTTACATTAAAGCATATTGTAAAACAGTATTTAGATAAAGGTGGGGAAGTTTTTATTGCATTTATGGATTTAGAAAAGGCATATGAAGAGGGATAGAGGGGCAATGTGGCAGTTTTGAAAAGTTTGGGAATAGGTGGTAATTTATAAATGTGAAAAGAGCTTTTATGAGGATAGTGGGCTCAGGTTGGGGTTTGTGTAAAAAAGGGGGAGAATATTTCCCCGGTTTAAAAGTGGGTCTTAGACAGGGATGTGTAATGTCCCCATGGTTGTTTAATATATTTATGAGGGGGTTGTAAAAGAAGTAAATGCTAGGGTGTTGGGGAGGGGGGGTGGGATTAAAATTATGGGGAATCAAAACAAAATGGGGAAATTGACCAGTTACTTTTTTTGATGTACTGTGTTTGGGAGATTCTAAAGAAAAAATTTCAAAGGTTAGGGATGAGTTTTGGAATGTGTGTAAAGGTAGAAGTTTAAAGTGAACATAGAAAAGAGTAAGGTGATGGGGTATCAAAAGATTTAGATAAAGAAAAATTGGATATCAAATTGGGGAGGGGAGTATGGAAGAAGTGAAGTTTTTAGATACTTTGGGGGTTGAACGTGTCGGCGGATGGTTTATGAAAGGGTGAGGGTTTAATCATAGAATTGATGAGGGAAAAAAGGTGAGTGGTGCGTTGAGGTATATGTGGAGTCAAAAAACGTTATCTATGGAGGCAAAGAAGGGAATGTATGAAAGTATAGTAGTACCAACACTCTTATATGGATGTGAAGCTTGGGTGGTAAATGCAGCAGCGAGGAGACGGTTGGAGGCAGTGGAGATGTCCTGTCTAAGGGCAATGTGTGGTGTAAATATTATGCAGAAAATTCGGAGTGTGGAAATTAGGAGAAGGTGTGGAGTTAATAAAAGCATTAGTCAGAGGGCAGAAGAGGGGTTGTTGAGGTGGTTTGGTCATTTAGAGAGAATGGATCAAAGTAGAATGACATGGAAAGCATATAAATCTATAGGGGAAGGAAAGAGGGGTAGGGGTCGTCCTCGAAAGGGTTGGAAAGAGGGGGTAAAGGAGGTTTTGTGGGTGAGGGGCTTGGACTTCCAGCAAGCGTGCATGAGCGTGTTAGATAGGAGTGAATGGAGACGAATGATACTTGGGACCTGACGATCTGTTGGAGTGTGAGCAGGGTAATATTTAGTGAAGGGATTCAGGGAAACCGGTTATTTTCATATAGTCGGACTTGAGTCCTGGAAATGGGAAGTACAATGCCTGCACTTTAAAGGAGGGGTTTGGGATATTGGCAGTTTGGAGGGATATGTTGTGTATCTCTATACGTATATGCTTCTAAACTGTTATATTCTGAGCACCTCTGCAAAAGCAGTGATAATGTGTGAGTGTGGTGAAAGTGTTGAATGATGATGAAAGTATTTTCTTTTTGGGGATTTTCTTTCTTTTCTGGGTCACCCTGCCTCGGTGGGAGACGACCGACTTGTTGAAAAAAAAAAAAAAAAAAAAAATCTACTTTTATACCTAAACTTTAATAACTTGTACCTAAAAGTCTGAGTAGAGTATTGAATCTCAGTTTAGAGTGTATCTATGTGTCCTTTTTACATGACCTTTTAATATCATTAATAAATTATATAACAGATCTCCAAGATCTCAAGAGTGTATCAGTCTGTAGTGGAAGGAAGGCGGGGTAGGGGTCGGCCTAGGAAAGGTTGGAGGAAGGGGGTAAAGGAGGTTTTGTGTGCGAGGGGGTTGGAATTCCAGTGGGCATGCGTGAGCTTGTTTGATAGGAGTGAATGGAGACAAATGGTTTTTTAAACTTGACGTGCTGTTGGAGTGTGAGCAAAGTAACATTTATGAAGGGATTCAGGGAAACCGGCAGGCCGGACTTGAGTCCTGGAGATGGGAAGTACAATGCCCGCACTCTGAAGGAGGGGTGTTAATGTTGCAGTTTAAAAACTGTAGTGTAAAGCACCCTTCTGGCAAGACAGTGATGGAGTGAATGATGGTGAAAGTTTTTCCTTTTCGGGCCACCCTGCCTTGGTGGGAATCGGCCAGTGTGTTAATAAAAATTAATAAAAAATCTGCATGGGGAAGTGGATGAGAATCTTTCCTCTGTAACCCATGCGTGTTGTAAGAGGCGACTAAAATGCTGAGATCAAGGAGCTAGTAACTCCTTTTCCTGTATTAATTACTAAATGTAAAAAGAAGAAACACTTTTGTTTCTTCTTTTCCTGGTCACCTTGCCTTGGTGGGAAATGGCCGGTGTGTTTAAAAAACCATTAAGAATTATGGAAGACAGAAATTTTGGGGCATACTCTACATCATCTTCGGCAGCTTATTTTACGTATGTATTCAGCATGTATTCACCCCTGAAGGAGGGGTGTTAATGTTGCAGTTTAAAAACTGTAGTGTAAAGCACCCTTCTGGCAAGACAGTGATGGAGTGAATGATGGTGAAAGTTTTTCTTTTTCGGGCCACCCTGCCTTGGTGGGAATCAGCCAGTGTGATAATAATAAAAAAAAAATTCAGCATCAGTATTTCATTTACATTATTCATTTCATCTCCATTAGGAAGTCTCTACCTCTTGTTGGGGCGTCAGAACAAGTCACTAATGGTACGTCGGGACTGGGAGAGTCTTAACATGGTGTGGCCAGCTTTAATTGCTTCCAAGCACTCAGAGAAGCCATCAATAATTAGATTGATGAATGCACTCTCAGATGCTGTGTACTATTACATGGAGCTCTTTGCAATATTTCATCAGGTATGTACACATTACATTGTTGATATACCATGTTTGAATAAGGATTGTCCTTAGTTAGCATGTCGTGTGAATGTAGTCAAGGATTCATTATCACTTCCTCCAGGGTATTATTTGGGGGTGTGCCTAAATATCAATATCGGTGGGTGTCAGCCAGTTATGATGGTATCAGTATCATTTTCTGTATTGATGCTTATTGGCTAATTTTGATGGTATTGGTATCAGCCTAAATTTAAGTATCAGTATAAGTATCAGCAAAAGAATTGTATCTTCCCATCCCTATTATTGATTATTCACGTGACCACAGCTTCATGATCAAATTAATAGAGCTGCATAATGTAATTTTAATGATTTGTCTTGAGTTCATCACAACTTTTTTTGTATCTGCAGTCATACTAATTTGGCATAGTATTAATTATTCCCCACCCTGCCACAGATATCACCAGGTGTTGTTAAGGCAGCAGAGGCACTCTTGCAGTCAAATTCTCCAAAGGTGAAAAATAACATTGTTACCGAGGACGCTAGGACATTAGCCTGTGAAAAGTTAGCACAAAGAGGAAACTCCAATCATGATCTTTATAAGAATCTTGTGAGCAAGCTTGTTAACATCTTGATTCAGGAACACTGTAAGTTGATGTGTATTTAGTTGTATTGCAACAAGGTTATGTTGTTAATATATTTATCAGGGAAAGTCAAGGCTATTTGCTCACACAGTTTTCTGTCAGAATTTCAGAATTTACAAAATAGTGATTAAAATAATAATAATTATTTTTTTAACATGCTAGTCATCTCCCACTAAGGCAGGGTAGCCCCAAAAAAAAACTTTCACCATTTACACTATCACTGTCTTGCCAGAGGTATGCAGATATGAAAGTTTGGATTATTATTATATTCATTGGAAATTGTTGAACCTGTGATTGATATTGTGCCTGAAGAACAGGATAATCATGTTTGATCCTCTATATGATAGCTACATAGTGAAAGTGTTTTCAACTTTGGGTCACCCTGCCTTGGTGAAAGACACTCATTAAGTTATAAATAAAGCTACATAGTGGATGTAAAAGCTGGTAATGTTTTCCCTTATATGTTCTGTCTCACAGGATGAATTACATATACTGTATTTTGTGGCTTAATAGACACATTTTTATCCCGTAAAATGTCTCCCAAAAACCACCCTGCGTCCTATAAACTGAAGGTCAGTGATGGGAGCTATAAGTTTGGGATGTGAGGTGGGCTGTAGCTCTCCTAGTTAGGTCCAATGCTGAGCCATTGAAACTAAAGCAAGTCTTATAAGCCACGTCATATAAGCCACGAAATACGGTACATAGGGTTGAAATCTATCAGCCTGAGCTGGGAGACTTGAGTAATTCATTGAGGATATTATTTAAGTGTATTAAGTATTCTATTAAAAGCTCGTCAGTCCCCAGCTACAGCAGCTTTAAAAGTTTCATTCAAGCAGAGTTAGTTTCTCTTGCTTGAAATGCAGATTATTTTGGCATAAACATATTAGTAAACTTTAGGGTATGTCACAGGGCCAACTTCATTCAGAAAAATTATATAGATTATTAGAGATTGTAAATCAAAATAATGTCACACTGGTGGTGATTCTGTTCAAGCACTTGCTTGTACTACACCTAAAGAGCAGTACCTGATAAGCCAGGCTGTGGTTCATATGTCAGCTTACATGCAGCCAACAGTAACAGCCTGGTTGATCAGGCCCTGATCCACTGCGAGGCTTGGTCATGGATCTGGCCACAGGGGCATTGACCCTCGGAATATATTTTCTGCTTGCATCTTGCACAGTAGGTGAATTAAAATAAAAAATTGTTAGATGTTGTGTATTGTGTTGCAGGCATTGGCGCACCCACAACATGGCTCTCAACCTTCTTGGTTGTCTCATCCGTCCAGATGTCACATTTCCTGCTGATGGTGTCCGAGCTTTTACCTGCAGCCTTATTCATGACAACATTCGTATAAGAGAAGTAAGTTAAGCAATAAGTGATGTACAGTGTACCACAAGTCCAGTGCTGATATAAATATAGTATGTATTGAATTTATTATGAGAGGATGGAGAAAAATAGGATGACTTGGAGAGGATGGAGAAAAATAGGATGACTTGGAGAGGATGGAGAAAAATAGATGACTTGGAGAGGATGGAGAAAAATAGGATGACTTGGAGAGGATGTATCAATCTGTAGTGGAGGGAAGGCAAGGTAGGGGTCATGCTAGGAAAGGTTGGAAGGAGGGGGTAAAGGAGTTTTGTATGGAAGGGGCTTGGACATCCAGCAGGTGTGTCTGAGCATGTTAGATAGCAGGGAGTGGAGGCACATGGTTTTCATAACTTGACAGGTTGTTGGAGTGTGAGCAAGGTAACATTTGTGAAGGGACTCAAGGAAACCTGTTAGCCAGACTTGAGTCCTGGAGGTGGGAAGTACAGTGCCAGCACTCTGAAGGAGGGGTGAGGATATTGCAGTTTAAAGGGGGAGTTTAAAGGTATGCCTTTGGCACATGCCTCTGGCAAGATAGTAATGAAGTGAGTGAGTGTAAAAATGTTTCTTCTTTTTCGGGTCATCATACCTCAGCGGGAGATGGCCAATGTGTTACAAAAAGTGTAAACTATTACAAGTCCAGTGTTGGTACAGTATGGTATTATAGTACATTTTGGCTTTATTATGGATTAATAAGTCACCCTGCCTTGGTGGGAAATGACCGAACATGTTAAAAAAAAAAAAAAGTTTGAATACGATTGTAACTGCAGATCAGCTTTCGTAAGTTATTGATGCCAAAGTGCCAGTGTCATAAGTGTGGAACATTGTAAGTTGGGACCTATCACATATCCATGAATCTTTAGGAAAGTGATTTTCATTTATAGTCTTTTTTTTTTTTTTTTTTTTTTTTTTTTTTCCAACAAGTCGGCCATCTCCCACCAGGCAGGGTGACCCAAAAAAGAAAGAAAATCCCCAAAAAGAAAATACTTTCATCATCATTCAACACTTTCACCACACTCGCACATTATCACTGTTTTTGCAGAGGTGCTCAGAATACAACAGTTTAGAAGCATATACATATAAAGATACACAACATATCCCTCCAAACTGCCAATATCCCAAACCCCTCCTTTATAGTTTGTATGTACTTGAATTTTACAGTAAAAAATTCCTTGGATAAGTTTATTTTTCCTTTGTGTGCAATATGCATCTTGTACCTAGTTTATAATATTAGATATATGCTACGATTTAACATATGAATCTTCTTTTCAGACATCTATATTCTACATGCCATGGATCCTCAAGAATCAAAAGCGGAAGCACAAAAAAATCCAAATCAACCCTTATAATGTTGATGATGTAAATAATGTTCCTGTCAGAATAATTCCTGGAGACTCCAGGCCTGACAATTTGTGAGTTGGATCTCTCTATAATTTATAAGTAATATTTTATATGACAATTCACTTTTTATTTGCTTTTTGTTTTACCTTCATCAGTTTCTCATAGTCTTGATAAAAGGATCTGAAAGCTAGGTAATAATGACTGCTTATCTGTTTGTTAGATATATATTTTGATATTTTGTAGTATTCTGCACACCTCTGGCAAAACAGTGATAGTGTGAATGATGGTGAAGTGTTTCTTTTTTTGGGTCACCCTGCCGTGATGGGAGATTGCCAGCGTGTTAAAAAAAAAAAAAAGAAACTTTAGTTTCCCCAGTGGTGTGTTCAGGAGACGTCTTACCCTAAAAGATAACAGTCAGATTTTAAGTCAAGATTTGCCACAATTATTGTTTGCATATAACACATTGTTTTCGGGAAATTTGGAAGAAACTTTCAGTGACCAGTACAGGAGTATAAAAGGATGTAATTATTTATTTGAGTTAGTGGAATGTTAGCACTAGGATCTGCCTCTCAACTTTCAACTGCCTAACATGAATTAGCTCTGCTTCTTTTTTGTCACTGTTACTCATTTCACAATTTTACCTTTCACACCAGGGTAGGAAACATTCACCAGCATTCATTCAACATCTGTCTTACAAGAAATGCCCAGACATCATAATTTATACAATCCTCTGAACTGCAACATACCCACTCTGCCTTCAAGAGTGCAGACACTGTACCTTTTGCCTCCAAGATTCACTCTTTTTCTTTTCTTTTCATTTTTTTTTCTTTTGTCTTATGTTGAAATATTTTATATATCTTTGTAACTCATTTTGGTGTATAATTTCTAACCATACCCTCAAGTTCTTTTTTGCATCCCTGCATATGTGCCTAGTAGTTTGTATTTTATTATTATTATCACACTGGCCGATTCCCACCAAGGCAGGGTGGCCCGAAAAAGAAAAACTTTCACCATCATTCACTCCATCACTGTCTTGCCAGAAGGGTGCTTTACACTACAGTTTTTAAACTGCAACATTAACACCCCTCCTTCAGAGTGCAGGCACTGTACTTCCCATCTCCAGGACTCAAGTCCGGCCTGCCGGTTTCCCTGAATCCCTTCATAAATGTTACTTTGCTCACACTCCAACAGCACGTCAAGTATTAAAAACCATTTGTCTCCATTCACTCCTATCAAACACGCTCACGCATGCCTGCTGGAAGTCCAAGCCCCTCGCACACAAAACCTCCTTTACCCCCTCCCTCCAACCCTTCCTAGGCCGACCCCTACCCCGCCTTCCTTCCACTACAGACTGATACACTCTGAAGTCATTCTGTTTCGCTCCATTCTCTCTACATGTCCGAACCACCTCAACAACCCTTCCTCAGCCCTCTGGACAACAGTTTTGGTAATCCCGCACCTCCTCCTAACTTCCAAACTACGAACTCTCTGCATTATATTCACACCACACATTGCCCTCAGACATGACATCTCCACTGCCTCCAGCCTTCTCCTCGCTGCAACAGTCATCACCCACGCTTCACACCCATATAAGAGCGTTGGTAAAACTATACTCTCATACATTCCCCTCTTTGCCTCCAAGGACAAAGTTCTTTGTCTCCACAGACTCCTAAGTGCACCACTCACTCTTTTTCCCTCATCAATTCTATGATTCACCTCATCTTTCATAGACCCATCCGCTGACACGTCCACTCCCAAATATCTGAATACGTTCACCTCCTCCATACTCTCTCCCTCCAATCTGATATTCAATCTTTCATCACCTAATCTTTTTGTTATCCTCATAACCTTACTCTTTCCTGTATTCACCTTTAATTTTCTTCTTTTGCACACCCTACCAAATTCATCCACCAATCTCTGCAACTTCTCTTCAGAATCTCCCAAGAGCACAGTGTCATCAGCAAAGAGCAGCTGTGACAACTCCCACTTTGTGTGTGATTCTTTATCTTTTAACTCCACGCCTCTTGCCAAGACCCTCGCATTTACTTCTCTTACAACCCCATCTATAAATATATTAAACAACCACGGTGACATCACACATCCTTGTCTAAGGCCTACTTTTACTGGGAAAAAATTTCCCTCTTTCCTACATACTCTAACTTGAGCCTCACTATCCTCGTAAAAACTCTTCACTGCTTTCAGTAACCTACCTCCTACACCATACACTTGCAACATCTGCCACATTGCCCCCCTATCCACCCTGTCATACGCCTTTTCCAAATCCATAAATGCCACAAAGACCTCTTTAGCCTTATCTAAGTACTGTTCACTTATATGTTTCACTGTAAACACCTGGTCCACACACCCCCTACCTTTCCTAAAGCCTCCTTGTTCATCTGCTATCCTATTCTCCGTCTTACTCTTAATTCTTTCAATTATAACTCTACCATACACTTTACCAGGTACACTCAACAGACTTCTCCCCCTATAATTTTTGCACTCTCTTTTATCCCCTTTGCCTTTATACAAAGGAACTATGCATGCTCTCTGCCAATCCCTAGGTACCTTACCCTCTTCCATACATTTATTAAATAATTGCACCAACCACTCCAAAACTATATCCCCACCTACTTTTAACATTTCTATCTTTATCCCATCAATCCGGCTGCCTTACCCCCTTTCATTTTACCTACTGCCTCACGAACTTCCCCCACACTCACAACTGGCTCTTCCTCACTCCTACAAGATGTTATTCCTCCTTGCCCTATACACGAAATCACAGCTTCCCTATCTTCATCAACATTTAACAATTCCTCAAAATATTCCCTCCATCTTCCCAATACCTCTAACTCTCCATTTAATAACTCTCCTCTCCTATTTTTAACTGACAAATCCATTTGTTCTCTAGGCTTTCTTAACTTGTTAATCTCACTCAGGATATTTATTCTTGTTCTTTGTTCTTCTGTTGACTTAAGCTCAAGTTCTCACATTCTTCTTTTTTATGCATTCCTTTGTAGTCTGTCACTTCTAGGTATGGGTTCTACAATGGCACTGCATACTCAATAACACGTCTCATATATAAGGTTAAGAATGTTTTGAATCAGTTTTTGTCTAGGTTTTTTAATTAAAAACTGAAGATGGGACAGCAGCATAATTTCCTCTCTTATCTACCAATAGATAATCACAATACTTTTGCAATGATAAACTTGTGCTTGATGAATATGTCAGTCTTATAACAACATAAAATACAGAACAAAACCTTGTTTTATGTACGTAATACTCTCTATTTCCTCAGTGCAGAGTGTAAAATAATTTTTTCTGCTAAAAATGGCGGTTTGTTTCGGGTTTAACCCTTTGAAGGTCAAGACCCCTGCTCGCAGACTTGCTCTCAGGGTTGAAGAATTTAAAAAAAAAAAAAAAAATTCTTAAAGAATTACTCAAACTATTTTTGTAGCTGCAGTGAAACAAAAAAAAAATTGCCATCAATCCTTACCAAGATATAGATGCGTAAAGTTGACAGTAAGTGACTGGCTGATGATAACATTGGCAACAGCTGCTCATTCCTTATAATGTATTTTTTTCTTTTATGTGTGTTATTCTATGTTTTCTTTTACTTTTGTGTTATTTAATTTTTTCATGTAACTTCTGTGGCCTATGAGACCAGTATAATGTATATATGAGAATGTATCTGATAATAATTACCAAAAGTTAGGGAAATGGTAATTGGAAGTAGCTCAAAGAACAGGTGATTAGTACAGTATACACCACAATTACTGGGGACTTAAAGATAACTGGAACAGAGCTATGAGACTTGCTCTGCTGTCTTGTATGTATACCTGTTATGTATACCCATTCAGTAACCATATGTAGAATAAATGCTGTTGATGTTAACCTTTATTGTGGTTTTGCAAAGATATTCAATAATAGTAAATACCTGGAGGGGTTTGGGATATTGACAGTTTGGAGGGACTTCTAAACTGTCGCATCTGAGTGCTTCTCACCAGTGATTGTGTGTGAGTGAGGTGAAAGTGTTGAATGATGAAAGTATTTTCTTTTTGGTGATTTTCTTTCTTTTTGAGTGCCTCTCACCAGTGATTGTGTGTGAGTGAGGTGAAAGTGTTGAATGATGAAAGTATTTTCTTTTTGGGGATTTTCTTTCTTTTTGGGTCACCCTGCCTTGGTGGGAGACGGCTGACTTGTTAAAAAAAAATAATGGTAAACATTTAAAAAAAATTATTAACACAGCCTCTCCTCACTTAACAACAGAGTTCCGTTCCTAAGACCATGTCATTTAACAAATTCATTGCTAAGTGAGGAGCATACTATAATGGTAGTGAGTTTGTGTCAACCATCTTTGATATTGCTTTAATGTCACCTTTGCACCATTTGTAACATTTCTGGTATATTTTTAAATGTTTATACAGTAGTGTACTGTATATTGAAATGAACAGAATAGAGGAAATCAGCTCTTAATATACATTATTTAGGTATGAATACTGGTCAGAGAGCCTTTCGTAAGTCCGAGGAGTTGATAAACAAGTATGTCGCTAAGTGAGGAGAGGCTGTATTGTATTTATGTTGCTCTCATATTTTAGATGGATGCAGTACAACAGTATGAAGAAAATTGAAACTGAGGAGCACTGGGAAGATACAAGATATGTAGAAAAGACATATTATGGATGGTATACTTGGCCAAAGTAAGTACAGTGTAATTCATGAGTTATCAGTAAGAAATTACCCGTTTTAAACTAAAACAATTTGTTCCGAATACTTGAATGTTACCAATCATGTTTGTTAATCTGTGTGTTGACCTTTAAAGCTTGGGTGTCTTGATGCTGATAAAGTTATACTCCCCTTCCTCAGATAAAACCTGATTTCCTCCTATTACTCAGTTGCTGTATGACTCCTAAGGGCATGGGACTTTTCCCATGACTATAGTAGTAGTAGTAATAATAATAATTTTATGTTTTAACTACTTTTTAAAGTTGAAAGAATATAATCTGACACGTTTTAAGACTTGTGAATTTTAATACAACTTTATTTCTTTTATGCAGTATACAAAATGTAGTTTACATGTAATAAAATATTGTTAAGTGCAAAAGAAAGCCATTAGCATTTCAGACATGCTTAGTTTGCTGGTGTATTTGCAGATCATTGATGATTTATGCTCCGCCATCACAGCAGCCTCCACTAGATAGAAAAAGAGAAGAGCTCAGTGATGAAGAGCAGGTGGTTTATGATTTCTTCATGTTACAAGATAATGTTGACAAATTAATATCATTTTTATCTCTAGAGGAAAATAAGGAACGCGATAATTTCAACACTCGCCGTTTCTGGATGTTTAAGGTACCATTTTTGTAGATAAATTTTCATAAGATAACTTTCTTGACATGACATGAAAAATTAGGTACAAGAACATAGTATGTAATCTCAGAGTTGTACAAACTGAGCTGTGTCTGTAGGAATCAAGCTTTAGCTCTTGACTCCATATTTTTTTTAATCTTAATCCAACTGGGCTTTAACAGGTACATAAAACACAAATAAAAATTACATTCTGGGAGCAAGGGGCTAGTAACCCCTTCTGTATAAATTACTAAATTTAAAAAAAAAAAAATTTCTTTGTAGGTCACCCTGCCTTGGTAGGATACGTCTGGTTCGTTAAAAAAAAAAAAAATTGCCTGTATAGGACATCCAGGGCAAATGTTCAGGTACTACTTCAAAAATATAGCTTAGGCAGATATATGAGTGAGAAGGGTTAGCATTCAGTAAGATCTGCTTAGCATTGGTCAGTGTATATGCAAAATGAGTGGTTGCACTACAGCCATACACATACACTATTGCATGGAAGGCAGGCCCTGCTCAAACCCAGGCCTTCTTACTCATGATGAGTAAGACATGCAACATTAAAAATCTTATCAATAGTGATTACCGGCATTGCACATATGTGTCTTTCTCATCAGCCTGACAGTACTGTAAACCATATGTATAAAATGATATCCTCTCACTCATAAAACTACACCTGACCTAGATGCCTTATTTGAGCTGTAATTTTTATCCTTGTTCTTTGTACTTGATAAACCCGACTGGTGGATAAAATATTGTATAAATAAAACCTATTCTGCATAAAGTGTATCTATCAAATGTATAAATTCTCTTAATACATTTGTAGTTTTTCTCTGTTCCTTGTAATTTTTTAAGGGACTCGGATCTTAAAAAACATGGCTTATTAATATGTATATTAACTCTTGCAGGGCTTGTTCCGAAACTTTGGAGATACCTTCATGCATGTGTTGCAGGGCCATGTCAAGAGACTTGTGGGAGAGACTCAGAAAAGCAGCCAGAGATGTGCCACAGAGATCATTACTGGTGTGTTTATGACTATTCAAGTATTGATTATCTGAAAGATTTTTTAAATCTGGTTAATGTGTGTTTCAGAGCCCCATTTTTTCAGGTTTCCTTTATAGGAAATGAGTGATCATTATGATAGTACAAAACTTAAGGCCAGAAATAAAATAAATGCTTTTTATATTGTACATTTTGCAACATTTCATTATCATTTTTATTTTGTGACGGTGCCGTTGTATCTAAATGGAGCAAACATAGTACGTATATTGTAATAGATCAAGAGGTTATAACTTATGAAATCGTAATAACATCATTGCAAACAAATCACGGTACAGGTGGGATTAGCCTGCTGGCCCAGTGGCTTACACACTGGCAAGGTTTACAACTCACTTGCCATGAGTTCTAACCCCACCTGTACTGTTTCAAAAGGTTGTTTATACTTGTCAAGTGTTGAGAGAGAGAGAGAGAGAGAGAGAGAGAGAGAGAGAGAGAGAGAGAGAGAGAGACTGAGAGAGAGAGAGAGAGACTGAGAGAGAGAGAGAGAGAGAGAGACTGAGAGAGAGAGAGGAGAGAGAGAGACTGAGAGAGAGAGAGAGAGAGAGACTGAGAGAGAGAGAGAGAGACTGAGAGAGAGAGAGAGAGAGAGAGAGACTGAGAGAGAGAGAGAGAGAGAGACTGAGAGAGAGAGAGAGAGAGAGACTGAGAGAGAGAGAGAGAGAGACTGAGAGAGAGAGAGAGAGAGAGAGACTGAGAGAGGGGAGAGAGAGAGAGAGACTGAGAGAGAGAGAGACTGAGAGAGAGAGAGACAGAGAAGAGAGAGAGAGAGACTGAGAGAGAGGGGAGGAGAGAGAGAGAGAGAGAGGGGAGAGACTGAGAGAGAGAGAGACTGAGAGAGAGAGAGAGAGAGAGAGACTGAGAGAGAGAGAGGGGAGAGAGACTGAGAGAGAGAGAGAGAGAGAGAGAGAGAGACTGAGAGAGAGAGAGAGAGAGAGACTGAGAGAGAGAGAGAGAGAGAGACTGAGAGAGAGAGAGAGAGAGAGAGACTGAGAGAGAGAGAGACTGAGAGAGAGAGACTGAGAGAGAGACTGAGAGAGAGACTGAGAGAGAGAGACTGAAGAGAGAGAGAGAGACTGAGAGAGAGAGAGAGAGAGAGAGAGACTGAGAGAGAGAGAGAACTGAGAGAGAGAGAGAGAGAGAGAGACTGAGAGAGAGAGAAGAGAGAGAGACTGAGAGAGAGAGAGACTGAGAGAGAGAGACTGAGAGAGAGACTGAGAGAGAGACTGAGAGAGAGAGACTGAGAGAGAGAGAGAGAGAGACTGAGAGAGAGAAAAGAGAGAAAAGACTGAGGGGAGAGAGAGAGAGAGAGACTGAAGAGAGAGAGAGGACTGAGAGAGAGAGACTGAGAGAGAGAGACTGAGAGAGAGAGAGAGAGAGAGAGACTGAGAGAGAGAGAGACTGAGAGAGAGAGAGAGACTGAGACTGAGAGAGAGAGAGAGAGAGACTGAGAGAGAGAGAGAGAGAGAGAGAGAGAGAGAGACTGAGAGAGAGAGAGAGAGAGAGAGAGAGAGACTGAGAGAGAGAGAGAGAGAGACAGAGAGAGAGAGAGAGAGAGAGAGAGAGAGAGAGACTGAGAGAGACTGAGAGAGACTGAGAGAGAGAGAGAGACTGAGACTGTATAACAGGAAAAACTTTTATTAAAATAATTCATCCAGGACTAACTTTCTGTTTGTATACTTGAAAAAAATTTAGTCCAGGATGAAACTTTATAATAAAATGTTTCTTTGCCATGTAATTTCTCGCTTCCTGTCAACTTAGCCATAGTTCACTCTCCTGTCATGTAATGTTGATAATGTTCAACATTTCTTCAGTGTAACATTAGTGCATTTTTGTGTGTGGTTCAAGTCCATATTGGCAAGGGTTCAGTATAGAGTGCTTGCTTATGTAGATATATAGTGATTTGTGGACTACTTTTTTCATATATTTTGGTTAGTACTGGTGAAGAATAAAAAAGACACAATACCGTGACTGAAACAATACACAAGTAACCAGCACATAGGAAACTTGAAACTTATGATGATGTTTTGGTCTGAGTTGGACCATTAACTAGTCACTTGCGTCTAATTCATGGTCCCAGTTGGGTTGAAACGTCGTCATGAGTTTCAAGTCTTCTCTGCGGGTTATTTGTATATTAGTTATAGTAGATATTGGTTTGATTTGTCAGAGAACTCTATCTTTGAGTGACGATGATCATATCTGTTTTGAAAAAGCTTTGGTAAGCTTGAAATTCAACCGATTCCTCAAAGAATATTGGCATGGCTGGTTATAACATACTTGTGCAGCATTCTTATGTACAGTTGTAAGAATACTTGCTTCATTTTTTAACAATTTATTATAGTACTTGTTTTAGAGGATCTGATCACTAATAGTTCTGTATAAGTAGTCAGGTTAGTTGCTAAGTACATAATTATAGACATTAGTTTGGTCCTCAGATTTGTCCCAGTGGATGACAAGAAAGTATTAACTTTGTTTATAGAACTGAGAGTAGTGATTCATTGTCTTTGGTGAATTTAGTAGTGTTGAGATCCTAACATCTGAGGGAATTTCCTATTTTTTTTTTTTCAATAAATATGTGTAATAGGTTTGAAACTTCTGAATACATTGAAGAATCATTAATTTCAGGTATGATTCGGGAAGCAAACATTGGACTTTTGCCAAGCATCAGGCATTGTGGGAGGTATTAAAGCCTATCCTGCAGATTGGTATGGCCAAAGTGACTGTTGAGACAGTAGAAGACTGGGGTACGTGTATGGCCACAGCCAGTGCTGACCGAGACCCCAATAGATTAGCCCCGCTAATGGAGCTCTTGATGGATGATCCCCTTAGAGCTAGTGAAGGAGCATTTAATGGGTCAAGGTAAGACAGTTTATAATGAAGAGTAGATGCCAGTTTTTGGTCTTAAAAGGCACTCTTGTGTGTATATAGTATCTCCATTATATATCTTTCATCATTTTCTTCTCAGAAGAATCTATGATTCCTGCACAAATGTTTTATTTTCTCCTTTTATTTTCCTATAAAATTTTTGTATTACTCTGATATGTTATTGTTTTTCACAGCCGGATGTACATGTTAATGGGAGGTTTAGGGCAACAAGAGTGGCGTGTAGCAGAATTAAGTCATCGGTTACTCGAGTATCTTCGACCATCACTTTCACATCCATACAAGAGCATCAGGGATAGACTAGGAAGGTTAGTTTGACATTGAAGATGTATGTTAGCAACTTTGGGTAATTAAATGGAAATGAAATGAAGCCATTCACAGAGTTGTGAAAATGGTAAATTCTGTATATTTTAAGCCATGGTCTTTGTTACCAACGTTGTTTTACGATGAATTGATACATATGTGCTACATTTACTACACTGTACTGAAATACTTTTAGTATATTCATTCCTTCTGGCCATTTAGTGGTGTTATGTTTTTTTTTATGTAAGATACAGGATACTTGATATGTCAAAAACAGCTTTTTTTTTTTTAATATATATATATCTATATATATATATATATATAATATATATATATATATAAAATATAGATATATATATATAAAGGAGGTTTTGTGGGTAAGGGGCTTGGACTTCCAGCAAGCGTGCGTGAGCGTGTTAGATAGGAGTGAATGGAGACGAATGGTACTTGGGACCTGACGATCTGTTGGAGTGTGAGCAGGGGAATATTTAGTGAAGGGATTCAGGGAAACCCCGGGTTTTTTTCATATAGTCGGACTTTTAGTCCTGGAAATGGGAAGTACAATGCCTGCACTTTAAAGGAGGGGTTTGGGATATTGGCAGTTTGGAGGGATATGTTGTGTATCTTTATATGTTTATGCTTCTAGACTGTTGTATTCTGAGCACCTCTGCAAAAACAGTGATAATGTGCGAGTGTGGTGAAAGTGTTGAATGATGATGAAAGTATTTTCTTTTTGGGGATTTTCTTTCTTTTTTGGGTCACCCTGCCTCGGTGGGAGACGGCCGACTTGTTGAAAAAAAAAAAAAAAAAAAAAAAAAATATATAGATGTTGATCTGTGAAGGTAATATAGAAGTGTAAAGCTAAAGGGTTGTCATTGAGATGATCTGAAAGAAGATAAAGTTCTTGAAACTAATTGTTGTAAATGCTGTTTTTCTTGCAGTGTGTTAACGGGTATCTTCATGTATGACTTGGTGCTGCCAGGAGGAATAACCTCCCGCTATCCTAGTAGTGCAGAATTTATAGACTATATACTTCCTCAGTTATCATTACTTATTCAGGAATCAGACTCAAGCATGGCCTATGATTGTGACTCTGATAATATGAAATGTGGGTCATCCTTTTCTCTGTCCCAAGACATGCCTCCCTCCCCTCCACAACCTAATAATACAGTGTTCAGTGAAAAAGGTGTTTCTTCATTAATGAATATACCAAATTCCTCCCTTTTGGGTAGTGACAGTTTGACTAAGGTGTTGAATTCCATGCACATTAGTGGCGCTTCACAGATCTCCTTATTGAGTCCACTGTCAAGCCACCTTGCCAGCCTGGAGCCACCTAGTCTTCTGGCTGGACGAGACAACAAGGACACCCTTAAAGTCAGTGCAAAGATGAAGCTCAGAGATAACTGTGATATATCTAGTGATGTTATATGTGAGCCTATTAATGTAATACCCTCAGATTCTATCATTAATGTAAAGAACAATATTCATGAAAATCACATCAAAAGTCCAGCAAATGGCTTTTTTGGGGGCAGTGAAGAACGCAAAATAACAGTGCGCCTCATGAACACTGTGTGCCGGTGGCTCGTGGGTCAGATGGGGCGTTGCTACAATGGTGTCACACCAGAAATTTACAGGTAAATTTTATTTATTCCATAGATTTTATTATCATTGAAACACATCTAATAAATGTTCTCATTTATGCTTAATAAGGAGTAATTTCAAAACATTGATTTTTGTTTTAATCTTGTATTTGCTGTTGGTGAATAGGAGAGAAATATAAGGCACGATAACTATACATAAAATCATACAAGAATATGCAAAAATAATTGCCACAATTTCAATGAGAAAAAAACTTGCCAAAAGAACATTTGGTTTTTCCTTTGCCTTGAAATTAATAAAAACTTATTTCTCTGTTCTTTTATATTGGTACAAGTTATAATACTGTGGTACAATGTATCATTTGTTAAGTTACTGAATTCACAGCAGTTTCTTGTATTCTTTGGAGTGAAGGGTATATGTATTTATCTTTAAAAATACACATCATAATTAAATGTTTGAATTTAATATTAGGAACTCTCTCTTTCTAGATATTACTAGTTCACTTGATCAGCATTATCATAGTTATCTCTTTACATTCAGGTTCCTCCCACACTTATGTAAGTTGGAAAGTGTTGACAATGATCCAGAGCTTCGTGGTAATTGTGTGGCAACATTAGCTGTCATTAGTCAAGCTCTGGTTCTTCCTGCGCGAATCCCAGTGCTTATGGACGCCATCACACAGGTAGCAAAGAGCAGGTATGTTGACAAACATACACCAACCATGCTCTGAGTGTTGTTAAGCTGGTATTGTATAACCACACCAGTGGTGTCTGAAAATTGGTGTAATTACTTTATAGTATTTTGAATTTGGTGGATGAGTTTGGTAGAGTATGTAAAAGAAGGAAATTAAGAGTGACTATAGGAAGGAGTAAGGTGATGAGGATAACAAAAAAATTAGGTAAAGAAAGATTGGATATCAGATTGGAGGGAGAGAGTATGGAGGAGGTGAATGTATTCAGATATTTGGAAGTGGACGTGTCAGCAGATGGGTCTATGAAAGATGTGATTCATATAATTGACGAGGGGAAAAAGGTGAGTGGTGCACTGAAGTCTCTGGAGACAAAGAACTTTTTCCGTGGAAGCAAAGAGGGGAATGTACGAGAGTATAGTTATACCAACGCTCTTATATGGGTGTGAAGCATGGGTGGTGAATGTTGCAACAAGGAGAAGGCTGGAGGCAGTGGAGATGTCATGTCTGAGGGCAATGTGTGGTGTGAATAAACTATACTAGACCATACCATACCCAAACTCCAGACCGTCGCTAACGCAATGGTCTGGAGTTTTGAGACACTCTGACTGCGAGTTCAAACCCCACCTGTAGTATGGTTTGTTTGCAATCCTGTCATTACGATTTCGTGAGTCGTGCCTTGGTGTGAAAATAATGCAGAGAATTCGTAGTTTGGAAATTAAGAGGAGGTGCGGGATTACCAAAACTATTATCGGGAGGGCTAAGAAGGGGTTATTGAGGTGGTTTGGACATGTAGAGAGGATGGAATGATATAGAATGACTTCGAGAGCGTATAAATCTGTAGTAAAGGGAAGGAAGGGTAGGAGTTTGCCTAGGAAAGGTTGGAGGGAGGGGGTAAAGGAGGTTTTGTGTGCAAGGGGCTTGGACTTCCAGCAAGCATGTGTGAGCATGTTAGGAGTGAATGGAGACAAATGGTTTTTAGGACTTGATGTGCTGTGAGCAAGGTAACATTTATGAAGGGATTCAAGGAAACCGGCAGGCCGGACTTGAGTCATGGAGATGGGAAGTACAGTGCCTGCACTCTGAAGGAGGGGTGTTAATGTTGCAGTTTTATAACTAGTGTAAGCTGCCTCTGGTAAGACAGTGATGGAGTGAATGATGAAGAAAGTTTTCCTTTTTTGGGCCACCCTGCCTTGGAGGGAAATGGCCAATGTGTTAATAAAAAAAATATTTGAATTTGCACAGTAACTAATTTAATAGCTAGACAAATCTTCTGCTTTAATGAACATAACATAATCTAACATTACCCAACCAGAGTAAGGTCAGCCTATGTTTTGTATTACAGTATTTAGCATCAATAAAATTTACTAATTTTATGATGTGATTTTCACTGAGTTGATTTGTACTGAGTTAGTGCAACCATGAATCTACACTCTTGCTTGTTTGGCCTTATAGAAGAGTACAAATTGCAAATCTTACACAGGTGCAAAAATCACCAGCCTTACACAGGTGCAAGGATTGCCAGCACTGCACAAGTGCATAAATCACAAAAAGTAAAACAACAGCCTTGAACTTGTAAATATACATATAACATATAAAGTATTAAATGAACATCTCGGGAATAACACATTTATGACAACAGGTAACACACTTGCCTATAAATTTCTTCAGAAGGCTGAACCCCTCTATATAACATGTATCGAGAGGTCATAAATAGGTTTGAGGGTTAGCAGTTGTTTTGGAATGCTCTTCATTAACTAGAAGGTTAATATTGTGCTTGGTGGAGGCTGCAGGTATATGATTTAAGGATCCAGTGGTCTGGATTTCTGGTTAGAGAAAGTTAATGAACCTGACAAAACATTGACTAAAAGTATCTTGAAATATAGAATTTTGTAAATTTGATGCCAGTGATGGTAAATGAACAGGTGATTGTGTATACAGTGCTTCATAATCTGAAATTTTACTATGATTATTTTTATTTCTCTATCAACAGTTGGTGGCGTGCCCGAGCTGCAGTGTTGTCCCTGCTGCAGGTGGCTGTCTTCACCAACATGTTCACCATCCTCAGTGATGAGAAAGCAACTCAACAAGTTCAAGAGCTGGTGGTGGGTCTTTTATCTGACGTGAGGCTGGAGGTACAGCAGATGGCCTCTACTGTTCTCAGTGGACTTTTGCACTGTAAATTCATTAAGGCAGAAGATAAACTACTGGTAAGACTCTCCATCATTCTCTTTAAGGTTGTATATATAATAATGCTCTCCATGGGGAAGTGGAACAAAATTCTTCCCCTGTAAGCCATGTATGTCATAAGAGGCGACTAAAATGCCAGAAGCAAGGGGCTAGTAACCCCTTCTCCTGTATACATTACTAAATTTAAAAAGAAAAACTTAAGTTTTTCTTTTTAGATCACCCTACCTTGGTGGGATATGGCCAGTTTGATGAAAAATGAAAAAAATTAATACTGTACGGTAATTACTAGTCTGTCCTGCGTTCATTTTCCAGAATCTCGATTAACTGCCAGTTTTGGTTTTGAACAATATCTTTGACCATCCACCCACTGTCTGGATGAATATTGCAGCAATATTCAAAGTGCAATTATGTAAAAATTTATAAAAAAATCCACATCAAACAAAATATTTATTTGTAGGGAGAATTTACGTCCAAGCTACAGAATGGCCGTGAACAGAAAAGAAGACAAAAGGAGCCTTTAAAAGCCCAAGAACTTTTAGAGTTACATGCAGGAGTGTTGGGGCTGTGTGCATATGTCAGTGCCTTCCCCTATGATGTGCCTGACATGCTGCCTCAAGTGTTAGTCACACTTAGTGAACATCTCAATGACCCACATCCAATACCTGTGAGTTACATTTTAATTTTCTAAAATAATTTCATTTTATTTAACATTTTTAAAGCTAAAAAAATCAAGCTGTAATGATCTGAACTGATTATATATAATTTTTAGATGTATTTTAGTACATGTAGTGTGTGATATTGAAGTGAGAGAATCCTCTACACATCCTCTGTGTAATTCCACTAAGAGGTTTTATATACAGTATTCTTGCATTAATTTCTTTAGTTTTATTCCCTTTTTTTCAACACAGACCTTTTCAGGTTTAGTGCTTCATTTGATTATTATTGTTAATGGTTTTGCATGGCTTAGTTTCATTATATGTCTCTTACCATTCTTCCTTTGCATATAAATTTTTCTCAAATCATCTAATCTGTGCATTTTTTTTTTAACTTATTTTCTTGCCGGCTCATTTGTTTTTGTTTATTAGATCAGGGTTGGATAAATTGAACCTTCAGGAAAACTATCACATCAGTTCATGTATTTTGTTATTCTGTAATTTTTTGATTGCTTTATAGTATTTTTAATTTACATATATCCCCAAATGTCTAGACATGTACCGCTTTAAGTGATTATGTGCCATCCACTTTGTATAAGAAATAGAGTATTGCATCTACATTTTTATCTTCACAACAGGCAACTATCAAAAAGACCCTTAGTAATTTTCGACGAACACATCATGACAACTGGCGAGACCACAAGCAGAAATTTACTGAGGACCAGCTGGTAGTATTGACAGATCTTCTGCTCTCTCCATCCTACTATGCCTAACATTTTATGATTTATGGTGAAAAACAATTATTCTTGAAGACAGGCTATGATAATGTGGTTTAAACTTTTATAAGCCATAGTACTGTAGAAGTACCACATCTTCACAGCCAGTTTTCTCATTAAACCTTCGTCTATGGAGGACTCTGTTTGCCAGGATGTCTGGCTTTTGTGTATGTGTATTTTGTTTTATATGCAATAAAAGGTACTGTATGGGAGGTTAATGTTAGTTGAAAATGTTAATTTTATCTTAAGAGAGCTAAAGACTGTAATTTAAATCTATGTAAATTTGTAGTTCTGAATTCAATAATTTGGAAAAACTTAGTTTTCTGCCTTTTAAGCATAAAACTGGATATATCTTAGTCTACTCATCCTATTCACAAATGTTAGGATTTGCTTATATCATTTAGTCTTGATAGGTGCAGCCCATTTGACATTATTATTTCTTTACAATTTGACATTCTTATTTCTTTCTTTACAATGAGTATATATGAATTTATAATGCAGAGCTCTTACCAAATATTAGTTGGCAGTTTAGTATGAATAATTAATATGGCATTTGAAATATCATTGCTCCTGGTGTTTTTACTTACACTGTCTATCAGTCTGAGGGATGTATTTTAACCCTTTCATTGGTCATTACATATATCTACATCATTAATGCCAGGGTTCCTCACATAATCTTCATTTTGAGCTTGGCTCCCTCAGATAAGCTATGAGCAGTAAATTTTGGCCCTAGATGTAGGAGAATGGGTCTGTGTGGTGAGTGCATACAGTATATAAAAAAAATCCTGACCCATGCAGTGCATGATGAGAAAAGCAAAACTACGACTGTTGGATTCATAATAGCAATTAGTAATTTTTATAAAAATTAGCAAAATTACAGGCTTCTGTGCACTTTATAGGTTAGTTCTGATAGTTGAATGAGTTTTTTACTTGATAAGTAGAACAGAAAGCATACTAGCAAAATGGCTAAGAGTTTGACTAAATTGAGCAATGTAATTGGCTTAAGCTAGGACTCAGGTGGCAAAATCATCAATGTGTAAATTGCACCCAGACTGCTAACATATCACCCACATAATTCTGCAAGTTTTCCATCAAATTTCATATTTTTTTTTGTCATTAACTTCAGAAAGATTCTGTGGATACTGAGCACTTTAATTTTGGGAGGATGGACAGTGAAAGGGTTAATATTTATACTCTCTCTTGTTGCAGTTTCCTGCTGCCCACATCTGGTACATGTACACACACACACACACACACTCGTGTCTTTGTCTGCCTTCCACCCTCTCCTTCCCAATCACCTCCAACATACCTTCCACCATCACCCCAGTTAAGACCTCTGTATCAACCTGTCTTGTCTCTGGTCCATCTAAGGGCACCAACCATCATACTCGATACCGTATTCAGATTTTTCATTACAACTCAAAACCAAGTTCCTTTGAGGGTAAATCACAAATCAAGCTTAACATAACTAAGCCCATTATAACTTGAGTGACCACTGTAATAGCATTATGGGTATTATCAGTGTGCTGAGTGAATCAGCAGTAGTAGTTTTTTATTCACCAACTGTACTGATGGGGATTTGGCTCTTAAGAAACTTCATTGGTTCTGAAATATGTTGGTTTTACGTGATGACTGTGGTTTCATAACTATGTATGCAGCATCTCACTTTTAATGACCAGTTTTGCATTCAGAAAATCTCATCAAATGGTAGTGAGAGCTTCCTGTGCTGGACACAGCAAATGCTGGAGTTTACTAATACAATGAGATCCAAGGAAGCTTTTAACAAGCTAGACTGCTATCAGTACTGTCAAGAACCATGTACATTACTCAGCACACTGATAATACCTATTACTACTACTCACCAATGCACAACTCAATATGATACATTTCAGATTATACTTAGGGTGAACTAGTAGGCTGACTGTAGTGCTCCTTTATATTTGCTTAACCTCTATTTACACTTTTTTCTATTCCTATATAATGTGCTACCACCAGGTATATTCTGTCAGACTTGAGACCTGCTATGAAGGTGAAACATTGTCTTAACGAAAAAATCAAATCTCCTTTTGAATGCATTATTCTTTTGTAGACATCTTGAAAATTGGTGCATGTGTTCATGCAGGTGTTTATTTCTGTTTAAGCAAGTCTTCAAGTTATGAGGTGGTGACCTAGTAGTTAAAAATGCTAAAGGCAAAAAAAAAAGTAGTGCAAGAATTAGGTTTTAAAAATAACACTAACACCACTATCTTTTTGTTTTAATCGGTAGTATTGCACAGGAAATGTTAGCTTAGTTCATAGAAACATGTCAAACAATGTAGTGTAATTTAATTTACCTAGGAATGAATGAATTTTATATTGTCTTTGAATGTTCAATACATTTACATGTAGCACTTTTTTAAATTGAACAGGATGTGTGTTAGGAAATAATTGGGTATATGGTAAAAACTTTTAATGTAAAGCATGTGAACATTATTCTTTTAAATGCACCAAGAATTTTTTTTTTTTTTTTAGATTTGGCCATCACAAAGTACAATTCATACGAAAAACTTAGGCGTGGTTATAAGTAGAACTGATGATTGGAAGGTAGAAAGTATTTGAGGTTAGATCTCAATTGCACTGAAAAACACAAGTTTTAGGACTGAACTGCTTACTGCCAGTTTTTGTATCAGGTAAATACTTTTAATATGGCCATTTTATGATGCAGAGTTTGTTTCTACTGATAAAAAGCTTTAGTAATATTTTTAAGTTACTCATGGCTGTGTTATATATATATATGAATGAAATGTTTGAAATAAATATTTACATACATTGTATATAAAACAGAAGTATTTACCATTTTATGATACCATCATTACTATTTAAGTATGTACAACATCAGGGTAACCTCATGGAGTGAATAGATACATAATTATTAAGGGAATTATACCCCGCTGCATATAATTTGCTAGCAAGCTTGGAAAATACAGAATAAATATTTTTTGTCAATGTATTTGAAACTGTATTGGTTGTAATTGGTCAATAGGGCACTAAATCTTAGATACTGCTTATGTAGGTATTTTGTAAGCTAAATTAGCACCAATATGTTGTATAGACAAGTCAAGCAGGGAAGGTTATTTGCAAATATTTATTATAGTCATAACCCCTGTTGTACAGTACTTTATCAAGGAACCAGTAAAAAATGGAGGGGGGGGGGGGGGTTGTCAGGGTATCCTAAGCAAGCTATATTGCAATCTGAATTCTTCTGCATTTCAGATACTGTATATATTTCAGTGTGAGTAATTATCATAATTATGGGGAAGCTCTAAACTCATAAGATTCATACAGAACCTGGAGAAGGGAAACACTAGGTTTGGTCTAATGAGATGTCAACTGCACTTCCTCTGGTCAAGAGCCTTTCACCAGCATCACCTTTCAAGTGAAGGGTTCTTTGTCCCAGGGAATTTGAGCTACTCCCTACTTCCTTGGATCAGATCTGCATGCCTTCTGTTTCTCAGGCACTGTATGGCACCTGTGGGTTTAGTGCTTCCTCATAAAATTCACCAGCATCAGTTTACCCTCCTAAAGTAATACTGTTAAACAGTTGGCACCAAGGAAGGTTCCTTGATGCTGGGAGGGACTCTTGATCCCAACATCAGCACGTACATAATTTGGATTTCTCATTTCCTTCCTTGAACCTGAATGCCTCCCATTCCTCAGGCATTGCATTGACTATGGGTTTAGTGCTTTTCCCTAAATAATAATTTAAACAGTTATAGTAGTGCTTCAGAAGAATTCTGGATAATTGTATCTAACTTGTGTACAGAATAGTTTGCATTTAACTATTGGACAAAAGAATGATGATAGTACAGTATTATACAGGAGATGGTGTACAGTTTTGAGAAGATAAAATTACATATCTATCTAATAGATAATTTTCCACCAAAGTTTCTTTCTCTTTTGTAAGTTTTGCAAATTTGCCTTTGTACTTTCATAGTCTAACCTGTACATGTATTTGGTATTCTGCGCTCTGATGCTTGAGCCACACTGTTTTTTGATCCTCAACTTTTTATTGATGGTCAAGTACAAGGATTATTATATTGCTTTCTGTATTAACATTGTATATAAATATATGCTTTTGTTTAAATATCCTTTGCAAATTTTTAATATTAAGCTTATATTTACATGTAGGTATATTTGCAAAAGGCATTTCAATATTTATTAATGTAACTTCCATTTCTGTTGAAAAGGTGAAATGCTGTTATGATCAAACTTGAACGTATCCCATTGTCTAGGCACTGCACAATTCCTACAGGCTTATTACTGTTTTCACAATGAGCCAAACCCACATCGGTTGTAAAATGCTGCAAGTCTGGGGAAAACTACTGAGAAATGGAGTTTAGCACTTCTTTTTTATTATAATAATAATACCAAGAAATGGAAATAATGCGATATACTTGTGAGCTAAAGAGGAAAGTCAAAGCTAGCATAATGAGTGCTGTAATTTCAATAAAAAGGTCGGATTATCTGCATTAAAGTTAGGATTCTGTGGAAGGAAAAGCAGACAGACTTCAAAATCAAAAGAAGTCCGACAATCAACAAGACTCGATAAGTTTCACAACAGCCATCTCTCCATGTGATAGGTGAAAGTCTTACAGGGGGGGGGGGGGCTATATGCAGTCGTGCAAAAAGTTTCCCCAAACACAACAGCAATTAAGTTATGAACTAAAAACCAAACTCCAGTTTGATCAAGAACAGCTTATTTTCTAACCAGGACCAACACTGCTATTAATCCTGAATGCTCAAAGACAAAGCTGGAAAACAGTCTGAATAGGGCAAATCCCTGCAAGATGGACTCCTGAATGTGCAGAAGAATCCTTGCCCTAGTCACCAGAATAAGCAGCAAAAGACTGGGTCTACTTGCTGAACAGGAGACAGCCAGCATTGAACTTCAAGGACAGTGGAGTGTAACAAATCAAATTGAATAGCCAGAAATTACAATACAGGAAGTGGGAAGAGAACACTGTGAATGATAGCTGTGGGAAGTGTATAACACTGCCATGAAGACTGGTCAAATCTGGTGTGTACCACATCTGGAAAAAAAAACAGCTGCATATCACACACCATCAGAGGATTGAGAACCATCAGTGTACACCAGTAGCATGTAACTGAAAATGCTGAAAGTGCATGGTCTTATCAGTGAAAAGATACTATGAAAAGGAAAGGAAGGAGGAACATGCTTGAACTATTAGGACCACCCAAGGTGGAACAGAAAAGAAATGGTATATAGATGGGGGACAGACTGAGTGAAGAAACCAGAGTTTGAAAGCAGAGATTAAAAGTGTTATCCTTGCTAACTTCTGATTCTTTGGGTCTTCAGGTTTAGTATTTACCCATGAATTATGGAAGCATAATCATGCAATGCCTGTTGATACAAAAGAGAAGGGTAGCATCAACTCCTTGAATGAAGAGCCTTTTGCCAGTATAAAGCTGTTAGCAATGTGCACAAAAAAAAATAATGAGGTCTAGTTACAGGGCTTCAAGGTGAAGAACCCCTCAAGGAAGGTTCCTTGATGTTGGTGAGGGGCTCTTGATTTAGGGAATTGGATCTGTGCTCCAGTTCCCTGAATTAAGCCTGAATGCCTTCCACATCCCCCCCCAGGCGCTGTATAATCCTCCGGGTTTAGCGCTTCCCCCTTGATTATAATAATAATAATAATCAAGGTGAAGAATACTGTAAAGAACATACACTAAATAAATTCTAAGGTGAAGACCTTTGGTGGCTGTATAGAGCATAAATATATGCTACTGCAGTGCTGTTTCTTTATATACAATGGACCCCCCGGTTAACGATATTTTTTCATTCCTGAAGTATGTTCAGGTGCCAGTACTGACCGAATTTGTTCCCATAAGGAATATTGTGAAGTAGATTAGTCCATTTCAGACCCCCAAACATACACGTACAAATGCACTTACATAAATACAGTGGACCCCCGCATAGCGATATTAATCCCTGCAAGAGAGCTCATTGTTATGCGAAATTATCGTTATGCGAATGAATTTTCCCCATAAATAATGGAAATCAAATTAATCCGTGCAAGACACCCCAAAGTATGAAAAAAAAAATTTTTACCACATGAAATATTAATTTTAATACACACAAACTGAAAAAGGCATGCACAATTACACGACACTTATTGAAGATCTGGTGATGATTGACGGGATGGGAGGAGGAGAGTGTGTTAGTGTTTAGAAGGGGAATCCCCTTCCATTAAGACTTGAGGTGTCAAGTCCTTTTCTGGGTTTACTTCCCTTCTTCTTTTAATGCCACTAGGACCAGCTTCAGTCACTGGAGTTCTGTCGCACAACATATCTGTCCATAGTGGCCTGTACCTCTCGTTCCTTTATGACTTCCGTAAAGTGTTTCACAACATTGTCAGTGTAATAGTCACCAGCACGGCTTGCAATAGCTGTGTGAGGGTGATTTTCATCCATGAAGGTTTGCACTTCAAGCCACTTTGCACAGATTTCCTTAATCTTTGTAGTAGGCAATTTCTTCAATTTCTCTCTCCCCTCCTTCGAACCAGTTTCCTCAGGTCTGGCCTCTTGCTGTTGAAGTTGATCTATCAGCTCATCAGTGGTTAGTTCTTCATTGTCCTCCTCCACCAACTCTTCCACATCATCCCCACTAACCTCCAACCCCAAGGACTTTCCCAATGCCATAATGGATTCCTCAACTGGCATAGGATTCTCAGGGTTAGCCTGAAACCCTTCAAAATCCCTTTGGTCTACACATTCTGGCCACAGTTTCTTCCAAGCAGAGTTCAAGGTCCTCTTAGTCACTCCCTCCCAAGCCTTACCTATAAGGTTTACACAATTGAGGATATTAAAGTGCTCTCTCCAAAACTCTCCTTAGTCAGTTGAGTTTCTGAGGTCACTACAAAGCACCTTTCAAACAGAGCTTTTGTGTACAGTTTTTTGAAGTTTGCAATAACCTGCTGGTCCATGGGCTGCAGGAGAGGAGTGGTATTAGGAGGCAAAAACTTCACCTTAATGAATTTCATGTCCCCATAAAGTCGCTCTGCCACGTCTGTAGGATGACCAGGGGCATTGTCTAACACCAGGAGGCACTTAAGTTCTAATTTCTTTTCAGTTAGGTAATCTTTCACATTGGGGGCAAATGCATGGTGTAACCAGTCATAGAAAAAGTCCCTAGTGACCCATGCCTTACTGTTTGCCCTCCACAGCCACACAAAATTTTCCTTGAGGACATTCTTTTGCCTGAACGGTCTGGGAGTTTCAGAGTGATACACTAATAAAGGCTTCACTTTGCAATCACCAGTAGCATTGGAACACATCAACAGAGTAAGCCTGTCTTTCATAGGCTTATGTCCTGGGAGTGCCTTTTCCTCCTGAGTAATGTAGGTCCTGCTTGGCATTTTCTTCCAAAACAGGCCTGTTTCATCACAAACACTTGTTCAGGTTTCAGTCCTTCAGTTTCTATGTACTCCTTGAATTCCTGCACATATTTTTCAGCTGCTTTGTGGTCCGAACTGGCAGCCTCACCATGCCTTATCACACTATGTATGCCACTACGCCTCTTAAATCTCTCAAACCAACCTTTGCTGGCCTTAAATTCACTCACATCATCACTAGTTGCAGGCATTTTTTTAATTAAATCCTGATGCAACTTCCTAGCCTTTTCACTTATCACTTGAGAGATGCTGTCTCCTGCTATCTGTTTCTCATTTATCCACACCAATAAGAGTCTCTCAACATCTTCCATCACTTGTGATCTGTTTCAAAAACACAGTTAAACCTTTGGCAAGAACAGCTTCCTTGATTGCCTTTTTGTTGCCCACAATAGTAGCGATGGTTGATTGGGGTTTACTATACAACCTGGCCAGCTCGGAGACACGCACTCCACTTTCATACTTATCAATGATCTCTTTCTTCATCTCTATAGTAATTCTCACCCTTATTGCTGTAGGGTTGGCACTAGAAGCTTTCTTGGGGCCCATGGTCACTTATTTTGCAGATAAAAATCACCAGAAACACTGTAATAATACGAAATGTTCCGATTGTATGCTTGGATGTTACCGCGGAGGCTGGCTGGTAAACAATGCCACCGGCGGAACATGTGAGGCTGGCTAAGGGCGCACATTAGACGCGTCTCGGACGAACAGCGTTGAGCGGGTTTTTTAGCGGTATGCGAGGCAAAATCTTGGCGATAAAATGTAGCGGTATGCAGATTTAACGTTATGTGATGCCAACGGTATGCGGGGGTCCACTGTACACTTACATAATTGGTCGCATTGGGAGGTGGAATATTGTGAAGTAGATTAGTCCATTTCAGACCCCCAACACACGTACAAATGCACTTACATAAATACACTTACATAATTGGTCGCATTGGGAGGTGATCGTTAAGCAGGGGTCCACTGTACTACCACAACTAATTCATTCACTATTACGACTACCACCACATCATTATTTCTATTACCTCTACTGCTGCTACAACCATGACTCATCTTCCCTATTAAAAAGTATTGTACATTCATGGTAACACTGACCATCAATGTCAAGTGCTGTGCCAGTCTTCCAGCTTAGCTCTTTGGTGATGGGCTCTTGATCAAGGAATTGAATCTGACCTACCTGACTTGCCTCCCATTCCCCAAGTGCTGTATGACCCTTAGGGGTTTGGAACCTCTACATGATAATCTTCCCATTAATAAAAGTATAATAATCATTTACGAATCATACAGCACCATACTGCAGTGAAGTACAAGTTGGAACTGGGAAAATATGGTTAGTTGACATAAAAATTTGGCTAAGATCCACTAGTTTTAAAACCAACTGTGCGCAATGTGCAGACAAGTTACACAAATAACCCGCACATAGAAGAGAGGAGCTTACGACGACGTTTCGGTCCGACTTGGACCATTTAAAAAGTCTCTCTAACCAGAAGTGGAGCAGGACGGCTATATATAGGCAGGAAGAGGTAGTGGTGGTGGTGGTGGTGGTAGTAGTAGTAGTACTACCACTACTACCACCACTACCTCTTCTTGCCTATATATAGCTGTCCTGCTCCACTTCTGGTTAGTGTGACTTTGTAAATGGTCCAAGTCGGACCGAAACGTCGTCATAAGCTCCTCTCTTCTATGTGCGGGTTATTTGTGTATCGTTCCAGTCACGGTATTGTACCTTTTTTTTTATTTGTAGACAAGTTTTCAAAGGACTAAAGCATTGATAAACTATTTGTCTTAACAGAACCTAAAAAGTGCGGATGCTTGCTTGGTCCTAGCCAAATACATCTCGTTAATCATCTAGACATTAACTAGTTTGTAAGCCAAAAGCCAACTCACAACTTTAGCAGTTCTTTGGGGTCCACATTCCACAAGCAAGTCATGAGCCTAAAATACACAAACTGCATTTGGGCAGAAACCAAACATCATTTGTATGAGCAAGCCATAACCCACCATAAATTACATTACATTCTTGGGAAAGGCCACAATGTCTCAATGTAGGGTCACTCAACAAAGATCCCATATAATCAATTTTCCCTCAGATGGAATGACCCAATCACCACAGCACTACTAATTGAAGCTACATTAGAATGGGACAAAGCAATACCTTGCCATTCTGCCTGGGAACTGGCACTTCACAAAAGAAAAAAAGCTCCCCACTAATGAAGCTAAATGAAGACCCCTGCACTACCCACTGCACTTCATAACCTAATAATCATCCCTTTCCCACTTGTTATCCATTATCCCTGCATCCTTCCCTGCCCTGCTGCACTGTATAACCCTTGTGGTTTAGCATTTCTTTTTGATTATAATAATAATAATAAATGGAGAAGAGGGGTGGGGGTATTTAGTTTCTGAGGAAGAGGAGGAAATGTCCAGTTTCTAGGATCAAGAGCCTCTTTGCCATGGCTAGGGAGTGACACTCAGCAAAAGCTTTCTCAAGCAATCAGTTTACACCAGGAAATATACTTGTGAAAAAAATACTTCGATATAATATGGTCTTTCCTTTTATTTAAACATTTACATCAACACTTTACCTTTGATTTTCTAACAGAACACCCTGCCATTATCTGAAAAACAAAGCAAATAATATTAGTAAAAAAAAGAGAAAAGCAAAGGTTGGCAGATGAGTTTGGCAGGGTATGTAAAAGAAGAAAACTGAAAGAGTAAGGTGATGAGGATAAAAAGAAGAAAACTGAAAGAGTAAGGTGATGAGGATAACAAAAAAAAATTAGGTAATGTAAGATTGGATATTAGATTGGAGGGAGAGAGTATGGAGGTGAATATATTCTGATACTTAGGAGTGGATGTGTCAGCAGATAGGTCTATAAAGGATGGGGTGAATCATAGAATCGATGAGGGGAAAAGGGTGAGTGGTGCACTTAAAGTCTGTGGAGACAACGTTGTCCATGGAAGCAAAGAGGGGAATGTACGAGAGTATAGTTATACCAATGCTCTTATATGGGTGTGAAGCATGGGTGGTGAATGTTGCAACAAGGAGAAGGTTGGAGGCAGTGAAGATGTCATGTCTGAGGGCAATGTGTGGTGTGAATACATGTATAATGCAGAGAATTCGTAGTATAGAAATTAGGAGGTGTGGGATTACCAAAACTATTATCGAGAGGGTTGTTGAGGTGGTTTGGACCTGTAGAGAAGATGGAACAAAATAGAATGACTGAGTGTGTAAATCTGTAGTGGAGGGAAGGCAGGGTAGGGGTCAGCCTAGGAAAGGTCAGAGGGAGGGGGTAAAGGAGGTTTTGTGTGTGAGGGGGCTTGGAAACGCTAAATCTACAGGAATTATATAGCACCAGAAAATGAGGGGGAATTCAAGTTTGATCTAAGTCAAAGTGTTTTCTTTGCAAAGGTTACAATGTGTGATTACATTTTTATAATTAGTTAAGCACAAAGAAAGCCACTATCATGCTGGGGCATTTCGGGCAGGCTAATCCTAATACTTAAGACTACTTAAGCCTAGACACGTTAAGAGTGGTTAATTTTTAAAAATTCATTTTCAAAAATTCATTATTTTTAGTTAATGTGGATGATAGCTTCAGTTCTTGGATCTGGAGCCTTTCACCAGCATCAAGGCACCTACCTCCCTTGAGGAAAAAAGGCTCAAGTACGTTCATCTAACTAGGATGGCATCTTAACACCCCACCTTTTTATATATGTACATCGTTTTTTTTTTCCCAGCATAACACTAACACTACTTCATGCAAAATCGCCACTATCAATATTATCATCATTAAGAGAACATGGATATACAGTACAGTATAAAAATTGCACACTAGAACAATGTACAGACTAACCACTATACTAAAATTTGCAAATAATCACTTGCACTCTAATTTTTATTACCTTTCTCTTCCTGATACTTGCCCTTCTTGTATATGGTATAACAGTACATTTATAGAAACCACTAAACCCACATGGTTGTACAGAGCATTATATTTATGGAAAGGACTAAACCAATGTGGTTTTATAGTGCTATTCATCATATTTAAGAAAAACACTAAACCTATGGGTTTATATAGAGCTATCTATTATATTTATGAAGCACACTAAACTTATATGGTTATACAGCATAGGGCTCCAGAAATTTTTACAAAACTAATATGAACCAACTTAGAACAATACAACAATTAGCATTATTGTACTGTGGACCACCAGTTATACAACTTCTCACACAATAAAGTAATAATTAATATGTCCATACCTTAAATAAGCCATGTACTGTACAATATATATAGAACCATCAGTGTTCACTTCTTGAGTAACTGATGACGAACAAGAATGAACGGCAAGGCCAAACCGGAGCCAAAGAATAACACGTATGTTGCAGTGAAGCGAATTCTGTTCTCGATTTGGAAGGGGAGATTCTGAAAGAAAAATACATACGCCCGTCAAATTTTTATGGGAATAATAAGCACGAATATTTTCAAAATATTAACAGCAATGTGTGAAATGAAACAAGAAAACATGGTGTCTTTTTGCTCGTGAAGGGCTCTTGATCAAAGGAAGTGGAGTTACCCATTCTTCCCTGGATCAAACCTGATTTTCCTCCCATTCTAAAGGCACTGTATGACCCCTATGGGTTTAGTGCTTCCCCATGTATAATGCAATAGCAGCAGTTCAAGTAATTTAGGCAACATGTTGAACAGGTTGAAGAAAGTCTGCTGGAGTGGTGTAAGTTTATTTAGGTAGTAGTACACACAAGTACAATTATCATGCACAATAAATTACCTAGGATAACCCAAGTAGTATTTTACTTGCCTAATACACACGTATTAGCGGAGCAACCAGAATTTAACCTGATGGGAAGGAGGAAAGGGTGAAGACTTGAGCCATGATTTCAATCTGGGATGGGCTTAAAAATCACATGCAGAAAATTTCTAAGAAATTTAAAAAATCACTGCAAAATTTATTAAATTCATGCTTTCATGGTTACTGGGCAATACAAGTTAAAATAAACCATTAATTGGAAAAATGCAGGAAGTTACTCACAAAATTGTAATGACACGATGGCAAACAAACCATATCACAGGCGGGAATAGAACCAGCGGTCAGAGAATCATAAAGCTCCAGACCTACAAGTTAGCCACTGGGCCAGGAAGTATTTGTACATATCCCATAGCTTGATTGCTAGTGCACTCAGCTCTCACACTGAGGTCCGAGGGTCAATCCCCAGTACAGGTGGAAACATGACCTAGTCTGCCTGAAACACTCTGCATAACAAGGGGCTTTCTATATAGTAGCATGTCACTGATGTCAGCTAGGCCTGTATACCCTGTACATGTACTTGTATTATTATGTGGGGCTTTAGTTCCTTTAGTCCTTCCCCACAGCAGCAGCAGCACCACCACCATCAGTGAAGTTAATAACTACTCCAAATCATTATACAAATGTACTGTACTGTACATAAGGTTTGGCGCTTCCTTTTGATTATAATAATAATGCACTGTACTTACATACAATAATTTTAAAATCCATTTTATGCGAAAAATTTTGTCTACACATACCTACTCTGAGACCATTAACTATGATGCATTAGCAAGGATATCAAATATTCAGCACATTTAATAACATAAGCATTTATTATAGTGATGTTCGGCACATCAATTCCGTCTTTCATATCTCAGTAAGTATTTAGGTACAGGTGCACAAACGCAATCATCGTACATAGCAACATGTGTATATTAATTAGTACACACAAGCCAAAAGTCAGACAGTGACTTATTTCCACTGGAGTCCTTTTAATATCTTATTATTTAAAGCCCAGCTGTAAATGTTTAAAAAATTTTAGGCTGAGAATGTGAAACACATGAAGCAAAGCACGCCTTTATATTAACATGTTGTGCCTTAAACACGACTTATCTAGTCTATATGATGACAGGTAAAGTATGAGTTATCAAATTACCATCAGGTAACTAATATCCAGGTACCTACTTTACTGCTAGGTAAACAGGGTCAGCAGGTGTCTTAAGGAAACATGTGGTAGTGTTTCCACCCATACTGGGGATTGAACCACAGACCTCGGTATGCTACCAATCAAGATACGGAACACCATAGCTCAGTGGCAGCTTCAGTGACTTAAAACATACATTAACATAATTTAGGTTAAGATATATTAAGTTAGTGCTTTTGAGTGCTTTGTAGGATTATCCTACAAAATTAACAATGATGTAAATGGTTTAGAAAACTAACAAGTTGAAGAATGACACAGTTGTGCAACATCTGGAAAATTTTATGCTGGAACCCAGTAGCCACTGGCAGGTGAAACATAAGAAGGAACACTGCAGCAGGCTTACTGCCCATATGAAGGAGGTCCAAATCACCTACCGGCCTAAGCCACTGACCCAAGCTAGTCAGGTCCAACTCACACCCACTCATGTATTTATCTAACCTATTTTTAAAACTACACAATGTTTTAGCTTCAATAACAGTACTCGGGAGGTTGTTCCACTTATTTCCTCAGTAAAGATTCCTAAATGTTGCACAAGTGCAAGTTTATTTAGGTAAACTCCAGGTGCAGTTACACAAATTATCATACATAGTAATACATGTAAATTACCTAGGATAAGAAAATGTCTGATTTGTTTCCACTGTGCACTGGGGTCTAATGGACCCCACTGGGGTCTAATGGCCCCCACTGGGGTCTAATGGACCCCACTGTGGTCTAATGGACCCCACTGGGGTCTAATGGACCTCACTGGGGTCTAATGGACCCCACTGGGGTCTAATGGACCCCACTGGGGTAAGGGACCCCACTGGGGTCTAATGGCCCCCCACTGTGGTCTAAGGGACCCCACTGTGGTCTAATGGACCCCCGGGGGTCAAATTGGGCCCCACTAGGTCAAATGGACCCCACTGTGGTCTAATGGAACCCCACTGGGGGTTCTCCTCATTTTTCCCAATTTACACTATGAAAAATTGCACTTCATAACCTGTAGTTAAAAAAACTATATTCAAGAAGGGAAAATTTTCAAATTTTTAAAAAAAAATTATTAAATTTCATGGCGGGGGGGGGGCGGGGGCGGGGGGGGAATTTCAACTCCATAAAAAAATACCAGATTATTAGTGTATTTCGGGGAAGCGCTAAATCCGTGGGGCTACAATTTTTTTTGGGGAGGTAAGTAACTGGCAGTAAGGTTCGATCCAAGGAACGGGAGTTAATTGTTTGGATCACAACCCGATCAGCGCTGTAGGGCCCTTGGGGGTTTAGCGCTTGTTAAAATTTTTTCCCCCAAAGAAAATATCGATTGTGATTCAAAAATAATCAATCAACGATTGGTCACTGGTGGGGAATCTTGTTTTCCCAAAGAACGGAGGGGGCTCAAATACTTGGTCAAAGCCCCCCACTCCAATTTTAAAGGGGAAAAATTTAAATTAGGTTTAAGTGTACAGACACCAGAGTCAGCGAGGCCGAGATAATGATGTTTTTTATGGAGAATAAGGTTAAAAAAATGAGAGAATAATATTCTTCAGCCCAGGAACACCTCCAGCACCTCCCGGTAGGCAAGGTCTAAGGCGAAAACTTGTGACACCCTTGTTTTAAAAAACAGAGGGGCGGTGCTGGTGAAGTTTCTCACATAAAGGTCGCCACAACAGGCTCTCCTTCCCCATCTCCCCACCCCACCCCCTTCCCTCCCCACTATCCCCCCCCCCACCACCACCACCTCCCTCCCCCCCACCTTCCCCCCCCCCCCTCCACCCCCTCCCTCACCTCCCCCCCAACCCCTCCCCCCTCTCTCCCCCCCACCACCCCCCTTCCCCCTCACCTCCCCCCCCCACCACCCCACCTCCCTCCTCCTCTCCCCCCCCACCACCCTTCCCCCTCATTTCCCCCCACCACCCCACCTTCCCCCCTCCCTCACCTCCCCCACCACCACCCTTCCCTCCCCCACTCTCCCCCCCACCACCTTCCCTCCCCCTCTCACCCCCACCCCCCCCACCTCCCTCCCCCCACTCTCCCCCACCACCCCCTTCCCTCCCTCCCCTTCCCCCCCCCCCACCTCCCCCCCCTACCCCCCCCCCCACCCCTTCCCTCCCTCCCCTCCCCCACCACCCCCTCCCCTCCCCCCTCCCCCCCCACCACCTCCCTCCCCACTCTCCCCCCCCACCCCTTCCCTCCCCTCTCCCCCCCCCCCACCACCTTCCTCCCTCACCCCCCCCCCACCACCCCCTCCCTACCCCCCCCCCCCCCACCTTCCCTCCCCACCTCCCCCCCCCCACCTTCCCTCCCTCACTCTTCCCCCCCATCACCTTCCCCCTAACTTCCCCCCCTTTTCTCTCCCACCCCCCCTAAACTTTAATTCCCTCCCCCTTACCTTTTAATTTTCCCCAAATTTTCCATTCCCCTTTATTTTTTTCCCCTTCCCTATTTCACCCCCCCTAAATTCCCCATTTAAATTCCCCACCCCCAAAAAACCCCCTACCCCCCTATTCCCCAATTAATTTCCCCATTCCCAAATCAACCTTCCCTTTTTCTTCCCCACCTTCCCAAATCCCCCACCTTTAACTTCCCCAATTCTACTCCCCCTATTCCCTAAACTTTCCCAAATTTTCCTTTTCCCCCCAAACTTCCCCAACTCTCCCCACCTTCCCTTTTTCCCCATTTAATTCCCCCATTTATTCCCCCCCTTTTCCCAACCCCCAAAATTTTTTTTAAATTTAAAACGAAATTTACTTCCCCCCCCCCCCATTTCCCAACCTCCCCCTTAACCCCCACCCCCCAAAATTCCCCCCACCTTTAATTTTTTCCCCCCCCTTTCCTCTATTCCCAAATTCCCCACCCCTCTCCCCCCCTTTCCTCCCCCCCCCCAACCCCCCACCTCCCTCCCTTTTCCCCCCCCTTTCCCCCCACCCCCCAACCCCCCCCCTACTTCCCCCCTTTCCCCCCTCCCCCCACCTTCCCTCATTTCCCCCCCCCACCTTCCCTCCTCCCCCCCCCAACCCCCACCCCCCTAACCTCCCCACCCCCCTACCCCCCAACCCCCCACCTCCCTCCTTTCCCAAATTTCCCCCCCACCTTCCCCCCCCCATTTCCCTAACCCCCCCCACCTTCCCTTTTTCCCCACCTCCCTCCCTCTCCCCCCCTTTCCCCAACCTTTCCCCCCCTTCCCTCACTCTCCCCACTTCCCCCTCCCCACCCCCTCACCTCCCCCCTCCCAAACCTCCCCCCTTCCCTCCTCCCCACCTTCCCTAACTCTCCCCCTTCCCTAACCTCCCCCCTTCCCTTTTCTCCCCCCCTTCCCTCATTTCTCCCCACTTCCTAACCCCCCCCACCTTTCCTAACTCTCCCCCACCTTCCCCCTCCCCCCCACCTTTCCCTACTCTCCCACCTTCCCTCACTCCCCCCCTCCCAACCCCCACCCCCCCCTAACTCTCCCCCTTCCCTAAACCCCCCCACCTTCCCCCCAACTTCCCCCCCCCCCCCTCATCTCCCCACCTTCCCTCTCTCCCCACCTCCCTCACTCCCCCCACCTTCCCTCTCCCCCCTTCCTCACCCCCCCCTCCCTAACTCTCCCCCCCTTCCTAACTCTCCCCCTTCCCTAATTCCCCCCCTTCCCTAAACCTCCCCCCCTTTCCCTCACCTCCCCCCCTTCCCCAACTTCCCCCTTCCCCCCCTCTCCCCCCTAATTCCCACCTTCCCTAACTCTCCCCCTTCCTAACCTCCCCCCCTTCCCCTCACCCTCCCTTTTAACCCCCCACCTTCCCTAACTCTCCCCCCCTTTCCCAACTCCCCATCTTCCCTCACCCCCCCACCTTCCCCCCCCTCCCCCCCCTTCCCTAACTCTCCCCACCTTCCCTCACTCTCCCCCCCTCCCTAACTCCCCCCACCTTCTCACTCCCCCCCCTTCCCCCTCTCCCCCCCTCCCTAATCCCCCCACCTTCCCTACTCCCCCCCCCCCCTAACTCTCCCCCCCCTTTTCCCTACTCTCCCCCCCCCCTTCACTCTCCCCCCCTCCCTTTACTCTCCCCCCTTCCCCTAATTCCCCCCCCCTAATTCTCCCCACCTTCCCTAACTCTCCCCACCTTCCCTAACTCTCCCCACCTTCCCTCACTCTCCCCCTCCCTAACTCTCCCACCTTCCCCCCATCCCCCCCCCTTCCCTAACTCTCCCCCCTTTCCCAAAATCTCCCCATTTTTCCCCTAATCTCCCCCCCTTTCCCTAACCTCCCCACCTTCCCTAATCTCCCACCTTCCCTAACTCTCCCCACCTTCCCAAACTCTCCCCCCCTTTCCCAAAAATCCCCCCACCTTCCCTCACTCTCCCCCCTTTCCCTAACCCCCCCACCCCCCCTTCCCCATTTCCCCCCACCTTCCCAAAACTCTCCCCCCCTCCCTAACTCTCCCCCCCTTCCCTAACCCCCTCCCCACCTTCCTAACTCTCCCATTTCCCTCACTCTCCCCCCCTTCCCCAAAAATCTCCCCCCCCTTCCCTCACTCTCCCCCCCCAACTCTCCCCACCTTCCCTAACTCTCCCCCCTTCCCTAATCTCCCCCTTCCCCTAACTCTCCCCCCTTCCCTAACTCTCCCCACCTTTCCCCCCCCCCCCAACCCTCCCCACCTTCCCTCACTCTCCCCCCCTTCCCTAACTCTCCCCCCCTTTCCCTCACTCTCCCCCCTTCCCTAAATTCTCCCCCCTCCCTAATCTCCCCACCCCCCTAACTCCCCCCCACCTTCCCTAACTTCCCCCCCCCACCTTCCCCCCACTCTCCCCCTTCCCAAACTCTCCCACCTTCCCTCATCTCCCCCTTCCCTAACCTCCCCCCCTTCCCTAACTCTCCCCCCCTTTCCCCTAACCTCCCCACCTTCCCCTAATCCCCCCCCCCTCATTTCCTCCCTAGAAGTTTATTCGGGTTTTCAAAAAATCCATTACAAGATTATATATTTTTGCTTATTTTTTTTAAGTTAATTTTAAAAGCTGTCCAAAATGCTCTTAATAAAAAAATTTTGGCATTCTCCCAATCACTAATTTTTTGTACAACTTTTATCATGTACAAATAAAAAATAAAAAAAATTTTAGCCCCCATTCCTTTCTCCCCCCTTATCTCCTTTCCTTTCTCTTTCTTCCTTTCACTAACTTCTTCTCTTCCTCTATCCCCTTTTTTTTTTCCTCTCCTCTTATCTCTTTCTCTCTCATCTCAATCTCTTTTTTTCTCTTCCTCTCATTCTTTTTTCTCTCTTTTCCTCTTACTTCCTGTTTTTACACACAGTATTACAAGGTTAGTTTATGTTCCTACTTTTATTTACAAGCTATGAGCTGTTACCGGTTGTTAGGTAAGACACATATGCAACAGTTAGGTATCCTTATTTCGAAACGTTTCGCCTACACAGTAGGCTTCTTCAGTTGAGTACAGAAAAGTTGATAGAAGCAGAAGATACTTGAAGACGATGAATCAGTCCATCACCCTTGAAGTTTTGAGATGGTCAGTCCCTCAGTCTGGAGAAGAGTATTGTTCCATAGTCTGAAACAATATGGAGTTGAAGTGACAGGATGGAGCCTTATATAACGATGGGAGGTGAGATGTAGGCCACTAGTAGAGGTAAGAATGTAGTCATTGGAAGGTCAGGTCCCACTCAAATCCAGCCATTCTCACTAGTAGAAGTTGACAAAGTTGATTTCAGGTCTGTTACCTACATCACCTCATTTGTAAGCATTTTTATTCTTATAAGACATAAATAGGTAACTCTCTCTTTCACACACACACACACAGGAGCTATGACTAGACCCCTGCAACCACAACTAGGTGAGTACACACACACACACACCTAAAATTAAAATCCTCTTTTTCTGTTTTTGTTATTATTATTATTACTGTTGCCATTTTTATTATTGTTATAATAAAGTTAAGCAATAAACACAGCAGTATTATCGATAGCTGTTATGTTTCTGTTCTGATTAATATTAGAAGGGGGCGGGAACGGCAGTAATAATAATAATAATAGCAGCAGCAGCGGCAGCGGCAGCGGCGGCGGCAGCGCGCGGTGGCGGCGGCAGTGGCGGCAACATTGGCAGCGGCAACAGTGGCAGCAGCAACAGCAGCAGCAACAACGGTGGCAGCAGCAGCAACAACAGCAGCAGCAGCAGCAGCAGGAGCATCAGCAGCAGCAGCAGGAGCATCAGCATCTTCAGTAACTGCAGCATCATCAGCAGCAGCAGTAGCTGTAGTAACAGCAGCAGCAGGGGTAGCAGCAATGGTAGCAGCAGCAGCAGTAGTAGAAGCAGCAGCAGTGGTAGAAAAATACACAAATAACCTGCATATAGGAGAATGAAACTTACGATGACGTTAATGGCCCCAGTTAGACCAAAATGCTGTCATGAGTGCATTATTCCAGTCATGATATTATGTCCTTTTTATTCTTTCTATAAATAAAATTATCATACTCCAGAAATACTGAAGCTCTTTCATACTGCCCTCACTGCTACTGGGAGGGTAAGGCAGATTACACAGTCAAACTGCAAACTTTTACCAACTGGTTTTGACTACCATGCCCTCACTTAGCTGGGAATGGAGGCCCACACTCTGCTTGCTAGGAATAGGGTTTAATTCCTTCCTCAGCCAAACATGAAATACCCCATTCTGCTTAGTTATACTGATTGGGTACTGTCTCTGCCCACAAGCATAGTGAACCTGTGTTTTAACTTTTAGTGATTGAGGTGTTGTAGTTCTAACTGTATTTTAGCTGTCAAAAGCATGGTCTGTGAAGTCCTGTTGTAAGACTGTATGAGGGATGGCAATGGTCCCATAGCATGAAATGAAGGTGGTATGTCACTGTTAAACCACCACAGTCCTGCCAATGGTGTGAAAATGCCTTACTTTTATCTGTTAAGTCAACATTGTTAACTTTGATGATGAGAATTTTGCTTTTATTAGAGGATGGAAAATGTCATGGCCATGATTCGTTGTTTGTGTTGCAGAGTTTTTGTCCAATGTTTTTCAAAAATTCCTGTTGGTGGGAGAAGTTTCCAAGTGGTCTGTTTCTTACAGTGTAATCAAGGTATGTGCAATCTGTTAGCAATGACTCTTGTCTTCTGTTGTCTCTTGCCAGATGGCTTCAAGCCATTCTATCCTTTTGTGCGGAAGATCTGTGAATCGTGTTTTGTCATGGGGAAAGCTGGTTCCCTAGTCAAGGTAAAGCAGGCACCAAATGTGATAGGTAGAATATCAAATCCAATTTTGGACAAAAGTGGTTGCCCAAAAGCAGGTCCTGGTTTTTAAAAGGGCCCATCACCATTTGGGATTGGTAAACAGTACTGTAGACACTTAAGATACAGGAGAATAAGATAATGTCACAATCATCCTAAAAGTATAAACAGGGTAAAGAGAGGGTAGGGGCTCTGAGAATAAAAAAAAACACGTACCTACTCTAAGCCAATCACCTCCACTGCAATCATCATGCTGTTCTTCCCTGGGAACCACCTCCTATCCTATTATTATCATTATTATTTGGTGTACAGCACCAGGATGGTACCTCTAGAAGTGGCTGAACACAAATTAGCAAAATTGCCTGCTTAGAGATCACTAACTGTGCTAACACTGATGATAAGTGAAGTGGAAAGAATGCCAAGAATCCTACACCTGTAGTTACTACTCCTGGAGCCACAAGCAACCTCCAGTAGTACATCCTCCATCAGAGGGTCTCACCAGTTGACCCTCCAATATCTCAACAGAGGATCACCTGATATGTAATACGATGATTCATTTTCCACCAGGTGGCATAACACAACCACCACAGTACTAAGACAAGTCACATTAGAACAGGGCCTATAGTGATTCATTTTCTCACTTTCTAGTAAAATTTTACAAAAGGAAAAATATCTCTATTAACAAGGCCAAAAGGAAAGGAAGGGTTTGAGTTGTTTAGATTAAACACAAGGAAGGGAAGGTCCATTTCCTCAGATCAAGAGCCCCTTTGCCACTGAAGGAGAGATCTTCTTCAACAAACTAGCCATATCCCACTGAAGCAGGGTGACTCAAAAAGAAAAACAAAAGTTTCTCTTTTTAACTTTAGTAATGTATACAGAAGGGGTTACTAGCCCCTTGCTCCCTGAAGGAGAGATATGGAAGGTAAATTATGAAACTTTACACTGGTTTGGAGACATAGTTTTAACCCTTAAACTGTCCAAGCAGATCTACGTTCACATGCGTAGTGCTCCAAAAGTAGATCTACTTTTTTTTACATATTTTCAAATATAACAAAAAAAAAAAGTAGATTAAAGTTTTTTTTACACGTTTTCAAACGTAAAAAAAAAAAAAAAAAGATCTACTTTTTTTACACACTTTCAAGTGTTGAAAAAATGTAGATCTACGTTTGGACAGTTTAAGGGTTAAAGGACATAAAAAAAAGAGGAAGAACAAGAAATGTGAAATAGGTTAATAGTTCAGATGAGAGCTGCTTGACTGGAGTCTAATTATTGAAACAAATGAATGACTATATAAAATTTTATTCACAATGTGAATAAACTGTTGCAAGGATGTCATTTGCTGCCTTGCAATGTGTTGAAAATGTAGTAAGAAAATATAATGTACATACTATGAATATAATGGCAGCAGTGATATATGGCAAAGCTCCGTTATATTATTGTCTGGAAGAAGATTAAAGATAAGATCTATAACCAAAAACAACAAGGTAATAAAACTGGTCAACAGCGCAAATAAACCACAGCGAGACAATAAAACAGTAGTATAAGTATATGTTAGGTAAAAGGACACATGTACAACTGTTTTACTGTTGCAATGTTTTGCTCTCTAGAAGCTTGACAAAGCTCCTGGAGAGCAAAAAATTGTCACAATAAAATGTTGAATTAGTTGCACACATGTCCTTTTACCTAACATATTGTCAGTAATTCTACCAACATTATTACGGTATGAGAGTAGTACAGCTGAGCTTCACACTTAGGCTGTCTTCAGCCTGACTGGTCAGAGACCATTAGACTGTGATTATCGGACGGAAAATTGAGTCTTCACTGCTCCTTTCACTAAATTACCCACACAGATTTTGTGCTTCATGAAATACAATCCAATACAGCTAAGCAGAATGATGAAAAATATATATTACTAATGTTATACAGTATGCTGTTTTATTATCTCCACTGGAGTTCACTTTGCTATAAGAACACTATTAATAAAAATCTAAAAAAATGAAGAGTGTCTAGTGATTATATAGAGTGAAAACAAGACAGACCTACTCCCTTGGAATAAAGAATTAAGATAATTCACACTGAATATATTGGTCTAGCAGCATTTTACATAATATATACTGAGTACATTAGTTTCATGTCAATGTTTGATCTAACATAGCACCTTGGATAATTAATTTTCACCTTCAAGTGCCAGTATATGGGCCAGGAGCTGTGAATCAACCCCTGCAACCACATATAGGTGAGTACATAGGTGAATATAGTGGGCCATTAAAAAATAAAACATTCACGAAGAATTGCTGCAATTTTACAAAACTTTTCATTATTATTATTACAATTCATGGAGTAAAAAGTGTCTTATTTCATGCATGCTTTGACAATTTGAGAAAAAATACCTGTTAACACAAATCCTTCTACAATAGTGTTTCATCATAATGGGAAATACATTTTTTTCTGTATTTATGGCAATCCAAAGAGATCTAGTAACAAATTTAGTTTATTATTCATCAATTCAATATTTTCTTGAGGAAGCTGAAATAGCCAGTCTTGTGGGAGTTGTGAATATCCAAGCAGAGCGCCCAGGACACTACCAACAACACTTGCATGAACACACACTCCATCACCACCTCTCATTATAATACGTGTAATCTGCTCTTTGAAATTATAATTTTCACTTGACAAGGAAATCATCAACAAACTTAAAGAAGTCAAAACATCACAACCATGAAGCGATTTTATATCTTTATTCAGAAATGCTGAATTAAATCTCTTCTTGTCCTTACTGTCCGAGAGATACACTTCTACAGCCTCCTTCAAGTCATTAATTAGGCAGGTGATAGAAGCAGCACCATCACCAGCTTTACCCTAAAAAATATTTACTATATTATTATTCCTGCACCTTTTATAGTATAGTACTGTGCTTTATACATTAATAAAAAAAATTCTAAATATTTCTAAAAAAAAAACATTTTTACATTATTAACATAAATCAATATATGGTACTGTACATGAATATGTCCATTCTTTCGAAATATCAAACAATACTAACTAATGTATCAATAGTTTTGAATGTATTCATTAACTAAGCAAAATTTGTACATATTGCTTGACTTTGATCCTGTATGTTACTAAGGTGTGACTACAAACTTACACTCAAGTTCAGGTCCATAAATTTACACCAAGTTCAAGTCAACTTTAAAGTTAACTCTTCTTGTCGTGATGGATAATAATAATATCGTATGTCAATAATTTGTCAAGTGAAGATCCAAACATTATTCCAGCAAGATTAATTATTCTGACAAAACTTTGCATAACCTTATCTATCCATAAAATTGCCAGTCAACTATTCTGCATTATCGTCTAAAAGGAATGAAAAAGTACACTTAATATGTAAAGAAAAGGCAGTAGTAAAATGTTATGATAATTATGTACAATGAATAACACTAGTTTTATTCATGTAACACAAATAACCTTCACCTGAAAGAAAAAGGGAGGAGAGGAGAGCTGCCCAGTGTATTGATTCTACGTGCAGGTTATTTGTGTATTGTTCCAGTCACAGTATTGTGCCTTTTTTGTTATTTATTCATGTAAGCCACACAAGAACAAGGGGGCACTGATGGAAAATACACACCCAAATGAGTTAGGATTTTTTTTTTCAACAAACCGGATATCTCCCGCTCAGATAGGTGACCCAAAAAAAGAAGAAACACTTTCACCATCACTCACTCCATCACTGCCTTGCCTGATGGGTGCCAATGCTACAGTACAAGACTGTAAATATCACCACCCCTCCTTCAGAGTGCAGGCACTGTATTTCTCGCCTCCAGGGCTCAAGTCCGTCTAAACAGTTTCCCCTGAATCCCTTCATACATGTTACCTTGCTAACACTCCAACTATATGTCAAGTTATAAAAACCACTTGCCTCCACTAACTCCTATCTAACATGCTTACTAGATGTCTAAGCCCCTCACACACAGTACCTCCTTTCTCCATCCCTACAACCATTTTCAGGAAATCCCCTACCTCACCTTCCCTCCACCTCACCTTTATAATGAAATTAATCAGCCTTTTGACAAAGGCAAGTTGGCAGTTTTTTCTTCAGTAATAAAAACATAAGGCAAATTTGGTATTTTACCTGAAGTACTGAAGATATTAAAAGAGCTAAGAAAATGCAAGCTGCTTGTGCCACCGGGTCAGCATGTGTAGCTTTGCAAATTCTCTCTGCATTCATCTTAACTTCATGATCCATGTAGAAATTTGGAACCCCTGAAAAATAATGCAAAGAATCAGGTTATGAAGTTAAATACATGTAGCACTTCAAAATTAATAAACTCAAAAACATCATACCAAACATATTTTGAAATATACAGATCAATTATTCTTCTGAGTTTCTGTCTCCATGGATAACCATGTTTGATCTGGACCAATTATGTGGCATAGAACCGTTGCATGTGCATGGGGCTTGGACAAGCAGCAGGCATGTTTGAGCATGTTAGATAGGAGACAATGGAGACGAATGGTTTTGGGGACCTGATGAGCTGTTGGAGCATGAGCAGGGTAATATATTATGTGAAGGGATTCAGGGAAACTGGTTAGCCGGACCAGAGTCCAGGAGGTGGGAAGTACAATGCCTGCACTAAAGGAGGGGTTTGGGATATTAGCTGTTTGGAGTGATATCTAAATTGTTGTATCTGGGTGCCTCTGCAAATACAGTGATTATGTGTGAATGATGGTGAAAGTGTTTCTTTCGTTTTTGGGTCACCCTGCTTGGTGGGAGACAGCCAACGTATTGAAAAAAAAGAAAAGTTTTATGATGTAAAAAAAAGATAGTATTGTTGGGGTTACTGATGTGGCAAGAGTACCTTAGTTCATATACACATGGACAACTGCCTAGCCTTTTCATATTATTATTATTATTTTTTTTTTTAACAAGTCGGCCGTCTCCCACCAAGGCAGGGTGACCCAAAAAGAAAGAAAATCCCCAAAAAGAAAATACTTTTATCATCATTCAACACTTTCACCTCACTCACACATAATCACTGTTTTTGCAGAGGTACCCAGAACACAACAGTTTAGAAGCATATAAGTATAAAGATACACAACATATCCCTCCAAACTGCTAATATCCCAAAACTCCTCCTTTAGAGTGCAGGCATTGTACTTCCCATTTCCAGGACTCAAGTCCGGCTATATAAAAATAACCGGTTTCCTTGAATCCCTTCACTAAATATTACCCTGCTCACACTCCAACAGATCGTCAGGTCCCAAATACCATTCGTCTCCATTCACTCCTATCGAACACGCTCATGCACGCCTGTTGGAAGTCCAAGCCCCTCGCCCACAAAACCTTCTTTACCCCTTCCTTCCAACCTTTTTGAGGACGACCCTTACCCCGCCTTCCTTCCCCTACAGATTTAAATGCTCTCCATGTCATTCTACTCTGATCCATTCTCTCTAAATGACCAAACCACCTCAACAACCCCTCTTCAGCCCTCTGACTAATACTTTTATTAACTCCACACCTTCTCCTAATTTCCACACTCCGAATTTTCTGCATAATATTTACACCACACATTGCCCTTAGACAGGACATCTCCACTGCCTCCAACTCCAAGCTTATTATTATTATTATTATTATTATTATTATGTATTATTATTATTATAGGTAGTAGGTTGGTAGACAGCAACCACCCAGGGAGGTACTACCGTCCGGGCCAAGTGAGTGAAAAATGAAAGCCTGTAATTTTTTTTACATGATGGTAGGATTGCTGGTGTCCATTTTTCTGTCTCACAAACACGCAAGGTTTCAGGTACATCTTGCTACTTCTACTTGCCCCTAGGTCACACTACACATGCATGTACAAGCATATATTTTACACACCCCGCAGGTTTTTTCTATTTCTTACTAGTTCTTGTTCTTGTTTATTTCCTCTTATCTCCATGGGGAAGTGGAACAGAATTCTTCCTCCGTAAGCCATGCGTGTTGTAAGAGGCGACTAAAATGCCTGGAGAAAGGGGGCTAGAAAACCCCTTCTCCTATATATTTTTACTAAATGTAAAGGGAGAAACTTTCGTTTTTCCTTTTGGGCCACCCCGCCTCGGGTGGATATGGCCAGTGTTAAAAAAAAAAAAAAAAAAAAAAAAAAAAAAAAAAAAAAAAATGTATATTATTATTATTATTATTTTTTTTTTTTTCAACAAGTATTATTATTATTATTATTATTGTTATTATTATGTATTTTTATTATTATTAATATTATTATTATTATTATTATTATGTACATGTGTATTATCATAACTCTGCACTAAAAACCTAATAAATAGTAATTTCATAAAATGTATATTTTATTGCAACTGGCTACAAGCAGATGGTGCAGGTGCACTGCACTATCTCTTGGAGCTGGCATTATCCCTCTTGCGACCTTTTTATGATTTCAGTTTTTTAGTTAATGGCTTTGATAGTGATGAAAGTGTTGTATTTTGTTTTTTTCTTAACATGCTGGTCATCTCCCACCAAGTCAGGTGACATAGAAAATAAAGAAACCTTGTAAAGCCCTACTTCTTTTTACATTAGTAAAATTTATACAAGGAGAAGGGGATTACTAGCCCTTTGGCTGCTCACGGCATTTTACTGCCTTCTCATTAACATTGCATGGTTTATAGAGAGGATTCTTTCTCCACTACCCTATAGAGCAAAGATCTATATATACTTAATGCAATAAGATCACAGTAATAGATGATATCACAATATGCAAAACAACCACAGTGAAAAAGAAGTAAAATTCCAATTGCTTTTGTGATTTCTCACATTTTCAAAGCACTTGGAATTTCACTATGGTTATTGTGCTTATATACTTAAATTATAAAATAGCTTCAATAGCAAACCATATATAAAAGGAGAGAACAGAAGGGAGACAGAGATGTATCCTGGGATTGCACAGTGTGTATTCCTCTTGACATTTCTTCTTTCACTTGCCTATAGACAGCTTGTGCAGCAGCATGAGGGTTGGCAGAGTAGCCCTCCATAGTTATCACCTAAAAATGAAGAAAAACAGGCAATTTAGGTCTTTAGTTAATATTCGTAATGCTTCGTCCACAACTTGTACCAAGTTACAAACTTTATTCTGACATTAGCATACTCATGACAAAAGCACTAAACCAGAGGGGTCATACATCACCTGGGGAAGAAAAAAGACAGTATTAAGGTGGATCTGAGAGAGAATGGTAACTTTAATTTACTAATCAGAGGTTATCACACAAAATCAAGATTAAAGCAAAACTTTTTTAATCCCCCCTTTGAAGGAGAACCTTTTCCAATATGTTGCAAATATTATAGGGCTCAGCAACAGTGCTTTTAATAATATCTAATATTTTTTTTTAAAACATCGGCCACACTCCCAAGCAAGGCAGGTCAACCTGAAAGGAGAAGAAACAAAAGTTTTTCTTTTTTTTTTTTTTTTTTTTTTTTTTTTTTTCAACTAGTCGGTCGTCTCCCCACGGGCAGGGTGACCCAAAAAAAGAAAGGAAAATCCCCCACAAAGAAAAATACTTTCATTCTCATAATTCGACACTTTCACCACACTCACACATTATCACTCTTTTCAGAGAGTGCTAGAAATATAACAGTTTAGACGCATACACATATAAAGATACTACAACATATCCCTCCAAACTGCCACATTATCCAAACCCCTCCTTTTAAAGTGCATGGCATTGTACTTCCCATTTCCAGGACATCAAGTCCGACTATATGAAAAAATAACCGGTTCCCTGAATCTTCACTAAATATTACCCTGCTCACACTCCAACAGATCGTCAGGTCCCAAGTATCATTCGTCTCCATTCACTCCTATCTAACACGCTCATGCACGCTTGCTGGAAGTCCAAGCCCCTCACCCACAAAACCTCCTTTACCCCCTCTTTCCAACCCATTTATTAATTTATACAGGAGAAGGGGTTACTAGCCCCTTACTCCTGGCATTTTTGTTGCCTCTTATGACACATGAGTTACAGAGGAAGGATTCTTCTCCACTTCCCCATGGGTCTATCAGAGGTACAGACCTCAACTGACAAAAATTAAGTAAGCATAGTGATTAATGATGTAAAGCCCTTACAGTATGAAAGAAAATATTCGCTTCCACTCACTTTGTGTAAAATAAAGAGAATTGAAATACAGTACAAAAGATAATACACACTCATTTTAAAACCTTTCCTTGGTAATGTTTGTGAAGTATTTTCATGTTAATGTTTTGTCAGTAGACTAACTTTTTCACCAATGAATGGAAGAGCAGGTGACCAGAGTGAGGGATCAAGGTCAGCATACCCATGAATCCTCCACTGGTCAAGTTGTGAGGCCAGCTCCAGCTCATCCACAACACCTCCCCATCTCATCAAAGACTCTAGTGTTAGCAACTGTTAAATGAGAAAGATAATGTTAAGTATTGGAAAAAAATCCATAGTTATTATTAATATATTTTTTCCAACATACTGACTGTCTCCCACCAAGACAAAATGACCCAAAAGAAAACTAAAAAGTTTATTTTCTTATTATTATTTTTTTTATTATCACACTGGCCGATTCCCACCAAGGCAGGGTGGCCCGAAAAAGAAAAACTTTCACCATCATTCACTCCATCACTGTCTTGCCAGAAGGGTGCTTTACACTACAGTTTTTAAACTGCAACATTAACACCCCTCCTTCAGAGTGCAGGCACTGTACTTCCCATCTCCAGACTCAAGTCCGGCCTGCCGTTTTCCCTGAATCCCTTCATAAATGTTACTTTGCTCACACTCCAACAGCACGTCAAGTATTAAAAACCATTTGTCTCCATTCACTCCTATCAAACACGCTCACGCATGCCTGCTGGAAGTCCAAACCCCTCGCACACAAAACCTCCTTTACCCCCTCCCTCCAACCTTTCCTAGGCCGACCCCTACCCCGCCTTCCTTCCACTACAGACTGATACACTCTTGAAGTCATTCTGTTTCGCTCCATTCTCTCTTACATGTCCGAACCACCTCAACAACCCTTCCTCACCCTCTGGACAACAGTTTTGGTAATCCCGCACCTCCTCCTAACTTCCAAACTACGAATTCTCTGCATTATATTCACACCACACATTGCCCTCAGACATGACATCTCCACTGCCTCCAGCCTTCTCCTCGCTGCAACATTCATCACCCATGCCTTCACACCCATATAAGCGTTGGTAAAACTATACTCTCATACATTCCCCTCTTTGCCTCCAAGGACAAAGTTCTTTGTCTCCACAGACACCTAAGTGCACCACTCACTCTTTTTCCCTCATCAATTCTATGATTCACTCATCTTTCATAGACCCATCTGCTGACACGTCCACTCCCAAATATCTGAATACGTTCACCTCCTCCATACTCTCTCCCTCCAATCTGATATTCAATCTTTCATCACCTAATCTTTTTGTTATCCTCATAACCTTACTCTTTCCTGTATTCACCTTTAATTTCTTCTTTTGCACACCCTACCAAATTCATCCACCAATCTCTGCAACTTCTCTTCAGAATCTCCCAAGAGCACAGTGTCATCAGCAAAGAGCAGCTGTGACAACTCCCACTTTGTGTGTGATTCTTTATCTTTTAACATCCACGCCTCTTGCCAAGACCCTCGCATTTACTTCTCTTACAACCCCATCTATAAATATATTAAACAACCACGGTGACATCACACATCCTTGTCTAAGGCCTACTTTTACTGGGAAAAAATTTCCCTCTTTCCTACATACTCTAACTTGACCTCACTATCCTCGTAAAAAACTCTTCACTGCTTTCAGTAACCTACCTCCTACACCATACACTTGCAAACATCTGCCACATTGCCCCCCTATCCACCCTGTCATACGCCTTTTCCAAATCCATAAATGCCACAAAGACCTCTTTAGCCTTATCTAAATACTGTTCACTTATATGTTTCACTGTAAACACCTGGTCCACACACCCCCTACCTTTCCTAAAGCCTCCTTGTTCATCTGCTATCCTATTTTCCATCTTACTCTTAATTCTTCAATTATAACTCTACCATACACTTTACCAGGTATACTCAACAGACTTATCCCCCTATAATTTTTGCACTCTCTTTTATCCCCTTTGCCTTTATACAAAGGAACTATGCATGCTCTCTGCCAATCCATAGGTACCTTACCCTCTTCCATACATTTATTAAATAATTGCACCAACCACTCCAAAACTATATCCCCACCTGCTTTTAACATTTCTATCTTTATCCCATCAATCCCAGCTGCCTTACCCCTTTCATTTTACCTACTGCCTCACGAACTTCCCCCACACTCACAACTGGCTCTTCCTCACTCCTACAAGATGTATTCCTCCTTGCCCTATACACGAAATCACAGCTCCCTATCTTCATCAACATTTAACAATTCCTCAAAATATTCCCTCCATCTTCCCAATACCTCTAACTCTCCATTTAATAACTCTCCTCTCCTATTTTTAGCTGACAAATCCATTTGTTCTCTAGGCTCTTTCTTAACTTGTTAATCTCACTCCAAAACTTTTTCTTATTTTCAACAAAATTTGTTGATAACATCTCACCCACTCTCTCATTTGCTCTCTTTTTACATTGCTTCACCACTCTCTTAACCTCTCTCTTTTTCTCCATATACTCTTCCCTCCTTGCATCACTTCTACTTTGTAAAAACTTCTCATATGCTAACTTTTCTCCCTTACTACTCTCTTTACATCATCATCCACCAATCGCTCCTCTTCCCTCCTGCACCCACTTTCCTGTAACCACAAACTTCTGCTGAACACTCTAACACTACATTTTAAACCTACCCCATACCTCTTCGACCCCATTGCCTATGCTCTCATTAGCCCATCTATCCTCCAATAGCTGTTTATATCTTACCCTAACTGCCTCCTCTTTTAGTTTATAAACCTTCACCTCTCTCTTCCGTGATGCTTCTATCTCCTTGTATCCCATCTACCTTTTACTCTCAGTGTAGCTACAACTAGAAAGTGATCTGATATATCTGTGGCCCCTCTATAAACATGTACATCCTGAAGTCTACTCAACAGTCTTTTATCTACCAATACATAATCCAACAAACTACTGTCATTTTGCCCTACATCATATCTTGTATACTTATTTATCCTCTTTTTCTTAAAATATGTATTACCTATAACTAAACCCCTTTCTATACAAAGTTCAATCAAAGGGCTCCCATTATCATTTACACCTGGCACCCCCAACTTACCTACCACACCCTCTCTAAAAGTTTCTCCTACTTTAGCATTCAGGTCCCCTACCACAATTACTCTCTCACTTGGTTCAAAGGCTCCTATACATTCACTTAACATTCCCAAAATCTCTCTCTCTCCTCTGCATTCCTCTCTTTTCCAGGTGCATACACGCTTATTATGACCCACTTCTCGCATCCAACCTTTACTTTAATCCACATAATTCTTGAATTTACACATTCATATTCTCTTTTCTCCTTCCATAACTGATCATTTAACATTACTGCTACCCCTTCCTTTGCTCTAACTCTCTCAGATACTCCAGATTTAATCCCATTTATTTCCCCCCACTGAAACTCTCCTACCCCCTTCAGCTTTGTTTCGCTTAGGGCCAGGACATCCAACTTCTTTTCATTCATAACATCAGCAATCATCTGTTTCTTGTCATCCGCACTACATCCACGCACATTTAAGCATCCCAGTTTTATAAAAAATTTTCTTCTTCTCTTTTTTAGTAAATGTCTACAGGAGAAGGGGTTACTAGCCCATTGCTCCCGGCATTTTAGTCGCCTCATACGACACGCATGGCTTACGGAGGAAAGATTCTTTTCCACTTCCCCATGGACAATAGAAGAAATAAAGAAGAACAAGAGCTATTTAGAAAAAGGAGAAAACCTAGATGTATGTATATATATATGCATGTGCGTGTCTGTGAAGTGTGACCAAAGTGTAAGTAGGAGTAGCAAGATATCCCTGTTATCTAGCGTGTTTATGAGACAGAAAAAGAAACCAGCAATCCTACCATCATGCAAAACAGTTACAGGTTTTTGTTTCACAGTCATCTGGCAGGATGGTAGTACTTCCCTGGGTGGTTGCTGTCTACCAACCTACTACCTACACCAACCTACTACCTACATTTAGTATTTTATACAGGAGAAGGGGTGACTCCTATTAATATGATTCAGTCAGTTTTATCAATTTTTACCAGGCCCATTGTCTGACTGTTTTGGTTTGACAAAAATCTCACAATAGAGAACTTAACTTATTACTATGAACTTTCTGCTCCTCATTTCCTGGAATACAGTGATCTACTGTACAGCACATATGCCTTGCACATATGCCTTGCACATATGCCATGCACATATGCATTGCACATAAGCCATGCTCATATGCCTTGTACATATACCTTGCACATATGCCTTACACATGACTTGCACATATGCCATGCACATATTCCTCGCACATATGCCTTGCACATATGCTATGTACATATGCTTTGCACATATGCCATGCACACATATCTTGCACATATGCCTTGCACATATGCCTTGCACATATGCCAAGCACACGTCTTGCACAATGCCTTGCACATATGCCATGCACACATGTCTTGCACATATGCCTTGCACATATGCCATGCTCTGATGGGCTGTCTTCAGTGATTATCTGAACTTGTATAATTTTTTTTTTTTTTTTTCAACAAGTCGGCCGTCTCCCACCGAGGCAGGGTGACCCAAGAAAGAAAGAAAATCCCCAAAAAGAAAATACTTTCATCATCATTCAACACTTTCACCACACTCGCACATTATCACTGTTTTTGCAGAGGTGCTCAGAATACAACAGTTTAGAAGCATACACATATAAAGATACACAACATATCCCTCCAAACTTATATAATTATAAGTTAATAAACTAACCATTAACCCTTTCAGGGTCCACAGGCCCTTTCAGAGACTTGTTCTCAGGGTCCCCCAAACTTCAAAAAAAAAAAAATTATTTTTCTTGTGAAAAGATAGAGAATCTTTTCCCGATCATAATGACACCAAAAGTATGAAATTTGATGGAAAACTTACGGAATTATGCTCTCGCGAAGTTAGCGGTCTCGACGATGTTTACGCATCGGCGATTTTTGCCCATTTTGAGCCCTATTTTCGGCCAATTCCAATGTACTAGTCGACAAAAATCATAACTATTTCGCTAGAACTCCATTTTTCCTATTGAATGAGTACAAGAAACCACCCATTTACCGATTTTAACTATCCAATACAGTGGTCAGAATTTAGCAATTTTGCCAATTTCACACAAATTTTAAAAGATGCCAATTTCCAAACAGGGTCCAGAATAAACAAGAAAGACATTCCTGGCACTAAAATAACATTTCCTCTGTTCATTAGTCATGTCCCCAGGCCCCTCTTACATTCTTTTGCTTTCCATTTTGAATTTATATTCTCACAAAAAATAGAAGATTTACTGTTATGCAGACTACTGCATTAGTGTAGATATGGTATAAATAATATCGGTGTACTTGTGAAAGAATATTAGACTCACCAGTTGACGTGTATTGGACGCTTAGCATGATTTGTTTACTTTTGAACTTTGGTAAAAATCGAATATTTCTGCTACTTTGAGCTCAATTTCAAGGTACTTTTCATTGTACAACCAGTCAAAATCATCTCAATTTCTGTAATATGTCTTCCATTCTATACAATGAGACCAGGAAAACTAGAATACAACAATAAATACCATACGAAAATACAGTGCAAAGTTGCTGTTTTAATCCAAAAACACGGTCAAAGTTTTTTTTTTCTCATTACGTACTGTGTGCTGCAGAATTTTTTTACACTGCGCACACTGATGACATAGACCCATTCTTTCATATACAGTGGACCCCCGGTTAACGATATTTTTTCACTCCAGAAGTATGTTCAGGTGCCAGTACTGACCGAATTTGTTCCCATAAGGAATATTGTGAAGTAGATTAGTCCATTTCAGACCCCCAAACATAGACGTACAAACGCACTTACATAAATACACTTACATAATTGGTCACATTCGGAGGTGATCATTATGCGGGGGTCCACTGTATAGGCCTACCAGCTTTCTCTCACTAGATTTGAAGGCGCTAGAATTTATGAATACTAGTACGTCATGGACCCTGGTGCATAAGCCGTACTAGTACGGCCGAAACCCTGAAAGGGTTAAGAGCACACATGGTAAAAATGTTTTTGTAACACAGGCTGTCTCCCACTGAGGTAGGGTAACCCAAAAAAGAAGAAACACTTTCACCATCATTCACTCCATTACTGTCTTGCCAGAGGTGTGCCCCTCCAAACTGAAGGTAAATTCCTGGTCCTGAACATACATATGCTAAAATTCAACATAAAAAAAAGGGAGGAATTCATTAAAAAAATGGCTACATCAGTTATGTACTAGAACTCACTATACTACACTACGTAATAGATCTACCCATATACAGTGGAACCTCGGTACTCGAACAGCTCTCTACTTGAACAAAGCTCGGCACTCAACCAAACAATCACAACCTGCCAGAACTTTGCTGTGAACTATTTTGCGTTTCTTCGCATTTTTTGGTGTTTTTTTTTATATTATTTGTATAAATAAGTCACCATGGGGCCTATGAAGATGAGGGATAAAAGCCAACCAAAAAGAAAACTGGTTGGGAAGAATTCATTCGATGCTCGAACAGACTGGCACTCGAACAGCCTTCTGGAATGAATTAAGTTCAAGTGCCGAGCCGAGGTTCCACTGTAACAGCTTATGAAAAAGCACCACAGTGAAAACAGGGTATAAAACCTGAGAGCCTTCATGTGCTTACACATATATGTTCCTCTGAAGATATGCATGTGTAAGTACATGAAAGGACTCAGGTTTTATTTTCTATTTTCACTGTGGTATTTTTTTCATATTTGAGATCCCTTGTTTTATTGTGATTTTTTCCAAATCAGTGTATGTATAGTATATAATCTAAACAAAAAGACTAATTTCAATCATAACACAAGAGGTAGCCATGAGAATCATCACTCATGGTGTTCGGTACACACAGGTTTGTGCCAAAATTTAGGAACATATTTTCGTACAGGGGTGTGGTTCGTACATCAGTTTGCATGCGGCCAGCAGTAACAGCCTGGTTGATCAAGCCCTGATTCACTGCAAGGCCTGGTCACAGACCGAGCCATGAGGGTGCCCAGGTCTGTGACAAGATAAGATAAGATAAGATAAGATTTCGTTCGGATTTTTAACCCCGGAGGGTTAGCCACCCAGGATAACCCAAGAAAGTCAGTGCGTCATCGAGGACTGTCTAACTTATTTCCATTGGGGTCCTTAATCTTGTCCCCCAGGATGCGACCCACACCAGTCGACTAACACCCAGGTACCTATTTGCTGCTAGGTGAACAGGACAACAGGTGTAAGGAAACGTGTCGAAATGTTTCCACCCGCCGGGAATCGAACCCGGGCCCTCCGTGTGTGAAGCGGGAGCTTTAGCCACCAGGCCACCGGGCCACCCCTCTCTGGGTATACTCCAGGTAAACCATACTAGAAAATCAAGAATGTCGACATGAGCAGATACAAGTTAGTCAAGACAGGTAGAGTCAGTTAGTGACAAAGCTGCAAGTTAATGAACCAGTGACAGTGCAGGATGGAGACATTAAACAAATACAGTGAGATAGTGAATAACAAATAAAGTTAAACAATAAAATAAGTAGCAGCGTGAATCTTTTTATTAAATGTTTCACCTTAAATAGGGTTTTATTAAGTCTATCCCGCACTGACTTAATAAAGCCCTATTTAGAGTGAAATGTCTAAGTGAAAGGGTCACTCTACTACACGTATTTTACATTCCTATTTTGTTGGCTCTGTGTCATTCATTCAAGTAAAGGCAGTGCTGTGACTTGCCACTCTGTGCTGTGCTGCAAGACTTGTAGTAACCAGGTGCTGTTATACAGTGAAGTAACTCTGTAATTACCTGCTCAACTGCATAATTTTCATTAATACATCCAGACTGTTACTACTGCTGTATTTCACCAAGCTCTGAAATATTACAATTATATGACATGTCTCTTATGTCTATACATATTAATTGTAAAGTGTTTCTAATGCCATTTTGTTTATATGCAAAGAAAACAAAACCTCCTATAAAATTTTTTGCTATAATGAATCATCCAATTCTTAATTTCAGGCAATTTTTAATATCAATTTTATACGTATACAGTATGAAGTGTCATTAGAGATATACAATGCTGTAAACTTATGTGAAAAATTACAAAAAGTGCTTGAAAATTCACTATTTTTTCACAGTGGTTATTTTGCATATTGTGATATCACCTGTTTACTATCTTAATAATATCTTTATTTACTACAAGTACATGTACAAGGTATACAGACCACAGCTGACATCAATGACATACTACTACATAGAAAGCCACTTGTTATGCTGAGCATTTCAGGCAAATTAGGTCAATTTTGTCCCAGGATGCGACCCACACCAGTCAACTAACACCAAGGTACCCATTTTACTGATAGGGAACAAAAACAACCGATGAAAAGGAAACACCCCCAATGTTTCTACCCTTACTGAGAATCGAACCCAGACCCTTGCCATGTGAAGCAAGAGCTTTAGCCACCAGGCCACAGGGCAGCACTAAGGCACATGTATAGGAATTTTGAAGCATTTTCATAACCTCATTATAAAGATATTGACCAAAACAACATTCATCATTAAATTCATGAGGAAGAGCTAAAGCCTAAAGGGTTGTACAGTGCTTAGGAAATGGGAGGCACTGGTAGCATCAGATGTGATCTAAGGAAGAGGAAGGTAGCTCCAATTTCTTGTATCAAGAGCCCTTCACTGGCCTTAAGGCACCCCCTTTGAAAGGATGACCAATACAATATACAGTATACAGTAATTATTTGTTTATTTACTTATTTAGTAACAGTAGTTATTTATTTACTTATTTATTTATCATATATATACATGTATATATATTTGGCTCATGATATTTTCAACTTACAACGGGTTCTTTAGAACGTAACCCCATCATATACATGTATACATGTATATATATTCGGCTCATGATATTTTCAACTTACAACGGGTTCTTTAGAACGTAACCCCATCATATACATGTATATATATTCGGCTCATGATATTTTCAACTTACAATGGGTTCTTTAGAACGTAACCCCATCATAAGTCAAGGAGCACCTGCAATTTATTAAATCTGAGTTTTATACAGTACTAAAAATGTAAATCACATTAAATGAAATAATAATAGGAAAAGACAGTAATTACAAATACATTAAAAGACTCGTTATACTTACCATAATATCAGTATTGGAAGACCAGTCATGGGGAGGAAAATGTGCACGAAGATAATCAGAAATTCTATCGTCCAAGGAGAGATTTTCCGGGTCGTAAAAGAAGAGGCACTCATCAACATTTAATCCTTCAGTGCTCAGTGCCATAGCATCACCAATTGCCATGCCATATAACAACCCTATTGTTAAAAAGATGGTGCTGATATTACAAAAGAATTTACACAATTGTGTAAATTACTTTTCATTACTCTTAAAAGAAATTTTGTTGAAGTATTAAATGGAGCGAATGGAGCGAAACAGAATGACTTCAAGAGTGTATCAGTCTGTAGTGGAAGGAAGGCGGGGTAGGGGTCGGCCTAGGAAAGGTTGGAGGGAGGGGGTAAAGGAGGTTTTGTGTGCGAGGGGCTTGGACTTCCAGCAGGCATGCATGAGCGTGTTTGATAGGAGTGAATGGTGACAAATGGTTTTTAATACTTGACGTGCTGTTGGAGTGTGAGCAAAGTAACATTTATGAAGGGATTCAGGGAAACCGGCAGGCCGGACTTGAGTCCTGGAGATGGGAAGTACAGTGCCTGCACTCTGAAGGAGGGGTGTTAATGTTGCAGTTTAAAAACTGTAGTGTAAAGCACCCTTCTGGCAAGACAGTGATGGAGTGAATGATGGTGAAAGTTTTTCTTTTTCAGGCCACCCTGCCTTGGTGGGAATCGGCCAGTGTGATAATAAAAATAATAATATTAAATGCTGTACAGTACCCATAAAGAAAAGAAAATTATTCTCAAAGAATGTTGGTTATTCATCTGTCTCAAAAGTTTCTCAAAAAATTATTATACCAAAGTTTATCATAGATTAAACTGGCTTGAAATGCTGTACATAATCATGGGTTATCTGCATGCACACCTTCCAGCACCGACCCATCCCTGTATAAACAATACATCCTGGAGAAATAAAACTGAAATTGAATATGAAAAAAAAAACTGAATTCAGCCTGACTTACCAAGAAGCATATCTCTGAGCTGGTCAGGCTTAAGGGTACTTGCAGAAACTGGTGGCATCAATGGGCACCTGCGCTTATTTGTCCGTGATGTTCCCTGGGCCTGACGGTATTCCATACTTGCAGACTCTGGGTTAGACACACTGGCCAACACCTGCTGTCCTCTTACTCGAGTAAATACACTCCTCTTCACTGCAGTACTAGAAAACACAGTACAACTATATTTTTGCCAAAGTTTGATTAAACATAACCTAAAATGTAAAACCGAATGTATAAAAATGTATTCTTTCCTCATTACCTGTAATCATAATCTGACCTGTAAGCCTTAAAACAAATAAACTTGATAAATATTATACATACAGCATGTATTAATACACTATTCAGTTCTCTTGTGTTCCTTGAAATTCCTAAATTTATTGTTATGATCACTTAGAGATCATTTATATAAGCAATCAATTAATTATTATCTTATGTCTTAAGATAGGCTTAAGTTTGCCTGAAATGCTCTGATTACTAAAAGGCTTTCTGTATGGAAAAATAAACACAAATGTAGTAAAATGCAATCCTTATTGATCCTTTACTCACCCAGGAAGATCTGTCTGTGACCTGATAAAGCCCACTGTGTGGGCAAAATGTTGTCAGTAAAGGATCGCATTATACGTATTGTAATTGTGTTTATTTTTCCATCATGTCGGTATTTTATACTATTTATCTCCAGGCTTTCTGCATGCTTCAGTTAATTTTCTTGCATTATGATGAAATTCAATGTATGTATAGTACTAGAAATTAATATTTAAATTTTTTTCTACACAACGGCCATCTTCCACTGCAGTAGGGTGACCTAAAAAGAAAAATGAAAGTGATCAAGGTCCCAGGACCAAAACATTTTCTAATAAATATGTCCTAGTGTTTGCTTACATATCTTTTTAAGCCAGAACTGGAATTAAAGCTAACACTTTCGGAGAAGAAGAAAAAACAGAGTAGGCACATTATGGTGTGCAAAGAGAATTAAAAAAGACTTCAATTCTAAAACAAATAATACATGAAAGGCTTTGCTAAAGAAAAAAGTATGGAATTTATTTTACCCCTGTTGACTGGTGGGTAGATGCCTCTCTCTTAGGAACTGTAATGTGGCTTCTGAGCCGGTATCACAGATGGCTTGAGGTGGATGGATAAGATCATTCCCACCAGTAACTAATACATGGAGCCTGGGGCACTCCACTAGAGTGCCGGGAAGTGCTCGTAGACGATTGTTGCTCACATTCAGTTTCTCTAGCTGAAAGAATTTAAATTAACAGGTAAAACATACTGTTTAATGAATAATGTAAATGTGATGTTTGTGAACAACAACTTAAGATTACACTTTAATATGAAATGTTAACATTATTATTTTCATGGGGAAGTGCTCAACCTGTAAGGGTCACACAGCACCTAGTTAATGGGAGGTAAATAGGTTAGATCTAAGGAAGATTAGGGTAGCTCTAATTCTTTGGATCAAGAGCCCTTTAACAGCATTAAGGCCTCCCCATGAAGGGTGAACACCATGGAGTGATAATAATAATAATAATAGAGCCTCTCCTCATTTAGCAACATCTTGTTTACCGACAACTCGGACTTACGAGGGGCTCTCTGATTAAAATGAAAGCCAAAATAATTTATATTAGAGCTAAATTTCCCCTCTTTTTCCCATTTTTTAAAAATATCAGGGGCCCCCTCGCCCCCAAAACGATGGCATCGATAAAAAAAATATTCCACTAGCGATACTTTAAAAAAACGAAAAATTTTTCCCCTCGACTAGCTTTAAAAAACCGCCCAAACACTATTAGTTCCGTCTGAAAACGCGTCCACTTCGGCCAGTTTTTACAAGCCGGGCCCAAACCACCGCGGGTCGCTTCCAAGCAGGGAAATTTCCGGAACATTTCATTTTTAATCACAGCCTTTTTAGCGTTTTGCACCTGCAAAATAAGTCCCCCCCCCCCCAATTGGGCCCCAAAAAATTTCCTAGTCCCCCAACCAAAACAGCAAAAAGGGTGAAAAATTACTATGGATAGAAGAAAGGATCATTGCTAAGTTTTAAAAAAGGGGAGTGCGTGTCTCCGAGCGGGCCGGGGTTTGTACACAAAACCCCAAAAAAACCATCGCTACAAATTGGGGCCCAAAAAATTTGGAAATCAAGGAAGCTGTTTTTGCCAAAGGGAAAAAAAATGTTTTTCGAAACTGAGATCGCAAGTACTCGAAGATGTAAGAAAACTTTTTAATTGGTGGGGTAAACAAAAAAACAGATAGCGGGAAGATGCATCTCTCAAGCGATCATAGTGAAAAGGCTGGGAAGTTGCATGAAAATTTTAAAAATTAAACCCCTTTGAGGTCGACGGGCCCCCCCCCTCCAAAAACTCGTTCTCAGGGTGGGGGCCAAATTTAAAAAAAAAAAAAAAATTTTTTTTTCTTAAAAAAAATAAGGTTTTTTTTCAAAATTTTATGGGCCCTAAAAAAAAAAATTTTTAAACCGGGTTAAATACTTACCGAGATAGGGAGGCGTGAATTTTTGCCAAAATTGAAAAAACATCGGGGTAACATCGCCGACGCCTTCACCCGGAATTTTTTTAAAATTTACTTTTTTATTTTACTTTTTTCAAAATTTTTCAATTTTTTTTTTTTTCTGAGTAACTTTTATGGCCTCTGGGGGCCAACAGATCAGTATTTTGTAATTATTTTTTTTTTCCAATACTACAAAATTTAAGGGCATAAACACTGTTTTTCTTTAATTTGTTTAAAAAAAATATTTACACAAACAAACGATATGAAATTTGCAAAATTATTTTTTTTTCTATATTTTATATACACAAATACAGTAACAGGGAATTTTTCTAAAGTTCTGCACCCTGGGGAAAAAGTCTTTGAAACTTGGGGTCATGCACAGTGGTTTTTTTTTAAAACCCCCTCACCCCCATAAAAGAGTGTCTCGGGCATTGTTTGGGGCTTTTTTTTTTTTGTTTTTGGCACGGGACAAAAAACCACCTTTTCCTGACCCTTTTTTTTTGAAAGCAGTTGCAGGCATTTTTTAACCAGGAATTTGATCCCCAAAGTTTTCAAAAACGACAGGTAGTTTTTTTGATAATTTGGGGCGGGGCCCAATTGCAGGTGCTGTTCCTTGGAAACTTAAATTTACAATTTGTCGGGTTTACAGACAAACAAATTGGGCTGTACTGGGGTTTTTTTTTCTGGTCCCCCAACTTTTTACATATTATAAGCATTGACCCAGGGAAAATTTTCCAGAAAGGGAAAAACAGTTTTGATGTACCACTTATAACTCTTCCCGAACAAAATCACAAACCCAATCGGGCATGCACTTTTTGTCCACTAAAACGCATGTTAAGGTGTAATCAATCACGCGGGAAAGGTTTTTAAAAAGGGGTTTCATTGCTCTCTCTATGCTGCCTCCCAAATTCCTCCCTTTTTTCATTGGGTGAACTGATGACAACAGGGGTGACATCTCTTTTTGTCATGCCACCGAAATCCCAAAAGTTTTTGGGAAAGCAAATGCCTGAAACCCACCTCAAACGAGTGCCAGCGCCCCCAAACCTGGGCATATTTTTCCGTTTTGCACGAAACTGTGCCACACAAAACTGTCATGTTCCACCCCGCAAAAAAAATCACTGAGTGAGGGGCCCTTGTGAAAACCATTATCTGAATAAAAAAATTCCCCTTCCCAAAAGGTTTTTTTTTCCAAAACCATTTTTCCCTTAACCACATCCCCTTTAACCCCAAAATAACTTTCCTGGTTTTTTGGGCAATGAAATAATTTCCCCGTGTACACCAAATAATACCCAAAACCAGCCCAATTTAAAAAAATCACAAACACAAAAAACCTTTAAAAACCAAAGCGTTTTCCCCCTTGGGCTTGGTAGGGAAACTGTTTTAAAAAGAGACCCTTGCTTTGAACAGAATCAAAGACTCGCCCAATTATAAAAATTTTTCCGAAGGGTAAAAATGCTTTACTGAATTTCCCCTTTCAATACACAAACACTTTTCCTAACCCTTAAAAACCTGTTTTTTTCCGTCAGGCCGGGTTTTTTGTCTGAGAAATAAAAGCAAAACGTAATTTTTACCCACAAATCGTTTCACGGGGCATTATATCACTGAAACCGGGTAGAAATCAGGGGGTTTCTGTTGACCATATGATTCAATTTTTTGCTTAAAACACATGTGGCATAAGCATTATTGTGGCAAAAGAAAAAAATACATCTCAGCCACAGTTCCCCTTCCCCCCGGGGTAGAATTTTTTTGGGGGAAAAAGGGGAAAAAAGTGGGGTTTTTTCATGGGTAACCCGGGAGTTGTTTTTGTTTCCAAAAAAAAATACTTTCCATCATGGTTCGTTTAAAGAATAACTCGAAACATTTTCCCGTTCAATGGCAAATTGGGTTTTCCCCAAATGTACAAGATTGGGCCCTATTTCCCCTTTGGCTTTTCATCAAACGGTGGGCCCTTTGGAAAAAAAATTTTACCGGGGTTCCTGCCAAAATTTTTATTTTATAGTTTAAACTTTTTTTTACAATAAAAGTCCCTTTTCACTGGGGTTTTATCAAATTTCTTAGATAATCTTTAAAATTAATTTTTTTGCCAGCCCTTTAAAGCTATGCATATAAGTGGTTTGGCATGGGTGCTCTTACCCCGATTTTTTTTGTACCTCTGATGTTTTGCTAAAAATTTTTAAATAAAAAATAAATAAAAATCCCAGGTGCGGTCTGCGGGGGGTACTGGGAAAAGAAAAGGGGGTTTTTGGTTTTGGAGGTTGTTTGGGTTTTGGAGGCTGGTGGGTGGGTGGGGGGGGGATGGTGGGCCCTTTTTTGTAGATCAGCTGAGGCAGGGCGTGGGTGCACGTGGGGGGCAGCTGGCCCACTGCGGTGCCTCACCGGGCCGGCACCACTACCACCCCCGCACATTTTCCATCCCAATTGCAACAGTATCATCGTCCCTTTTCAAATGTCCCGTTTTCCCGTTTAAAAAGGGCCCCCGGGAAGTTTCTCCGAGAGTACCCCTTTCCCCCCTTTGGGAAAAGCATATGGGAAAACTAACCCCAAACACATAAAATTTGTCGTATATACTGACGCTTCACGGGGGGAAAAATTTCCCCTTCACTATCCCCTACTGGAACTATTTGAAGAGCTTGTAGTTCATATTCCTATCACTAACATCAACCCCCTGCTCTCATTCCCGATCTGGGATTTTGGGGAAAAAAGAAGTTTCCTCTTGGAAATTTTGGTACAACTGAACGTGAACAAATGGGCCCCGCACCCCGAGGTGGAAGGGTGAGGGGCCGTCCCCGGGTTTTCCTCACTATTAAACCCATATTATGGTCAATTTGTTTCGGATCCCAAAAACCCCACCCAAAACCTTTAAACTCATCTTCACTGGGATTCCCCCTTATTAGAACTGTCCCCTGGGGGAAAAAAAGTGGGCCCAAAATTTGCCGGGAGTAGGAGCTTCTTTCCGCGAGGGGATGGGGGACATTGTTTTACTAAAAGGGGGTTCCCACCAAAGCCCACTGGGTTTCCCCGATTTTTTTTTTAAAACCCCGCGCACACCGACCCCACAGACCCTTTTTCTCACATGTAGGCCCCACCAGCCTTTTTTCCTTTCCCCCCAGAATTTTTATGGGGGCTGAAAATTTTTGCGTACTAGTCCGGGCAAAAACCCCTGCGCGTAAGACATACTAGTAAAGTCCCCAAAAACCCCCAAAGGGTTAAAAAAAAGCCAGCAACTAGTGGTTTATTTGAGTGAATTTTAAAAACCAAACCCCAAAAAATTGGTTTTTGGGGATTTAAAGGGGAAAGGGGAAATTTAAACCCCGGAAAAGGACTTTCCCCCCCTCAAGTCCCCAATGGAAGGGGGGTTTTCCCCCTTTTAAAAAACTAAGACCACAAAAACCCCCTCCCCTCCTCCCATCCCCTTTAAACATCACAGATCCCTTTAATAAAGGGAAGTGTAAAGTAACTGTGGGATGTCTTTTTTCAGTTTGGGGGTATTTAAAAATTTAAAATTTCATGTGGTAAAAACAATTTTTTTTTTTCATACTTTTTGGGGGGTTTTAAAACGGAAAAAAAATTTTGGGTTTCCCCTTATTTTTTAAAGGGGAAAATTAACTTGACTAACGATAATTTTGACCAATGATGACTCTCAGGCACGGATTAATAGCGTTAGTCGAGGGTCCACTGTACAGTATACTACAGTGAACCCCTGGGTTTCGGCCATAATCCGTTACAGGAGCTAGGCCT